CTCCTTTGCACATGCCTTTGTCCTGTGCATGCGCGGGCGTGGGCGCGCGTGTGTGTGTGTGTGTGTGTACGCCAACGACACCGTCCGTGCACATGTGCATGGACGTGAGTTTGTGCGTTTGCCTTTGTTATATGCATACAGTATTATCAATTTATCATGCCTATACAAGCCTTGCCAGTGTCTCGATAGGAGAAGCAGATACATGATTACACCACTTGGGTTTTGACCTTCTTTGGCCGGGGCGAATGTCGAAGGAAAGACTCCCTCTGGGCCAAGGTGTTGGCGACAGTTGAGAGTTGTCCTCTATTTTGCAGCGGGGGACAGCATGGCATATTTGGTGCCGGAAAGAGTGCAGTTGCACTTTTCATGTTACTGTAAAATTTGCTAGGTCACTCCCTTGAAGCTGGAGACTGCTGCTCAAACGGCTACTGCTGTTACTCTCTGCTGCTACCATGGTCGTTGCTTTGTATCAATGGCGAAAATTCTCAGATGAGCTTTGGGTCCGGGCACTAGAACCCTGCTGCTGCCTCTGCAGCAGTTGTAGAAAGTTTTATAATACCAGTGTCGATGGTGAACTTCTGCTCTTTTTTTTATCCCAGACACTTTGTGCTCAGGAGACTGTTAGGTCTTTGTGGTGTTGGTTATACTAGTTGGCGTCTGTTTGGAAATATATTGTGCTTTTCTGTGTGTTCATGTGAACGTAGAAGCCCTCACCGAAACCAACACTAGGTTGCTGTGTTGTTTTCTTCCAAGGTCGGGCACAGTAAAGGAGACGACTCTGTGAGTATATTCGCAGATGAACTTTGGGTTAATAGAATGCAGGTGCTGCTGCTCTTGTGCCGGGCTGTTGGTGTCAATGATGGGGTGGATCATGCTTTCTCTTTATATACCTTTTGTATATTTGTGTGTAAGTAGGAGCACATACCAACACGTAATCTTTCTAAAGCCTAGTTCTCTTTCGACGCAACGCTGACGGTACGGGACGTAAGGGCCTGTGACGGCTGGGGTGAGCTGTAAAATCTTGTACAATTCGTACGACACGACATGCTCCAGTCTTTGCGATGTTCAACAGCGAATGGTGCGAGTCATAAGGCACAGTCCGTGACGGGGTGACCGTCCCGGCGTTTCCCGTCGATCCTTATGTCGCGTCCCGTTGCGCCCCGTCGAATGTGAACTGGGCTTAACAATGGCATGGAGACAGTTTCAATTGCAGTTTAATGTTACTGCACTGCACTGCAGGTATCAAGGCACTACCCAGAGGGAGGATGTTGGCCTTCTCCTGATGGGAAAATGTCTTCTTTCTCATGGCGTGGCCAGGACTGCACTGACCCTACCATCCACTCTACCTCTCCGGAAAGGGACTTGACAACCAGTCAAGATGGATGTGCAGAGATATACCAGCGGTAAGTCACATGCTTAGGATATCCACTTGATGAAGGAAGGACAGGTGCTCAACTGCTACACCAAAATGTGAGCATAAGGAGATGGGCTGATGGGTCATGGGTGGGTGACAGGTCTTTGCCCGGTTGCTGGAGTATAACAACCTGGGTCTTTGATTGGTTTAGAAGCGGTCCGCTCTATTTGGGGTGCCATCCTCAATTAGACGGGCAGTGAAGATCTTGCAGGATCAATCGCACATGTAGAATATGGACATGTGGATGCGGGCAGCAGATCTGTAATTTCCAGTATCAAAGTTCAGTTGTATTTGCTTTTCTTTATTTTCTATTTGTGATGTTGTTCACTGCAGCTTCTAGCATTAACTGCCAATTTGCACTGACGCAGCAAGACTCCCACCAGTCAAGTATGTTTCATTGCATGCACTAGGATTACAGTAGAATGCCGATTATCCGAATGTCAACTGTCCAAACGGTCAATTATCCGAAATTCCTGTTTGCACTGAATTCAATTCAATAAGTCGACTTATACCGGTAAAATATGGTAACAGCGGGACTGCAGGGTGTGGCATTTCCATGATACAGTGGAAAATTTCACGATTTTTGGTGCAAACATAGCTCGGACGCTGCTCGATTGGATATACAATGCAGGTTCTTGGAACCACGGACACGACTCTTCGATTCAAGGATCACAACACTTCGGGATCTGAACGTTCCGGGAGCTGTTCGCGGTTTTGTCGCTTGTCACGGTTGTGGACTCATCGTTGTAGCATAAATGAGGCTGGACTATTCCAAGCGGAAAACTAAAATATTTCTTTCTCAAAGCACAATCACTGGCCCGGAGGAGCACACCTTCTCTAACTACATACCGGGTGCAGTACATGACACGTCCGTGTATTGACTAGTCTCTTGTACATTTAGATCTACCACACGACTCGCGTAGCGCTAGCACAGCAGTGCGGGTGTAGTCATGTACTACTACTACTACTACAGTACTGCCGGGCGCCGAAGAACGGACCGCCGATGAACGGCCAGGCTATGATTTCGCTATTTTTTAAGAACGGTCTAAGTAGAAACGTAATGTACAATATGAATATGATGTACACTCAGACGTATAACTCTGCATAAATGTACATGTAAGACTGTACCATCGAATATGAACGAAACTGCTGTGTTCGCCAAAAATAAGAACGGGCTAGGCTAGAACCCTGACCCCGTTCTTCGGTGCGCGGCAGTACTGTAGTGTAGTGTTCCGTATGTTTGTTGACTATGGCATGCACGCAGAAGCCAGCGGATGTAAAAAGTCCAACTCGGAAACGGCTAAAAACGGGGTATCCTCAAATTTTGCCGAGCTGAAAATCACAGGGTACGTAGGGCTTGTAACAGTGAGTCGAATGCTCTTGGTCCGAAGAAGCTGCGACAGATGGTTCTCAAATCGAACGCGTTTCGAATATTGGCCATTTTTGCACACAAATAGATGGTGTGGCTACCTGGCTGCACACTGTGACCTTATCACCTGGATCAGGTAGACTGCGTGCTCGCTTTCGCTCATTTTCGATTGGGCGTATCTGACGAACCATGGACCGCAGCCTCCTCGGAAAAGAACATTCGACTCAGCGCCCCAAACTCTACGGGTCCTGAAATTAAAAAAAATCATCAGACTTCCCCTCTAATACGTAAGGCAGAACTCATTACAGTCCTTGATTAGAAGTTGACATATTCTTGTACGAATCCGGTGGCAGCCACAACAATGTCTTTTGTGAAAAATGTCTGCAAGCCTTTTAAAAAGCATCTCCCACCAGGCATTCGATCGAATTTTTCATGGCGTGGAGATTTGTTACGGCGTGAACCGATGCTTGGCGTGTAGAATTTGCTTTTTGATGTGTTCTTTGGAAGATGCAGTCTTAAAAATGGTGTGGATGTCTTTGTTTCTGTCCTTCTGCTGTCCTCGTAGAAAGAATAATATAGACGTGCAGAAAATGTAGGAGAGCGATGACATCAGAAGGACACTCTCAGGTTCAGGGTACCTGTACTGCCCCAATAAATTGGGTCAGATCCCAAAACGAGGTTGGCCGAAGCAAAAAAAATAGAAGAGCCTGCCTTGAATTGAATATGAGGAAGAAGAAGAAGACAAAGAAAGAAAAAGAGTAGGAATTTGCTTGTGTAAACTTTGTTTCCTCTGTCTAGGCTGCCATCGCATTATAGCAGCCAACAGTGTGTGTGTGTGTGTGTGTGCGTGCGTGCGTGCGTGCGTGCGTGCGTATGTGTGCATATGTGTGTGTGTGTTTGCGTCTGTGTGCACACGCTTGTGTGTGTGTGTGTGTGTGTGTGTGTTTGCATGTGTGTATATTCTGCTAATCTTGACTTAAATTTCCACATCTGGGCATATTGTGTTCTGCATGTGAATTTATCTTCATTAACTTGTGCACTACGTTCCTTTCTTCACGTTACGGCACTTTAGTATCGTTTTACTTGAACATCATACTCTCGCCCAACTTTGTTTCACCAACAAAGGTTTATTCTCCAAAGTATTTCTAATTGATTGTGTATGAGTTTCATACTACTGTCAGGGGCGTCGGAAGGTATTTTAGTGTGGTATGGTCAGCCATCTGAAGTACAATTGACTCGTGGGGGAGTGGTGGCTGAGCCGAAAATTTTTGAATTTTAGATCCCAGATCAGTGTATTTTGTTGACTCACAGGTATCTGGGGCAAAAAGTGGTACGGTCAATACCGTAGTGACCGTACCGTGTGCGACGCCCCTGACTGTTGGAATCCACCAGCTGTGTTTCCTTGAGGGGCGTATCCTTACCTGGGATGTGTTTTCTCATTCCCGGCAGCAGAAAGAGCTCTACAATATGTATATAATTTAAGAATAGAATTTGATGTACAGGAGAGTGCCAATTATCCCCACCCCTCGGGACGCGGGCTGTCTCCAGAGGGTTCAGATGAGAAGAATGTTCGGATAAGAGAGCAGTCACACATCTATCTAAATCATGCATATTCCAGCATGTTTTCATCATTTTCGTTCTCTTCAGCAGTGAAACAGGAACTAGGTGCACTCATGCTCCTCTAAATTAATGACACTATTATTACACATTTTGACTCAAACCTGTTTTAATACATCTTGTGAATCGCTTCAATGGTGCCCCGAGCGACGAAAATCACTAACTTTGAAACTCATCTTCTACCCCTCAATTAAATGCAAGCAATTATTTTGGATAATTAATCATTTGGATAGTTGACATTAGGATAATCGGCACATTGTGTGTGATGGGGGGGGGGGAGGAAGAGGAGGAGGCTGCGAGAGGCCGTGGTGGACGTGTACCGGCTTGTGCACAGCCTGGAAATAGCCTCACTTTAGATGTATGCACATTCAAACGGTGGATGCTTCCCGCCATCCTTTTCCCCCTCTTTTTCCTTTTCCCGCCATTCTTTACCCCCTCTTTTTCAATTTCCCGCTCTTCTTTTCCCCCTCTTTTTCCCCCTTTTTCTCCCCTTTTCCCCCTTTTCTGCGAGAAGATTAGCCCCCTCCTTGTAGTAGTAGATCTACTAGTACTACTAGTTTGAATGCAACGGCGACAAGCTTGCACTAGCTGTTAGTTTATAGTTGTATGACTTTAGTGCCACCATATTCATACTAGCCATAGCCATAGCATAATAATAGGTCTACCTTCTGACTGAACTGTTACTCCTGTTCGGGCAAGTACGCGTGTGATCGCAGCGTGAGCGCTAGCGATGCGTGAATGCAAACATTAATATGAAACCACTCTGAAAACATCAATTACAAAGGCCGCTTCTGCTTTCCGGAATTCCTTCCTTGGATGTAGTAATGTAGGGCTAGGATGGGACACAGGCATTGCGCAGTTTGAAGGGAAATGACCGGTAAGTTCGGCGGTAACCTGGCGTTCGTTTAGCTAAGCTTCTCAGCTGAGCGTCACCCGTCCACGATCCAACATGGACGTCTACAACTGGGGAACGGAGCTGGTCACCCATCCTCGCAAGATCAAAGAAGTGTTCCACGTCCAGGATATTATTGACGTAGTGACGGACCCCGACCAGTTTCCGTCCCCGGTAAGGGCACTGGGCTCTCGTCATTCGCCGACGAAATGCATCGATGCTGATGGCGGTACAGTGCTGGATATGCGCCACCTCAACTTCATCAACGAACCGAACGAAGCCGAACTGACAATAACGGTCGGCAGCGGTGCGATCTACTACGACATTGCCCATTTCCTGCAAGATCGCGGCTTTATGCTTCACGTGAACACTGAGATCGGAAACCTGACGGCTGGCGCAGCCGTTATGGCACAAACAAAGGACGCCTCATTCCCCGGCGAGTACGGACAAGTCAGCTCGTATGTTGTGGGAGTGAAGATGGTGACGGCACAAGGTAAAACAAACCATCATCATCGGTGAAGTGTCTGTATGGGCTTTGTTGCTGCGATACGGATACTGGAGTGCTTTGAGTCCGTAAGGTCGGAGTCCCCGTGGCGGGTGACAAACTGATAGTGGATTTGCGACTTTACACCAGGTGACTTGTGACATTTTGTAAGTAAAGTAATACGATGCCACGTATAAGTGCCACGGGCAGTGATAATTATGTGGCGGAAGGCAATGGGCTAAAGGGGACATGTGGGACATATGGCCCACATGTGCAATGTAAAATAAATCAGTATTGAATCAATTTATGAGTACAGCCATGTACATGTAAAAGTTAGTTAGAGTTACTTAGTTTGCAAGTCCGCATTACAACCGGCTATACAGCGTTGAGAAACACAACCAGCTTAGGAAGTTTCGCTCGTGCCAGGCCACCACCATGCCTGTAATACCAGGGTGGCAGATGCAGCACCTAGTACCTATCGCGGGGGGGGGGGGGGAAAGGTGGTAACTCTCACAACCAATGTCAATGCCCGACGAGGAGGCGAACCTCGTTAGCTGCATCCATGTTACCCTCACTCCAAGAAGTGAGTACCCAGTTGACCGTGGGTGTCGGCACAGTTCCTTGCATGTATAGTGGTTCACGCATGCATCACCGCACTTGTTAGCACAGTTCACGCTCCCTGCTCCCAGCGCGTCTGGAACTCAGGACCTTATGATTCGCAGGCAAGCCTACAACCACTCGGCCAAAGCGCATGTACATGTAATTATAAGTCTTTGCCTTGGGGACCCAACACTTTAAGGTCTAGCCCCCACCGGTGCACCCCTTCTCCCTCCGAATGCTGAGGCTGTGATGATTGATGGTTCATACTTCCAAGTCCATGTATCTATTCGGCACAACTGATGTAATGAGTGCATGGAATGCGCACGTGCACACTGAGTCATACCCACAGGGTAGACGAATAATTAGTGGTGGGCATGGGTAGTCGGGTAGACGGGTACGGAATCTGAATAGTACCCAGAAAGTCGCAGATGACATCATGTACAGTGCAAGTGTACAAATTCATGTAATAATCCGCATGTCTACCCAGTGTGTAAGGGAGGGGGTGCATTGTGGTGTTACCATGGAAACATTACCTGATAGGGTACCCGTGCTACCCGTGGAAAACTACCCGGACCCGATGCCCGAAGAAAATGCTACCCGACTCGGCCCTACAAGTAATTGCCAAGGCAAGAAGAGTATTCTAGAAAGAAACGGCGAGGAGACAATAATTTGATAACCGCAATCAATAAGACAAGCTGAATCAACATTTGTGTATACTTTATTCATGCACTGTAAAACGGTGGAGACGATGTGAAATAAAACGATGAAAGTAGGAAGAAATAATGTGGAGAAAAATTAGGATCCAAACAAGTTTTCGTACAACACTCATCAGGAATCGTCGTTGTACTAAAGGACACTGAAGCGAAATTGAACTATATATAATATATAATATAGAACTACGGAGGAATCGGAGGATGGAACGAATGGCGAAGGAAGCAGTGAGTCGGGGGTCGGGGAGCAATGAGGAGAGTGGTCGTGCGACTGCCGGTTGTAACCATACTAGTCAGAGGGTCGCCAAGGCCAGCCGCAGGGACGATAGGGGGGACAGTCCAGTTGGGATTATCAAGATGACCAGCAGAGACAACCTGCTTGTTTTGCACATCGGCTATACATGTATCCTTGACGCCGTCCACACTCGTGAGTGACTGAACTGGGGTGCGGGGGTTGCTGCGACGTTGGGAGCGCACAAATCGGTAGAGGGAGGGACGATCTGGTGATGAAATTGTTGCAGTAAAGGAGTTGATGTAGTAACGATGCAAAGTGCGAGATAAATTCTTCACTATGTTTCGTTGAGCGTAATAGGCCCCATCCCAAAGAGTGTGCAACTCCTGCATACAGTGTTATCCTATCAAGCTCGTGCCACTCTTACTAGTCTTAGGATGTGACTATGGGCAATTTTTTTCCGACATTTGTACAAAATGCTGTTTCACTGGTCCCACAGTTTGTGCTGGATCAGATCGCGCAATCACAAGTTTGGTATTTCCTAAAATTGGGGCCGGTCCTGTATTGCTGCCTGTCTCAAATATGAGCCACATCATTTCAGGGATTTGGTGTGAATTTTTTTCATTTCATTTTTTGGGTAAAGTATTTGCCTATTTGGGCTTGCAAACCACTAAGCGCCTCGGCCAGTATTGCCGAAAACACGCCATGTCCACTACTGGCCTCCGGAGACGTCTGAAAACATTACTTCGAAGTACTTCTTTTGAAGTACTTGTAGGTATAATTATGTGTACATGACTGTACACAATACACTTTTGCATCATTTTCACAATACTAGTATTGAAGAGCGATAACTAGACTAACTAGATCAATCACTATTCAGAAGGACTTCCGTCCAACATAGGTACATGTATGCTCTGTCGGCACTTGTCCCACAGCTGCATTTTGTTCTGTGTCTTGCAGGTGAAATACTGGAAATAGATGATGAACACGATCCAGAGCTGATGACATTCATCCGCTGCAGCTACGGACTGCTCGGCATCGTGTACGAGGTTACCTTCCAGATCAAGCCATTGCGCCTTATGCGGCTTTATCATAAGGTTTGTTGCTGTTGGTATTCCAGTAGAGATGAGCCCCGGAAGTTTGTGAAATACTACAGTCTGTATCGGCTATAGTGTACCCTTTTGATTTCCGTGATTTTATCACTATAACCGATGCATCACTATATGCGATACGATCGATTTTTTTCGATCGACACATGAAAGGCACGGAAATACTTCCAGCATGGCGTTTTGACAAATGAGCATGCTGCATAGTTGACAGTGCCCGCATTTCCATAAAAAATTTCTGTTATGTACATGTACATGTGTCACTATCAAAATAAGCAACGTGAAGAAAGTAAAAAATAGGGCCTTTGATATTATTGCTACATGTATTTTAAAGTTATCACTATAGCCGATTATAATGTAGTGTGTTATGCATGTTTTGATTCTTTGTTGCCATCATGATATCCGATATATCATTACATCCGATAATATTGGTTATAGTGATATTTGTACTGGATAAAATACGTTTTGCTTTTGATATTTCGTACCAATATCACTGTAGCCGATATATTCTTATATCCGGTCACTCTATAGCCGATACAGACTGTAGTAGGAAAACATACACACATGCACATCCGCTAGTTCATGGCTTTTAATTGACTGTGGCTGTAACACTGTTGGAAAACAGTCCATTCCAGCAGAGAGCTTGAAACTGAGTAGTCAGTGTCGGTGTCGGTAATACATGTGTAATGGAAGACTCAGTGAGGACCAACTGCATAACCTACGCACAAGAACTGCGTGGCCTTTGCAGTAAGTTGAGTTGTTGCAGTAAGAAGAGTGCACTATAATGTTACTGCACACCCCTTTCCTCCTGTCCCTCGCATTTCAAAAGTCAGTGAATAAGCTACATAATATAATAGTACATATGCATATCTACAATGCCAAGGTGTGGACATGTGGAGATCGATGATGCATTGTCCGAAACATAAGTACCGTAAAGTCGCGGATAAAAGCCGGGTTTGCATACAAGCACATCGCGGATAGAAGCCTGAAAATCAAACGGGTCAATGCATATAACTATTATAAGCCTGTCGCGCGTAGAAGCCTGGCTTCTATTCAAGCGCGGATCGGGTAGGTCAAGAGTGCATGCGCTATGTACAGTGCATAGTAAAACTGCCGCCATACCGGTAGTCAGTGGTAGATCTATGCGTGTCGCGCGTAGAAGCCTGGTTTCTATGCAAGCCCGGATCGGCCGATGTGCATACAAGCCTGGCAAAAATATCAGTGGTGCATATAAGCATGGTTTGCATACAAGCCTGGTTTGCATTGAAGCCTGATGCAGAAAGCGGCTTATGTGCTTATAAGCCCGGCTTTTATCCGCGACTTTACGGTAATTAAATAGGTACAGCTGAGGTTCTAAGAAGTGGGGCTAGCCATAGGGGGCAGTGTGTAACTGGTTAAATATGGTATTCGACAACGGTGCGGGTTTTTTTTACCATAGGTCTACACCCTAGATGAATTCCTGGATGACTTGGACGACATCCGCGCATCTGATGCATCCGTCATGTACTACATGTTGCCGTTTCACGGTTACGTCGCTGTTGAGTATCGCTCGTACGCCGTCATTGAATGCAGCGAAGACCGCGTAGAGAAGCAGCCGGACGTTGTGAACAACAAGCACCTCTTACGTCACGGCAGTGACTGGCAGTTTGCCATTCGCAATGTCTATTGGGCAAAGGTAGGTCACTGGGCACATTTTGTCACTAGCTTCATGTCACTGACACTGGGCATACGAGTACCTGGCTCCTTATAAAACAGCGTCTTGCTCTCTGCTATCATAATTATGGTGGTGTTTTGACTCGTGAAACGTGACTCTGCACTGCTGTATGACTCGTGAAACGTGACTCTGCACTGCTGTATGACTCGTGAAACGTGACTCTGCACTGCTGTATGACTCGTGAAACGTGACTCTGCACTGCTGTATGACTCGTGAAACGTGACTCTGCACTGCTGTATGACTCGTGAAACGTGACTCTGCACTGCTGTATGACTCGTGAAACGTGACTCTGCACTGCTGTATGCTCACTGTACATGTAGTAGAATAGTTGTGAGTCTTAGGACTATTCCTAAACTGCAGTAAAGGTTGCATGCACGAGTACTCCCTTCGTATGTGTGTGTGTGTGTGTGTGTGTGTGTGTGTGTGTTTGTGTGTGTGTGTGTGTGTGTGTGTGTGTGTGTATGCTGTTGAATGGTGCAATCCCAGCACACGCTGCTATGGCTTCTGCTGTAGCATCGCTATCATCGCCTCCGGCGATGGGCGTCCAATGCGGGTCTAATGGTATGTATGTGTGTGTGTGTGTGTGTGTTGTTGTGCAGATTGGCCCCGTTCTGGGCAGCATATCAATGTCCATACCGCGACCTCTTCTCGGAATCTACTCCAGTGTGACTAACCTGGTATTGTTGAAGACGTTGGGAGTACTGGCTGGCTACCGCATCCTGCCCGCAGAGCAGATTATTCTCTACGAGGAGAAGCCACTGAGAGCATCCCAGTACACTTTCTCCATCAACACCTTCTCTGTCGGCACCTTCAAAGAGGCCATGCGCGACTACTTTGCATTTGTGCGCGACTACTATGAGAGAACCGGCTGGAGAACGTCGCTGCTGCATGTCGGCTATCGGGTCTGCCAGGACACCAGGTCGTACCTCTCCTACACCGCCGACGGAGAGTCAATGTCGCTCGACCCCGTGACCAATGCAGACGGTGGATGGTACCCGTTTCTGAAAGACTACAATAAGTTTTGCATGGCACATAATGGCAAACCGCTCATGAATCAAGCGCCTCTTCTCACCCACCAGCAAGTTGACATGAGCTTTGGACCGATGATCAAGGAGTTCAATGTCCACCGCAAGAAAATGGATCCTGACAATCGCTTCCTGAACAACTACTTCCGGGAGCTGTTTGCTCTTTAAGCCGTGCTGCGATGGTGCCGGGATGTTGCCTGTCTAGGAGATGGTGTATGGTGCTTGAAGTAGCCTTCAGTGGCTACATGGTCACTGCCCCCCCCCCCCCCCCCCCCCTGTTGCCAAGCTGTCTGCCATCCGTTCAGTACCGGCCAGTATGTCAGCGCAACTCTGGTCTGTTATTTGCATGCCCGCTGCTGCTAGCCAGCTTGCTCAATATGCTCTCGTTATCGCGGCGGCGTGCAGAGTGTAGTCGGTAGTTAGTTTTGTGAATGGTTTACTTGAAGACATTGTAACTGCTGACTGAAGACTTGTGCGTCCTGAAGGACAGTAGTGAAGTTAGCTGTTGAAGTAATTGAATTTATATTTGTTGTCTAGTTTGTGTTGTCTTGTTGGTAGTTCGCACACGGTATCACGTTCTGACAGATGTTTATCAGACCTTTGTATCATCTGCCAACAGTTGTTTCTCCTATCCCATCCTCCCTATGTGTTCACTCATTTAGAGTACTACCTACTGCATTCTGTCCCTGCCTTGTTACCATGGTTACGCCACCCCTGCACTGATCAGGACCGCCGGAAGCACTGAGTTTTCGATTGGTACCGTCCGGTAGTATTGTGGCCTTTCATACGAGCGTACTTTGTGTATTGATACGGTGGATATATACATGTATGCCCTCCACAGAAGTAAACACATGTTGGTGGCCAACATGTTGGTCTGGTGATAACAAGTTGACCAACCGGACCGGTTCCGGCGGGCCTGCCTCGGATTGTAACGTGAAAGCCGTTATGAACACGTTTGTCCGCATCTGCTACTGCCTATTCACATCCCTCACAATGTGTACTATCGCACACAATGTTCACTCACTAAAATACAGAAATGCACGGTAGCAGCACGGTGTCCACTTTCATCACTGTTCAAATTTGTTGTCTCAAAAACCACTTTTAGGTTAGGTTTAATAGGTATTAGTTGCCCTGCCTCTAATAATAATTATTATAATTATATTCCAGAAAGCACAGATTTACATGGTCTTGAAGGCAAAATGAAACTTCAGTATAGTGGGCCTTGGATATATATGCAACATGCTTTTCTCTTTGCATCGGATATACTGGAAGTTCTTTTCATTTTCTCAGTCATTTGACTTCCGGGATATTGCACACAGTGACGGAGATTCAGTTACAGACTTACATGTACACTGACTAAGTAACTAGTAGTTACAGTACCTCGACTAACGTAGTAAAGAGGTTACATCATCATAATTGTTATCAGTTGAGCTGCTTTGGTAAACGCGGCAGCGACGCACTACTGAGCTCAAGCGAATCCGCCGACCCAGACAGTATACATAGCGCCTATGTATCTAATATTGACTGAGTACGAGGTCAATAGGATATAAAAGCCAAGTAAAAGACCGAGGCGAAGCCGAGGTCCTTTACGAGGTTTTTATTTCCTATACTGACCAAGTACGAAGTCAATAATTTTATTATTGGTTTGTAATTGCAATAAAGAGAACAAATTCTGTGTTACGTTTAGTTCACTGTTCCGCTCATGTCACTGGCACCTTTCATGCATTGCTTGCATGCGTGTTTTACATGCCCGCGCCTGTGTGGCTGCACGTGTCGCGTGACCGATGCAAATCACTCCAGATTCCCGCGCTGCGCACGTGGAGGCTTGTGGTACTGCGTGTTTCGGTTTTTGGTCTGGCTTTGTCGACCAGTAGTGTCTTTTGCTTTGCTGTTCGCTTGGTGTGTGTTTCTCTTGGAAGTGTATTCCATTCTTGTGTTCTTGCTTTATACGTTGTAGTGATGAGAGTTGAAGTTGGTTTTCTGTCAACACTGAAAGTGTCCATCTGTGCGTGGTGAAGATTCTTGCGTAGTTTGTTTGTGAGAGTGTGTTCCGAGCATTCTACAACGAACCCTAATTGAAAGTAACATTCTGCAGTCATCGCCACACTACAACGAAGTCATGAAAGGTTACCGGAATTAATTTTCTTGTCACATTCATCAGTGGAAAGTCGTGACTGAAGAGTAACCATGCTGAACAATGATTTTAAAAATATACATGTACATTCAGTGATGTTCTCACTTCACTTCAATTGTCTCACCTTCCCTCATTCTATTTTGGCACTGTATTTTGTTCTCGCAACACATCACTGAATGTATATTTTAAAATCATTGTTCAGCATGGTTACTCTTCAGTCACGACTTTCCACTGATGAATGTGACAAGAAAATTAATTCTGGCAACCTTTCATGACTTCGTTGCAGTGTGGCGATGACCGCAGAATTTGTTCTCTTTATTGCTATTATAAAACTGTTGTCTCCACGTGGATCAATTGGTTTGGTTTGGTTTTTATTATTTCAGTTCGTTGCCTCAACAGTACAAAGTACAAATAAATATCAAGAGGGACGAACGAAAAGAGAAAGTAAAACAGAGCAGAAAGGAAGATGCAACTGAAAGGTCAATATTAGATTTATCACGACTAGCCAAAGCCTGTGTTCAATCCCTAAAAAGGAGTCAAATATACATGTACATGTACATGTAAGCAGTCAATATAGGCCTAAGCCTAAGGAGTGAAATATGCAGGAATATTTGACTGCTTAGGTATAGCAAAAACCTATGGGAGTCAATACTATTTATATATATAAAGGGAGTGATAAACATGATTGTATCCTTGTCGGGTGCCGAAGAATGGAGTGTCCAAGAACGAACAATAATAATTATTGCAAGTAAAGCTAGGGTTTCACAAGGCACAGCATACCAATGACATGTATACTATACCTGGTACCTGGTAAACACGGTGACTCAACTGACAACTGTGCACTAGTACGAGTACGAGTTATACAGTCATGAACGGCCTAGGCTACACTGTACTGTAGTCTGTAGGACTCGGACTCGGAGGCTGCCCTCCCCCCTCCTCCCTGCACTGCGCACACGTGACACAATCGAAAAACAATCATCTGATGACACACAGCGCGACAATCAGGATGCTCAAACAAATGACTAGCAATGCATTAATGGACGACTCATACTTATCAGAACTAACATCAGAACAATCAGCATGTGCGGTGGACACATCCGATATCAAATGGCTAGTCGAGTGGACCCTAGCCGTTGCCTCTGCCGGTGCTTTAAGTTTTAGCCGCTGCCATTGGCATTGCCGTCGTTGCCGATCTTGTCATTCTTCTAGTTGATGCGGTTCCTGTCACTGCCACGCCAGTGCAGTAGGTGTCTTGTCCGGTTGTTTTTCCGGTGGTCTAGTTGAGGTGACGTTGCTTGGTGTTGATGTCAGTGCTTTAGTCTAGAGTTTAGACTCTGTCATCGCCGTCGTTGCCGATCTTGTCATTCTTCTAGTTGATGCGGTTCCTGTCACTGCCACGCCAGTGCAGTAGGTGTCTTGTCCGATTGTTTTTCCGGTGGTCTAGTTGAGGTGACGTTGCTTGGTGTTGATGTCAGTGCTTTAGTCTAGAGTTTAGACTCTGTCATCGCCGTCGTTGCCGATCTTGTCATTCTTCTAGTTGATGCGGTTCCTGTCACTGCCACGCCAGTGCAGTAGGTGTCTTGTCCGGTTGTTTTTCCGGTGGTCTAGTTGAGGTGACGTTGCTTGGTGTTGATGTCAGTGCTTTAGAGTTTAGACTCTGTCATCGCCGTCGTTGCCGATCTTGTCATTCTTCTAGTTGATGCGGTTCCTGTCACTGCCACGCCAGTACTTGTGAAACCAAAAACTTTCAAGATGTTTGTAAAGAGCCTGAAGTGTGTCCTTTTTATGAGTATTATCGCATTTTTGTCTCAGAGGAAACTGTTTACAAGTAACAATAATTATTATTTGAAACTCGGATGTTGAGCCATAAATAAATGTGGAAGAGAAAAAGACATAATTATGGATACGAGTTAAGAGTAACTCTCCATCACTGTAACATGATACTATAATTATACAGTCAGAAAGTGCAATAACTAGGCACAACACTGACAGAGTACTGAAACATTCCACGTCCTGACACCTAGCTTCAACACATCTCCGTAGCGCTAATCGACAGCCTTCCAACTTGGAAGGTTCAAGGTTATGGAAAGACCAAAGAGGGGAAGGCAAGCGCAACGAAAACGAGCAAAAGCTACAGTCCCAACGGAACAAAGAATGTCGATTGTTACTGGACGATGACGAGACCAGTACGATATTTGACAAAGCGGTCTAACTACAATTAGAAGCAGCAAAGCAGCACACCACCCAACTTGGGTGGATCATAAATATCAAAGATAAGTAAAGAAAGGGAAGCTTTGCGAAAACGAATTGTACAAGCCGAAAGTCAAACTACTAGGCTACAGTACTCCTCATGCATGACATTGTGATGGACTAGTTGACTACAAAACAAGTTGTTTCACACGACGTACGTTTCGCCGTATGGTTCGTGACGGCTCATCAGGTGTGCAATTTGAAACTCGGATGTTGAGCCATAAATAAATGTGGAAGAGAAAAAGACATATGGATACGTTAAGAGTAACTCTCCATCACTGTAACATGATACTATATTATACAGTCAGAAAGTGCAATAACTAGGCACAAAACTGACAGAGTACTGAAACATTCCACGTCCTGACACCTAGCTTCAACACATATCCGTAGCGCTAATCGACATTCTTTGTTCCGTTGGGACTGTAGCTTTTGCTCGTTTTCGTTGCGCTTGCCTTCCCCTCTTTGGTCTTTCCATAACCTTGAACCTTCCAAGTTGGAAGGCTGTCGATTAGCGCTACGGAGATGTGTTGAAGCTAGGTGTCAGGACGTGGAATGTTTCAGTACTCTGTCAGTTTTGTGCCTAGTTATTGCACTTTCTGACTGTATATAGTATCATGTTACAGTGATGGAGAGTTACTCTTAACTCGTATCCATATGTCTTTTTCTCTTCCACAATAATTATTATTATCAATATTAATGCACATCACGCAGCCACTTCCACTTCTTGTCATCAGAGTATTTTATTGGTCCGTAAACTGGTAAAGCACTTGAGGGTTCAAGTACTGGGCTAAGCCAAGGTCCATCATTACTACATCATTAGTGTTAGATCTGCTGACAGTCTTATGATAAGTAAGTTATGTTATAGCCAACAGGCAACAGTCCGTGCCAGGTGTGCAGTCCTTCAAAGTTTAGGCTAAGTACTATGAAGTACTTGGCATTACTTTGAAGTCAGTAGATCTACAAGCTGCTGTCGCATCACTGCCACCAAGCGGCATCTGACTGTTCAGACACCAAAATAATCATTAATTTTTCTGAAGAAGACGGTGTGCGCGTGGGCCAGGCAGGCCGGGTCAACTAAACAGCTCTTTCAGTGAGCTCTGCCCACTTTTCACAGTTGAACGCGCACGAACACTACACCGTCTGTGCTGCACTAAACTTTCTAAAGTCTTACTACTAGTACTAATACTGGTCACTACCAAGACTTAGTCATAGCAAGCTGAGCAACCACTACTACTTATTACTATCATTATTATTATTTTGAGGATTTCCAAAAGACACGCCGGTATACGGTAGTCTAAATAATGAAGCCTGAAGGGAGTTCCATTACCGGTATAATGGGACGCTGTGGCAGTGTGGGGTGGAGATAGCAAACAGTCAGTGGATGGCTAATGAACAGCCTACACAGGCTACAGTAGCTGAATGTTCCAAAAATAATAATGATCCTGTACTCAATAATGCCTCGGGGTATGGTACTTACCGGCACTAGTAGATCTACCTATAACTACTAAGTAGATCTACTAGGCTGTAACTAGTAGATCTACATGTAGATCCACTACACTACACTACAGTCTACAGCACCCGATGCATCGATGTAGATCTACCTACCGATCGAAAGAAGCCAAGACTGCATTACATGTCCCATTCGGTACCAGTCCCGGATCGCGGAACTATCTTCAACGGTCGAACTCGGTCAGTAGACTCTACCAAGCTTCTCAAGGCTGTTCGTCTTGTTGTTTGTGTCCATTATGGAGGTAACAAACTGGGGCAGCCTAATCAAAACACGGCCCTCCAAGGTCAAGGAAGTGTTCAAGGTTCAGGATATTATCGATGTAGTGAAGGACCCTGTCCAATTTCCGTCTCCGGTGAGGGCACTGGGCTCTCGTCATTCGCCAACGAAATGCATCGACGCTGATTCCGGTACAGTGCTGGATATGCGCCACCTCAGCTACATCAACGAGCCGGACGAGACGGAGATGACCCTCACGGTCGGTGGTGGCACAATTTATTACGACATTGTTCATTTCTTGGAAGCTCGCGGCTTCATGCTGCGTGTCAACACGGAGATCGGGATGCTGACTGCCGGTGCAGCTGTCATGGGGCAAACCAAGGACTCAGCTTTCCCTGGAGAGTACGGCCAAGTCAGCTCCGAAGTCGTTGCAGTCAAGCTGGTCACAGCACAAGGTAGATCCTACATGGCTACATGGTGTGTTGCAAATTTAGCTGCTACAGTTACACAGAACCGGCGGAAGCAGTTTTTGATTGGTCCGACCATGCCCTAGTCGTTCATACAGTTTGTGGGTGACATGGAGGGTATATACATGACTTTCATACAGTTTGTGTACGGTATGGAGGGTATACACATGACCTCATCAGCAGCAAACACACGTTGGTGGCCAAAAAGTTGGTCCGGCCATGGCCTGACCAACCAGACCGGTTCCGCCGGGCCTGCAGTACTCATGGTACTGGGTCGCAGCTGCTTCGGCTGCCATCGCTATGCCAGTATGTGCCTCCCTGCGATTTCCTGTTGGTGTTTTGCACCATGACTGTAATGATGACAGTGGAGTATGCCTAGTCCATAGTTATTATGTCTGGCTCACACTCACTAGGCCGATGTTTCGGCACGTGCTCCGACACCGACCCCGACATGAAATCGGCCGACTGGGTAGGACCTATACACACACACAAATTTGTCGGAAATGCATGCGACTGCACCGTCCACACCAGGCAATTTTTGCTTCGACCTCGAAAATTTGTCGTGCTAACAAGTTATCTCATATCAGCCGAAAACTCGCCCCAGTGTGGGCCAGGCAGTGTGGGCCAGTGTGGGCCAGGCAGTGTGGGCCAGGCATGAGACAGGCATGAGACAGGCATGAGAGAATCATTGTGTTTTGTTTGTTTGCTTTTATCAGGAGTCGGACGCTTTACTTGCGCACATACCGGTCCGTCAGAGATGCTATGAGCAGCGGCAGGGAGGGGCGGGGGGCAACACAAGACATGAAATGAAGGGGGGGGGGGTCCGGGGTGCAGGGCAGCAATATGGGCACTAGAGCAGATGGGGTTGGGGGGGGGGGGGGCATCACTAGGAGACCACTTGGAGCCTCGGAGTCATGCCCACACAAACTATGTCTGGAACTGAGGTAGCAAGGTGCATGAGGCAAACGCTAGAGAAGACATAGATAAGTAGGGGTCCGGGTAATGACTCGGACATTTTGGGGATGGAGGATGTGACGTGGAGATGGTGGCCACAGAGGGAAAGGTTGCCCCAAGTTTTTATATAATCCTGTAGCTATTTCCGAAACAGGGTACACATAGCTGAGCACAATGTATTTGAAGTATGTAAGTTGTATAACGCACAAGTTGAACCTAGGCTAGTGTGCAGAGTAACAGGACCCATTGTTGAAATCCTGCACATTTACGGAATTCTAGGCATGTTTATTTTGTCAAAACACTACTAAAATATGACAAGAAAGGTTCTGGGTTCGAGTCCTGGTGTGTTTGGCATTTTTTCTCTTTTGTACAGCATCTCTCTCTCTCCCTTCCTCCCTCCCTCCCTCCCTCCCTCCCTCCCTCCCTCTCTCTCTCTCTCTCTCTCTCTCTCTCTCTCTCTCTCTCTCTCTCTCCAAGTTCTCTCCGTCACTGATAAGACACTTCCCTTCATTTCATTAATTTTATCGAATGCCTTCTTTCTCTTCTCTTCTCAGGGGAGATACTGGAAGTTAGTGAAAAGAACGACCCTGAGTTCATGAAGTTTGTGCGCTGCAGCTATGGAATGCTGGGAGTTGCATTTGAAGTCACCTTCAGGATTGTTCCACTGCGTCTCATGCGCGTCTACCACAAGGTTAGTTACTACTGACTGGCTGTCCGCCAATTTCAGTAGGGCTGAAACAAGTATACAGTGTACTGAATATTTGACTACTCACTCGGGTTTTTGAACAATAGTCATACTCGGAGTACATCAGAGAACTTGTTCATGCATCGTACATTCATTCACTGCGGAAAACAGCAGTTTCAGAACAACAATGTACATATTTAAAAGGTGCAAGCTGTGTTGTCAACATTAGTACAGGAGTAGAGAGAGAGCCCAACTGACCCACCAATCTATATGCCGGCACATGATATACTCCGTAAAAAAATGCCCTGTAATTGATTTCAACTAGGGTAGATGCTCCACGTGCCTGCTTTCGGTATGCAGTGCTTGTCTGTTTGGGTTGCTTTTGAAAGCTCTTTTCCAACTTGATACAAATTAATTTTAGACTTTATAGAAGCTACGACGCACGTGGCCAGTTGAGAAATAATTTGACCCCCCCCCCCCCCCCCACCACACACACACACACACACGCACACACACACACACACACACTGTGCCCTTGGCCCACATTCACAACAGCTGTCACTCGGCTGTATGGAGGATACGCAACACTCTATCCAAGAATGAATTTCCTCTCGCTATGGTGTTGTGAATGCAAGCCAGGAGCGCAGTGCGGATGGAGTTTTGGAGTGTCTCAAATTATAATCCTGTAATTATGACCTGTAATGAATCTGTCAAGCTGGACCTACTGTGTAGTTCAGGGCTGGGGTACACAGGGCGCAGGTTCACTAATAACTGCTGGTACTACGGAACCTTTTTCGAATCTTGCAGATGAGTTACTTTCTGTGTATCGTTTTCTCATTGGCTCTTCCGATCCCGACAGCATTTCACGGTGCCAGAGTTCATAGAGCAGCTTGCTGACATACGCGCAGCCAGAGCGGCGTTGATGTACTACATGATGCCCATGAGAGGCCTGGTCGTGGTCGAGTATCGCACGTATGCACCGGATGAGAGCGAGGAGGACGGTATACAGAGGGAGCCAGGCGTCGTCCATAACAAGCACCTCCTACCACTCGGAGACAGCAGCATCTTGGCAGTGCGCAACTTCATATGGGCAAAGGTGTGTTTTGCTTCAGAGTATATCACTGGCTTGCTCGCTTGTCATTTTCATGTGTTCGCTCTTATTGTCATAGGTATTGGGGGCACTGCCTCTCAGTGTATGGCAAGCATCCATTTGTAGTACTAGTATGTACATTAGGATTGCATCAATCTGGACCATACTTTGTCAAGTTGTGGGTACATGGGATCAGTGTACATGGCTTCAGAGGTGTCAGATGAAATCCAACCCCTGTGGTTGAACCGTGTAGTGTGTTGCCCCCCCCCCCCCCCCCACAGACAGTTCATGCTCATCTCATTGTCACATGACCGTCACATGTGTATGTGTGTGTGTGTGTGTGTGTGTGTGTGTGTGTGTGCGTGCGCGCTGGTATGGATCGACTGCCCGGCTTGGGACTGTTGTGCATTTCTTGCAGCTCAATCCGGTCACGAGTAGACTGCTGCTGTCGGTTCCTAGGCTGCTAAGTGTGCCCGGGTTTTGGCTGGCCAACAACTTGTTGTTCTCAGGATTCAATTTCACTGCGAGCCACCGCCATCTTCCGGCGGCGCAGGTCATCACCTACCCAGAAGATCCACCAGCTTCAACTGTATTCACCTTCTCTATCATGTCGTTCACGGCTGATAAGTTCAAAGAGGCCATGACGGCATACTATAAGTTTGTGCTGGACTACCATGACAGAACCGGGTGGAACGTGTCAATGATGGATGTTGGCTATCGTCTCTTCCATGACGACAAGTCCTACCTCTCCTACACCGACGGCGGTGAGTCGTGGACAATCGATCCCGTCACAAACCCCAATTCCGGCTGGTATCCGTTCTTGAAGGAGTTCAACAAGCTGGGAGCGTCTTTCGGCGGCAAGCCACTGCTGAATCAAACTCCTCTCCTCACGGCCGATCACTTCCATGCCGCTTTCGGACCGCAGATCAGGCAGTTCAATGTTCACCGCAAGAGAATGGACCCCGACAACCGTTTCCTGAGCACCTTCTTCAAGGATCTGTACCAGTGCTCATGAGTTGTGTGTGTGGTGCGATGTTCTCAAGCGCCGATTCACGGGCTCATGGGCAACCCTAGGCTTGTGTTGTGTGTAGGCGTTGCAACTTGCAAGCATCTACAAACAGGCCCTTGGCTGCCGTTAAAGATCCGGAACATTAGCTATCAACTTGGTTTGATGCGAGAGTGTGTTAGTGTTAGCGGTGAAACGAATATACCAAATATTCGTAAGACCGTTTGTGTTAGGTCCGATTTGCAGTTTGCACGAATGTATAATGGTCTTGGCTTTACCTTCTGCGCTCATTGCTAATGGATTGCAATCAGTTCTTTCGTGACTCTTCCTTTTGATCGTTATCGTTGTCAGGCACAATCCCCCCCCCCCTTGTTTTGCTTATCATTCTCAACTTAATCTAGGTTTCCCCGCCAACGGGCAATGCCTGTTGCGACTCTACCAGTACATGTGTTATGAATTCCGCTGCTAGTCATTAAAGGGGAAGTTAAGGCAAAAATTAAAATTTCACCAGTTGTAGTCTTCGGGGTGCTGAGTCGAATGGTCTTGGTCCGAGAAAGCTGAGACGCTCCCTTCCTACTTGAATCCCAATCGAACTCGCGCACTTCCACCGAAACTGGGTGACTGCGCCCTACTAGATGGGGATTTGTATGCAAAATGTCACTAAAATGACCGCGATTGGCCCATATGTTATAGTCTTTTGGTCGCTGAGTCAACTGGTTTTGGTCCGAAAAGGCTGCGATGCAGCGTTCGCCCCTAATTCCCAATCGAACATGGTCGAACAAGCGGTCACGTGCTCCTGCGTACACCAGTCACCTGGTCACCGTGCCTGCAGGGTACAACTTACAGCCTGTTTTGACCTTTTTTGGGTGCAGTCCTGTCACTCGAGTTGAACCTTGGTGTGAAAGTTGTCGCCTGCTGGCGTGGTGACCAGGTGATTTTGGCACCCAGGAGCACGTGACCGCTTCTTCAACCATGTTCGATTGGGAATAAAGGAGGAACGCTGCATCGCAGCCTTTTCGGACCAAAACCAGTCGACTCAGCGTCCAAAAGAGTACAACATATGGGCCAATGGCGGTCATCCGTGCTTTTATAAGAACGAAATGGCGCTTTTAGTGACATTTTGCATACAAATCCCCATCTCGTAGGGCGCAGTCACCCAGTTTCGGTGGAAGTGCGCGAGTTCGATTGGGATTCAAGTAGGAAGGGAGCGTCTCAGCTTTCTCGGACCAAGACCATTCGACTCAGCACCCCGAAGACTACAACTGGTGAAATTTTAATTTTTGCCTTAACTTCCCCTTTAATATTTTGTGATTGTTGTTGCTGCTGCTGCTGCTGCTGCTGCTGTTGTTGTTTCAAATCTTTATTCTCGCGATAGCCAGTGGCCAATAAGAGATAATAGTGTAAGAAAGGAGAAAGAGTGAGGGTGGGCAGAGCCTAGGGATTAATGACTACTACGGGCAGGGTGGTTGCTACACGAGCATACAGAGTTGTGCAACAGCAGGGATATCTGGGATTTGAAGAGAGTACGAGAAGGGATTTCGCGAAGCTGGGTGGGCAAGCAATTAAAGTAATGAAGGGCCTTGTACATGGGAGAATGGAGACAGCGATCAGTCCGCGGAGTTGGCAAGTGCCAAGTACGAGAGCGACGTAAATTATACGAAGGTTGCACGCTGCTAGCAGTATGCAGCGAGAGCATATGTGGTGGGGCATAATTGTGGCCATTTGATGCACTGCAAAAGTTGTTGTTGTTGTTGTTGTTGTTGTTGTTGTTGTTGTTGACTGAACTTTCCCCCGTTTTTATGGATGTTTTGTTCGGCATGACGATTGCATGCAGCCTTGAATCGGGTTAACATCACACACGGCCACCATTGCACGCCGGTCGAAAGACTAACTGTTACCCAGGGAAACTCCTCCAACCAGGATAGTTGAAAGCGGCGCTGTTTGCCATCCGTCTGGACTCTGGACACGCACAGGAAATGAAATCCGTCGCCTTCGGTGGCGCACAATGATTGTCAATGACGGAAATCATTTCCGTGTCCGGCAAATTTCTGTGGAAGTCAAAGTTCAGAATATCCCGAGGCTTCCAACACACTCCCATGTCACTGAAGTAAGTCTTGGATGATCCAGCCGCTTCCAACAACGGTCACTCTACATCTTCGCCGACACCGATTTCTTCCTCAGCGCTGCTCTTTGCAGACTCCGCTTGCAAGTCAGGTGCGTCTGCATTCTCATCTATCGCTTGACCTTCGCCACTGGCTACACGTTTTGCCTGCAGCTCAAAATAGCTCTGAATAGAGCGCTGGCCCTCTGGATGTCGACTTCATCTTGTTTTCCACAAAGCAAAAGCATCGTCCAAAACACAACCAACTTTGTCAAAACAAACTGCAAAGGAAATTTTGACTCTGAGATCGAGGAATCTGGCGATGTACAGTAACTAGAGACTTTACCATGGATTTATACAACCAAATTGACAGCTAATGATTATTGTTACATGTTTGTTGTAGTTCCACGAGTTGACCGCTTCCAGTCCATTCATCGGAAACTGTCCCGCTGGCTTTCGAAAGTCGGATTTGGGCCGAATTGAGGATCAAAAACCCACTTTAAATCTAAAATCTGCTTCTCTATACATTTTGCCATGGCATACCTGTCCTAATTTTGTAAAACCTGGCTGAATTTCTATTTCCCTGTTCTTGGACTTTTCTGGCCTCAAATGTGGCAAGGAGTAATTGCATGGTTCACACAGTGCAGTATGTACTGTTGTTTTCACGATACAGTGTATCTACAACTATATGAGGGAGACACCAAAAAGTTAGGGTGCCAGTTTCCAATGAATGGACTGCATGTAGAGGTGGGCAAAGGGAAAAGACTGCGTAAGCATGATGCAGGCTGAACAATAATATTATGACAAATAAACGTAACGCGTAAGGAAATGATAAATGTATCGATATTCAAGGTGTTTTATTTGAAGAGAAGCAAGAAGGGGTGGAACAGCAGCATGGTATGAAGCACAGCAGGTAACTCGTACAGCTCTACGGGACAAAGTAAACAATCTCTCCCTGGACTGTGCTGATAGGTGAGATGCGTAAACAGGGAAACAATACTCAAAGTCGGGCTGAATCACACTAAGCAGGTACTGGCGACGGGCAAATGTTGCCATTTGGCGGAAGGTGCGTCGCAACGGGGAGAAGAGATGATGTTCCAGAGGCTATACACACACGCTGATGTACAATGTAGGTAGGAAGCGAACCATTTCAGGGCAGAACTATGAATGCCTAAATTGTGCAAAGTAAAGATAAGTTCCGGGTGCGCAACTCGACAAGGGTTGTATGACCCACGTCTCTAGCCAACGTCCAGTCATTTACAGCCACGGTCATGACCTGCACTGTAATCTGTTGATCGCTGCGGTCGGAAGCCAAATAAATAATAATTGATGATCGTGTAGACAAGTATACAGGTCGAAGTCACGCAGCAGTTGATCAAGGGCAAGACGTTCGAGCATTTTGCTGAGAATGCTCGTAAGCGACACTGGGCGATAGTTGAACGGAGAGGTGTGATCACCCTGCCGGGGAGAAGAGAATGGGGGTGTCGGATTTTAAAAAGATGAGGGAAAGTCGAAGATTGAAGAGAAGTATTGAAAATGGCTGAAATAGAAGGTGCAATAACATTGGATGTGGCCTTCAGGATACTGGGAAGAAGGCAATCGGGTCCTGGTGCTTTTCTGCTGTCGAGGGAGGCAAGTCTTGCCCTGACGTCTGTTACAGTGACTTGCCAAAACATACCAAATGTAGATTGAGGCGGGGGTCCATCTGGGATGTCGTACCTGGGGTTTGGATCAGTCACTATCTTATGGAAGAAGGTGTTCAACTCGTCAGCTGCAACCGCAGGAGGGATGTGGCAACGACATCGATTAGTTATGTGGTTGATAGTGGACCACAACAGCTTTGGGCTCTGTTTATATTTTAGGCACACATTCTGGAAATGGGAATTTCTAAGTCGACGGTAGAGATTGTTGCACCGAGTTCTCAGAGAGGTAAAACATCGCTGTAATTTAGTAATGATTGTAATGTGAACTGAAACAAACATGTGCGCATTCTATTTTTCTTCACATCCTTCTTGATTGATTGATTTTTTTGATTGATTTTTATTTCACGGATCCTCCAGAGGCAAATAGATGCCTATCGAAGGGAGTCTCCTAAGTAAGTATGGAAAATGAGAAAGTATGTTCGTAAGGGAGAAGAGGTAGAACTGAAGATACATTAGTACAAAAGAAGTAAATTCAGTACTTCGGGTAGTACATTGCATGCTAATCATAGTGAGAATTAGAAAAGCAGCATTGCGGACTACTATAACTGACATATACACAAACTAAGAAAGGGTTTGCTCCCCACACCGGAGCTCGCGCTATTCCGCCGACTTTACTTGACACTTGACTGACTCACGACTGCCATCCAGAGCACACAGAAGTCCATCGAACCTTCGACTCGGCAAACCTGCAAGAAAGCACCACTCCCTGCTCAATACACAGTGTTTCGGGGAATTCACCCCTCATCAGTTGAGCTTGAGTAGGCTGAGGAAGATTGTGCCTGAAGAGCACCACTTATATAGTGCTCTCCAGGCACAAACATCACAAGGGATACAAACTTACAGAGACGCTCCGTTTCCAGCGCGACAAACACCTCGTGAACACCAGATAGCAGCGTGAGTCAGTGTCGCTCCTGGACGGTGAGACACTTGCGACTAGTTGGTTTGGAGGTGACAGCGTTGCGAATGACCGAGGGTCCTCGACGTCTGTCTCACCGTCCAGGAGCGACACTGACTCACGCTGCTATCTGGTGTTCACGAGGTGTTTGTCGCGCTGGAAACGGAGCGTCTCTGTAAGTTTGTATCCCTTGTGATGTTTGTGCCTGGAGAGCACTATATAAGTGGTGCTCTTCAGGCACAATCTTCCTCAGCCTACTCAAGCTCAACTGATGAGGGGTGAATTCCCCGAAACACTGTGTATTGAGCAGGGAGTGGTGCTTTCTTGCAGGTTTGCCGAGTCGAAGGTTCGATGGACTTCTGTGTGCTCTGGATGGCAGTCGTGAGTCAGTCAAGTGTCAAGTAAAGTCGGCGGAATAGCGCGAGCTCCGGTGTGGGGAGCAAACCCTTTCTTACAAACCATCGCCGAAGTCGCCACCACTACTTCGTACTGTTGTGCCCAGCGCGGACTTGCGACTAGTTGGTTTGGAGGTGACAGCGTTGCGAATGACCGAGGGTCCTCGACGTCTGTCTCACCGTCCAGGAGCGACACTGACTCACGCTGCTATCTGGTGTTCACGAGGTGTTTGTCGCGCTGGAAACGGAGCGTCTCTGTAAGTTTGTATCCCTTGTGATGTTTGTGCCTGGAGAGCACTATATAAGTGGTGCTCTTCAGGCACAATCTTCCTCAGCCTACTCAAGCTCAACTGATGAGGGGTGAATTCCCCGAAACACTGTGTATTGAGCAGGGAGTGGTGCTTTCTTGCAGGTTTGCCGAGTCGAAGGTTCGATGGACTTCTGTGTGCTCTGGATGGCAGTCGTGAGTCAGTCAAGTGTCAAGTAAAGTCGGCGGAATAGCGCGAGCTCCGGTGTGGGGAGCAAACCCTTTCTTACAAACCATCGCCGAAGTCGCCACCACTACTTCGTACTGATATACACAAACTATTGAAACTATCATAGATGTGGTTAGCCTAGACACAAAAGTCAGGAATACCTTTCAAAGAAAACATAGATTGCGAATGATACCGACGAACAGCAATACTAAATTTCGCTGTTGTAGAGAGTGAACGAATATCTTCAGGAGGTTTATTCCAGGCAACACTCAAAGAAAAAAGGGTTGATTTACGAAAGTAGGTGCCAGCTTTAGGAAGAATTATGGATGAAGGGTGACGACTGCTTTGGGAAGAGGGTAGCTGGAAGTGAGACAACAAGGAGGGATATTGGGAGAACACACGGTGGAAATAGACAAGGCCAAGAATCTGCCGTCGCCATGCTAAAGATTCCCAAGAGGACAGAACATTGAGGTCTTCTTTGGAAGTCGTCCAGTCAGGCCGACGCTTGAGTTTACTATTTAAGTATGCTCTAGCAGCAGTAGCCTGCAGTTTATCAAGGGTTGTGGACATGGTGGCTGAAACGGAAAACAGCCAAACGGGAACAGCATATTCAAGGAGGGCACGAACATAACATTTATACAAAAGATTCACAGCAGATTCTTACTTTCCTTCAGTACCTGCAGGCATATCTACTCAATTCATTGGTTGCATTTTCTTTTTCTTTTTGATCCAATCCGATGAAGGGCCAGGCCCGGAAAGATTTCATGAACAATGATTCAGGGGTCTCGGACACAAGCGGCAAAGAGACTGTGCTGGAGCTGAGGGACCCTAAGCCTAACAGTCATGTCATTACACTGTATTCAGTGAATGTTCGAATATTGTACATGAGTCTTGTTGTGCACTGTAGACTGTGTAGTAAATGTACAAAATGTGTCAAAATGTCTGATTGTACTCCTGCTAATTAAATTATTTTACAAGACTTACACCTACAGTTGTAGTATGATCATTGATTGTACTTTTACACAACACTGCAGTATGACTGTACTGATCATGATGAGTAGAATCTCAGTGACTACATGTACAGTAGTATTACATGTAGTACAGTCATACTCAATCTGCGGACAGCATGCTGTTTCGTTCTTTTTGAACTCATCAGCGCAGCACAGAGGAAATGAGGCCGAACCTGATAGCAATGGAAACAGTACAGTACAGTACAATACTCAATAGTACAGTCATAGATACACCTTGTTTTAGTTCACATACGTTATTGGTTTGACAGCATGAAACTGTTTCCGAACACGGTCGGTGTCCTCCACCGTCCTTATTTCATACTGTCAAACCAACAACAACATAGTACAGTCATGTAGATCTACCGGTACTGTAGTACATTGACTTAAAAAAAAAAAAAAGTCTTTGTAGATCTACTGCCGCTGATTATCAGGTTATGACTCACCGAGTCACAGACTGTCAGTATCGGCATGTTGAGACGAATCTCCATCGAACAGATGTCCAGGCTCCACCTGCCTGGGCCGGGGGCAAGGATGGGAATCCAGCGGATATCCCTCGATCCTTTCAGCTGTAGGTCTACCATGTGAACAGGTGGCCCATTGACTTTTGTGGGCTGTCAGTTCGATTGTCAGCACCCGTACCCATCTCCTCAGACAATACTGAGCTCAGACTGACTGTCTTGTTGAAGAGAGCACACAGGGCATGTATGATGTAGTATACGCATTATGATAATATTGCCAAAGAAGTGATAGCAGCTGTAGCTACCGCCAGTACCCAGGTACCGGTTTGTCGAGCTGACTTGCCCGGCCATAATACGCTACCACTAAAAGACAGACGTAGGCGTAGCCTTTCTTGTTTGACCCATTTGGCAGAACGATGTGACATGTCCATGATATGAACAGTCAGTGCCGGTTTATGATAGCCCAGGCAGCAGGTAGATCTACATACCGGTATTCATTGTAGATCTACATCACTCATCAGTACACAATGGTACATCATACATGTACGTAAAGTCGTTCTTTTCACGAACGAGTTATGTCGGTGCTGGCGCCGTGGGACTGAGTCACACGTGCACATGGTCGTTTACACCGTCAGTGTGATTATTTTGTCATGCTTTGACGTTCTCTATTGTTTTTCACGTCATTCTCATCGCGATCCAGCACGCAAGTACAAATCCAAGATCCTGTCGACGATGTCGACATGCCTGATTCTTCTCTTTCCATGATCCAGCCATCTCTGCTCAGCCTCAGCATGCTCAGGCGCGAAAACCAGGGCCAGGCCAAACGCATACTCAGTACCTAGCCTATGCCGCGCGTACTAAGTACTGTACTAGCAGTAGCATGCCTGGGCCATGGCCATGGCCTAGCGCCTCGCGACTCTCTTTACATCAATACATGCGCTTTACCTGCGCTAAAAAAAGGTGAGCCCAAAGGCCAAACCCTTCAAAATCACAAAAAAAGTATGTAGGCTATGAAATATCCGGCCGGCATGCTCACGTGGTGCTAGCTGTGCATATGGATCTTGTATTGACTATGACATTGTACGTATCGAATGGTCTTCTTTGCGTTCATGTACATTTTGTTCTTCGATAGAAAACTAAGTAAACTAATAGTTTGTTGAACAGTTGAAGCGCTCGACTTGTTTCAGTGCTTGTTTGTTCGGCGTGTTCTCCTCTTTGATCGGTGGTAGAACTGGAGGGCACCGCTTTCAGTCGCGGCGACGAGCCCAGCCCATACGCTATATGCCCCGAGTTTCTGCTTTCAAGGTGAATTAGAACAAGGCTCGGTGCGCGCCAGCAGCGCCCTCTTGCTGGCACTTTCCCCAGCGCCATGGCCGCTAGCAATGGTAAGGCCGGATCGCGGAATGCATTCACCTGGGCCTGAGGTGGATGGTGGGGCACAGCAGCAGTAGTTGGTACCCATGGTACGACGTGCGTTATTCATCGCGCGTGGTTTCGATCGTCGATACTGTAAAACACCTTTTCTCCATTATTTGTATCAATAGTCTCATTTGGCCACGTCCTGTGTCCGTGCCACGGTAGCAGCTATTATTATTACTGGCTCTGGATTACCAATAGTAGTACGGAATCTGAATGTACGTGGCCAAAATATTATTTCATTTGAAATTTGGAACAGTCTCCGTTGCCATCACTCCGGGAACGGCGATGTAAAGTAACGGTTAGATGTGTATCCTACCCGCTATATCTATCGAGTCCTGGATGTGAAAGCGCACATGCAATGTAAACTAAACACACACACAGTATTCTTACTCTTAGTGAAAACCTATGATTCTTACAGGCTGTGCATATACGCCATATGCTACTTTGGAATACACGTTACGTTTTGGTATTCCACGTACATGTACTGGGAGTCTGGGAGACGTTGTCATGCAAGTGCATTCACACAGGCACGTACACGCTGCTCGTACAGCTGTGGGTACAGCTTTTTTTTGGACACAAACTGCCGGGAAGGACAGAACGAATCTCGATACAGGGTCAGGGGTATGGATACATCGTCTACGTTTTCGTATCAAGCGTTTGATTTTTCCGCCATGTTCCATGTTGTCATGGCTATCTGGACGAAAACGTTGTGTGCCCCGCGTTCGGGCGTAGTTTCAATGGCCCATTAACTTCCTACAGCCATCTGTTTTGAAGCATGAGAATCTGTCACCTCGGTATGGTTATGTGTTATCAGCGGCTGCGGCACCACTCACTGTCGTATTATGACTTACATCACAGCCTACTGCTGCACAGAGCATTCACTGCATCAACAGACTCCGAGCAACAAACAATGTGACAGATGTGTGTAAGGATACGCTGGAAGGAAATCCAGGCCTTTGCTTGTCGGAAACGAGCACATTCCGGTCCGACGTAACCGAATCAATTTGGACTGTATATATAGTGTATCCTGATGTGTTTCAATGTGAAGCAAGTGAATAAAATGTGTTTGGTCTTGATTGCTTTCTGTGTAAAACACAGGAAGCTTCCAGGCGGTTGATGCTGCCCGTGATGCACTGCCAGCCAGGCTGCTTTGCTCTAGATTTGCCCAGCTACCAGGTAGGACTCGTGCCATGGTGCTGTTTTCCTCTGCCGTATACATGTACAGATAATCGAATATCTCCTCTCCCCCCCCCCCTCTCTCTCTCTCCCCCCCCCCCCCCCCACACACACACACACGTGCAGTGTTTTTCATTTTGCATGCTCTTTCCTAGTCGTGTACACGGCCTTGCTCATAGCCAGACACGGTCGTACTAGTATTGTCTCCCTTGACTGCATGCTGCATGATGCATGATGCATGCTGTGCTGCATGCATTTTTACTGCAAAACACTGACTGAGACACTGCAAGCATTATGACACACTTTAAACTTGAAACTGTCCCTGATCAGCCTTTACACACTGCAGAACAGGCAGAGCCTGTTGGAGGGAATCAGAGCTAGCGTTTTTTTGTTTGTTTGTAGTGCGGCTGCTTGCGAGTATAGACACATGGGCTCCTAAGGTTTGCTTCAGTGTTTGTACATGTACTTCCTCTTCTTTTAGCTGACTCATGTTGGCATAGAGCACTGAGTGTATTGTGCAATGTTGGCATAGAGCACTGAGTGTATTGTGCAATGTTGATGTGCAGCACAGTGTACTTTGTAAATGGTGCACTACCCCGGGGCTCTCCCCTTTCCACCTTCCTTTCACCATCTGTGTATGCTATGGACATGTACACGTTACAGGCAGCACCGATCGACAAGGACACCCCGTAATCTTCATTGATCTCAGTTACGACAGTGATATTTTAGCGTTTTCAAAGTCTGAGGTGCGCAGCTTGATCGACTACTTCATCGCTATTGACCGGTAAGGAGGGGAAAGAGGTAACGTGTATGTCCTGCTGGCCCTGGCTGCTGTGCTCTATAATGAGTACAGGGTCAATCGGGTCAATCATTATCAGCATAACTCCCACTCTTGTGCTATTTGTAGAAAGGAAAAGGACATATGGATACGAGTTAAGAGCAACTGTCCACCACTGTTAACTCGTATCCGTATGCCCTTTTCCTTTCTACATTTATTATTGGCTCAACATCCGAGTTTCATGTGCTATTTGATTGTGTTATCTTTCCGATCTGGCAGTCACTGACTTAGTAAGGGGGGGGGGGGGGGGGGGTGTTCACATCAAGGAATCACATCTTCTAGGGAGATGGAAAGAGAGATCCGTAGCCGTCACAGATTATATCTCACCCAGGATGTGAAACACATAATCTGATGCGTGCCAATTTGCCTATTTACTTCTGACCCGTGCCGAAAGACTGGCAAGGCTTTGTCTTGCTGACCTCGCATGTGCAAGTTAGCGCTGAGCCGGTCTGTGCATGCTTGAGCGTAGATCCTACTGGCAGCTTTATGTTATTGGTTTTCTCTTCTTCTTTTTTTCGGCTCCACTTTCATTACTGTTTTTTGTGCTTTTTTTCCTCTGTCGGTGGTGACAAACAAGGTGGAGGAACAATGATCCCAAACCATTCTGTGTCCTGGTTTCCATGAGCTCTCTTGAAATGGCACAGAGACTAGCGGACGCCCTGAACGAATTGGTAAGGTTATGAAAATTGGCGGACATTCCACAAGGCCATGCCTACATCATCAGTACTGCATGTACTAGTATCCTTGATTGTAAAATTATTACGAAGTATCTTCGAATTTATGGGGCGTTCAGTCTACGTCCTTACAAACGTAGCAGTTAGATACCTAGGGTGTGAAACTGCTCGGAGTAGTTCAGCATTTGCTATCGGCTGTGTGTACATGTGTGCTCCGTGTGTGTGTGTGTGAGCGCGTGTGCCCAATTGGTGCCTAGCTTGTTGCTATCTTTTTGACCGTTTGATTTGGTCTGATTGTATGGGTTTGTGCACTGTCGCAGAGTTCTTCCTGTGAAGGCCTTATCTCGGATGTTATCTGGGTAGTTCATGGTGGCCGTAATGATGTGGACTCCAACTCCTTGCCCGGCGTGAGCAGTTGCACCAGCAAGGTAAACGTTGCATGCATGATCTGTACATGAACCTAGGCTATGATGTGCCTGTTAGCCAATCAGTGCATAACTGTTAGCTGAGGAGCGACATGTCTGCTGGTGTTTGCTTCTGATACTAAGCGTCTTTCCTTGAGATTCAGCCTGCACGATGCAAATGAAGCAGTGGAAATTTAGACATGGCTTTTTAAATTAATTTAAAAATTGACAGGAATGATTCTCTGTCATAACACCATGATGATTACACAATAATGAGATAAGAACGTTGATAGTAAGAAAGTCCACTGAGGGATGTTTTCAGCAATGTTATCAGTGATTTTCTATCAAGTCTCATAGAAGTACCGGGGTGAACATAAATCTACATACTCATGCATACTCAATCTCCGGGCAATATTCATGCGTGCGAGTATGTATACCATGTGGAAACTGGAAAGGTGCATGCCTACTTGAAGGTCACAACATCAGCAATTTTGACCGGAAAAGTGCAAGGCAGATTGTGAATTCATGTTTGATTACCGAAATCACCCAAATATAGCTTAGATCAGTGGATGGTAACCACTTTGAAGGTATCGTGAGCTATGCCCCTGGATCACTGTGGGGATCAGTTCAGGCTCCAAACAATATTGGCACCCCGTTGAACATGCACCATGTCAAATAGTAGCTTGGGAGATAAAGTGCTTGGTCACAGGTCGTGGCTAACGTTAAATGACTGTAAGTGCTAGTGTTAGCTCAAAATAGAAAGTGTCGTGCAGTAAGCCAGGGACATGCTGACAACACTCGCCTATCCATGCTGTACATTTGATTTGGCAGGTGGTGACAGTCTGGAGTGATGACTTGGAAAACAGCATAGCTGCTCACCAGCAGCCTTTGGACATTGGTGGAGGATTTCTTTTTGACCGATCAAAGTGGCTACACTATCGGATGGTAAGACTGAGAGGTGTAGCGAGGGGGTTATTGTGCTTTTTATTTCCATGCCGAATCTCACCTGATATGTCTGCACACCTCACATCATTGATCTAAATTCTTTGCACGGTTTTGTTCTCAGCTTATCTAGTTCTACAGTCCATTCTTTTAAAATCTGCTGTGCTGTACTTGACAATAGCATACAATTGTCCACCGTTTGCTTCGAGACATATTTGGGAATTGGCAGCTCTAACCTTATGGCATATTCTTTTGTGTGTGTGCGTGCGGCGTGCATGTGCGTGTGTGTGTATGCGGTGTGTGTGTATGTGGTGTGTGCCCGTGCGTTCATGCTTGCCTGTGTGTGATGTAGCACCTTGAAATGATCCTCCATCAATGCGAGGACTGTCTGCAGAAGGCAGAAGCGCAGCTCATAGCACTGCAGTCCCTTGCCATCGATGTCAACATTCATGATGTGGACATCAATCGTAGGAAGGCGGCGTTGCTCGTTTCCATTCTGACGCTGCGTCTTCCAGCCATGTTGAACAATAGTACACGGCTGCTGAGCGAGCTGCTGGCGAAAGGTGGCGACGAGATGGTTGTGAACATGGCCAGTACCCCGCACTATAGCGCAGCAATCAGCGGAACAAGAGATGCCATTGATCGTCTGACCAAGGCCAAGACGTCGCTGCAGACTGCAGCCGGCCTGGATGGCTTTGGCCAGGAAGAGCTGATGGTGGTTGGCTGTGGTGGAGAGGACTGTCCCCTCGCCAAGGTAAGGGCTTCAGCAGTACTACAGGCATGCCACTACCTTTGAAACTGGTCCGGTGGATGATGTATACAGCGATACACACCAATGCCTTCTTTGAAGTTCTTTCCTCCTTGTTCTGCATGTTCTTCAGTACCGAGAGTTCAAAACATTTGCATGTATGGTAACTTCACTGAAATGTTCCTTCTTGTAGTTTTAAAGTAGGAGGCTAGACTGTCCCAATGTGTGACGCGGAGTTTGTGTGACGTGTACTGCTGTATTGCAGGTGCAAACTCATGGCATACCCGGCTACTTTTCCATGATGCGCATTGGCGAGAGCCTTGGGGAGACCAGGCAACTTCTGAATGACTTTTTCATGTTCATGGGCCAGTGCAAGGTAAGTGATGGTGGTCGTGTATTGGAGAGAGGGGGGTCTATCTGTTGTTATGTAGTGACAAGAATAAAAAATCATGTCTGCTGGAGTAAATTGTAGTTCATTCGCTGAAAATGGTTTCCTATTGGAGGTTTACGACCTGTCAGTTTGGCAGGGGCTTTCACATTCCGTACCTTACGGCGAGGTTTATGCTGTGTAGCGAGGATAATTCTAATGAGGTCTGACCTGTATTGTATTCTGTGTGTCTTATGTGTTATCCCGCAGTCTTACATGGACAACTGCCAATGTATAAGTAGCTCAGCCAGCTCATCCGATACGTCCCCGTGTTCGCTTGTTGTCGGATGTTTCTCGGCGGCACTACAGCATCAGAGTGACCAGCTGAACATCAGCATGGCTATCCATATGAAGTCTCAGAGTGTGAGTGGAAAGTGCAGTCTGTGCGTGCAATGCTGCCCCACCGGCTGCTGCTGCTGCTGCTCATGACATTGACGAGTACCTTGCGTATGTCATGAATTTGAGTATTTGAGGATGTATGGTGTAGATATGTCCGATATAATAGTCTTTTGTAGGCAGGTGTGTATTGTGTCTTGGACTTGTCCTGCTGCATTTGGCTGGGGTAGAAAAGACTGGACCTCAGTGTACGTCCTTGTGCACTTGTTCCTCGTCCCATATGAGGCTGGAAATGGCAAGAAAATTGAAGTTGGAACTTCATCCAGACGTTGCAAAATAGGTCTACTGTGGTCAAATGCGTGGAGCTACTGTTAGTTAGCTGAGGTGTAAAATCAACCTGCACTGAAGGAAGACATAGAGCATTCAGGAACAGGAGAACACCATTCCAACACATTGTGATAGAGTGCTGCTCAACGTGGGAGAGATGTGCAGACCAGCACAGATTGCTATGTAGAGTAATGCCATGGTGTGTATCAGTCTTCTACTTGTCAAGGAGAGCCACCTTGGAGATAAGGAATATCTTGGAAAGGTGGTGAATGCGTCACGCGAGGGCCTAGATTGTTTATCTGGATGTACTAGATCGCGGTTACATGTACTACCTTTATCTGGCTTAGGAAGAGAGTGCTTGGTACACTGGGGACAACAAGATGGGGAACCAGTGCTCTGCTGTGATCTGCCATGAGCCAATAGTGCTAGCTCTCACGACAACACCCCCCCCCCCCCCTCCCCATCGCCACACAATACAGTGCTGCTCAATGAAGTTTGATTGAGTGAGTCAGCCGTGCGCCCTGCACCAGTTCACAGCATTAGTGTTTGCAGGTCTAAGGCTACACAGCCCCGGGTGCCTACCTGACTCACACGATCGGATTTCATTGAGCAGCATTGTAGTTTCGCAAAGAGTTGCGGGCAGGGCTGGTAAGCACACACCATAATATGGTGTGTGCTTACATTCACAAGGCGTATATCGCCTTGTGAATGTCAACAATGTGCTTCCAATGTGTTCCATATTTGCTAATGAAATGTCTCGAAGGACATACCTCCTGGTACTGAGTGTGATGTGTTTGTTGTTGTTCTGCAGCTGGTCAACTGGGCAATACTAACGCTGAACACACTGGCTTCACAATTCTTTGGCAGCAAGGATGTACAAGCATGCCTCTTTGACCTGGACACCTTTGATGACAAGTCACCGTTGCCGAATGACTATGTCACGGAGCTGTATGGTCTGTACGCCAAGCTGGGCCTGCCTTGCGTACTGGTCCTGCATTGCCACGCTGTGCTGAAGATGGTGGACACCGCTCGACTGCACCTTCAGTGGCGCATTCAGTATCTAAACCAGAAGCTTGACGGCAGTGCCGATGCGGCTGATGGAGGTGGTGGTACGCAACGGCAGCGGAATCAGGAAGATCAGCAGGCACTGGAGGACGAGTTTGCACTGGTTGGATTGTCTGACGATGAGAGTGATAATCAAGAGGAGAGTGACGGGGACGAGCCAATGGACGAGGGTAACGGCAGCAACGGTCAGTCAGCTGCCAGTGATGAAGCCCTAACATCCGCTGAAGCCAAGTTCGACCATGGAAGTTCCTTTACCCCACCGAGGAAAGTTCGTGCCAAGGAAGCAGTGGTAGAGGACGAAGAGGAGCAGTCGGAAACGACAGCAGAGTCAATGTTCAGTGTGTGGCTTCGGCGGATCAGGCATGTTTCGGAAACCGTGAGCGCTGTTACAGCTGCGCTGATTCCGCCCATTCCACTGCCGGGTAGTCAGCTGCCAAAACAGCTGTCGACGTGCGTTGATGATTATCCGCCTGCTAGCGAGTCATGGCTGATTAACCTGCAGGATTCAACTGAGGAGACTCTGTTCGCTAACATGGAGTTTGTGGACGCGGATGCAGCAGCATATCAGGCCATGATGAAGCAGAGACAGTAAGTGAATGACGAGACCACTACGGTATACTTCAGACCACTACGGTACTGTAAGACATGTTATTATAACGAGTCGCAAATTTAACGATTGTCCTAAATTCATAGGTTAACGAGAAGATAATGTTAACGATCTTGCAGTATTCTGCCATATCCACACACAGCATATATGAAGCAGTACGGCCTCAACGGATCTTATTATAACGAAGAAATGTCATCCGTTAAAACGTTAGATTTGCTTCCTCGTTATATATACATGTCTTACAGTATACTTTAGACCACTACAGTATACTTTAGAGTCAGCAGGTCACATTTTAAGTGACCATTCCTGGACAAAGTAGCCGTGGCAATTGGTCACAGCTACCTCATTTTGATGCCGGTTGGCCAGCCATGTCAGATCTAAAGGTTGGCCAGCCATGTCAGATCTAAAGAGGTTGGCAACAACTGCAACCATTGCCCGCCAATGTTTCGTGGCCATTTTGACCAATGTCTCGAATCTAAAAGAATTTACTCATTTTGTGGACAAACATGTAAATGGATGTTGGTTCTGGATTTGCAAAAAATGTGACTCACCATATCCATGACAGTGTCACATTGAGGTTCCAGCACCCTTTCCCTGTTTATTTTCATGCCAGTATGCCTCACGCCATCCAGTTTTCCTCCTGATCAAGGAGCTTATGATCTTATGATTCATTGATCTTTTCATGCAGGGAGCTCATCGGTGAACTAATTTCACAAGAAGAGAAATACATTGAGGACCTGGAGCGTATCGTAAAGGTATGCGTTTTGCATGTTCTCTTGACAACAGTAGAACGTAGGGTAATCAAAGTGTGCTTGTGGATGCTTTGAAGACTTGTGAGACACGGGCTTCCTTGCTTCTCTCTGTATGGTGATTGCGCCCTCATTTACTATTAGAAGTATTGTATATCCGTATAGGGCGGTGGGGTGTGTTTGTGAACTCTGTGTGCCATCAACCACTTTCACAGTGTATATTATGACTTGATTTTGTAAGGTGCAAAGGGGAGTATTTCGCTACAGATATTGACAATCTCACCCACTGCAGCCGAATAGCAGGCTAGAGAAGTGATTTTTCAATCATCCTCGCACACTAATGGGACATAGCTGTTGCTGCTCTTTTTTTAAGATGCTGTGCCCATACCTTGCAGCTTATGGCCGCACAGACCATTTCAAGAATTAGAAAAACAGTATGAGTGAGTAGTGGAGGTCCGGCTGTGGCTGAATACAGTCATGTACTGTCTCTACACTGCACTCTGTATTCACTGCATTCAGTCATCAAGTCTAGTAGGCTTCCTTTCCAAACCTACTCCAAGCGTGGCAGTTTAAACATTGGGTTGATCTTCATGTTTTCTGTATGTGTCTTACATAACTTCAGGAGTATGTGATCCCGTTCTCCCACGATTCTTCTCGTCCAACATCGCTCATTGGAAAGAAGTCTGGAGTATTTGGCAACATTGAGAAGATACTCGAGTTCAATCAAATGTAAGTACAGCTTGCTTCCAGCGTTTCAATCGTAAGTTAGATATTTTCTTAGTCTTGGTAATGTAAAGGAAGATGTGTGAAGAAAAGAATAGCTGGCTCCACTGCACATCGGACCAGGTTCGTTCGCTTTTGGCCCATGGTTCTCCAAGAGCATGAACTAAAAAAAAGTTTCATACTGTGTGCTTCTTGTGCTCCAGGCAATTCTACCCAGCATTGAAGCAAATCCGGAGAGCACCGCTGAAACTCGGCGCATGCTTCTTACAGTGTGTAAGTAAAATCATGTTTTGGAAAGTCTGTCGATCCCTGGTTTCCGCACTGTTCAAGTCATTTTTTCAACGCACATGTTTTTCATCCTTCAATACGCCTTCTGCACCTGTGTGCCACACCTATTCAGGAGCGGCAATTCAGTACGTACTCCCTCTACTTCAAGAACATGCCAGCACAGGAGCAGTTTCTCAAGAAGAATGCTGACTACTTCAGGGTATGGATGGTGATCGTTTGAGTATGTCAGCGTGTGCGCGTGTGTGTGTGCCTGCGGGCGTACGTGCGTGTGTGTGTGTGTGTGTGTGTACGTACGTACGTGTGAGCGCGTGCATGTGGTACGGCACTTTGTGCATGGGTTTCTGTCACTGCTACTGCTGCTGCTCCTGATGAAGATGACTACGGCATGGAGTGATTCTCACAGGACTTATTTCAACATGTTTACTATGGTGCATAGCATAACATGCTGGCCATCGAAACACCCGATTTCACACACACATACTAAAATAATCACGGTTAGAAGCGTTAGCTTGGCATTTCAAGGACATCGGTATTGCGGCGCTCAGTTCGAGGAGAGGAAAGCATGCTTTGCTTTGCAATTGCGCATGGCTACTTGTATGCATGCATCGCACAGCCCGTGCTCCGTTCACAGAGAGACTTTATCTGCCCGATCTGCAGCAACATCAGGCCATACCAACTGAACTATAATGTAGTTTGCCCAATGTTTGCAGCATTTCTTATCAATGGCCGAATGAATCGTACTGCTTGGATCAGCATTTTTTGGAGGAGGGGAGAAGAAACAGACACCTTGCATGGTTACGGAGCAAGCAAATTGGGTTACATAAAAATCCATGTTTCATCAAGCCATAAGGGGCTATCCGGCATTATCGATAATTTTCACGAAACGAAAAAGTTTAGTTAGGACCCTCCCCCACCCACCCACCCCCCTGAACGAAAAATAGATCGACTTGACAGCAAGAATGCCTTCATGTCTCTCATATCAATATTTTTCGAAACGAAACTCCCCTTGACCCACCAACCCATAAACGAAACTTTTTCTCTTCGTGTAAAAGATCGATAATTATGGATGGACCCTAATGGTTTTGAGGCACTGGCAAATAAAGAGTATCCGTTGTTTTGGATGTTGTCTTGGCATCTCCCCAACGAGCATCATGGACAGCCACACACACACATGCGTGCACACACACACACACACACACACACACACACACATGCGTACACACACACCAGGGGCGGATCCAGGAGGGGTTCCAGGGGTTCCGTGGAACCCCCTAAATTTTCGTAAATGGACTACTGGCAACCATATGCGTGCCGATGTACATGTATCAGCAAATTAGCTTTGACTATACTGGATCCGCCGCTGCACACACGCACACACACACGCACACACACACACACACACACACACACACACACACACACACACACACACACACACACACAACTGGCTGTTAGAGGTGAAGATGTTCTATTCTAAAGATGCGAATCGTCACGAGATCATGTAACATGCTGCTGCTTGACTCCTCTCGTATGTTTATTGTGCCACTTGCAACTTACATGTAGATGGTACAGAGTGAGCGTCTCCAGGACCCACAGCCTATTGAGACATATCTGCTACAACCTCTGGCCAGGATGGGCAAGTATCGCCAGTGTCTGCAGGTATGCTGTAGTTGTCCAGAGGTTGATTAGTAGTAGTAGGCAACTCCACTTTTTTTGTTGTGCTACTGCTGCTGATTGTGCAAGACAAGCATTGTTTGCTTCAATTCTTGTAAAATTACCGTGTCCACTGTGTTGTGTTGTGATGTTGTTTGGATTGTTCTAGCACCTATGCATGCATGTACTTCCAAGTACATGCATGCATAGGTGTAACTGTGTTGCCTCCTGATAATGCTGCCACCATCTTTTATAAATAAGTTTTGTGTTGTTGCTGCTGCCACTAAATATGTTTGTTGCCAATAGGATTTGTTGAAGACGGCTGGTGACTCGGATAGAATGAGGTCGAGTCGCGAGGAACTGGAGAGCGCCGCAAAGCTGGTCAGCTTCCACCTGCGCCATGGTAACGATCTGCTCATACTGGCACAAGTTCGCGGATACTCCGTACGTCCATTCATGTGACAAGCAGATTATTGTCATGGTGACAAAACCATTAGAGACCCAAGACGTTATGTCTTGTTGTTGTGGTTGTTGTTGTTGTTGTCGTCTTTTGTTCCACTTCACCAAGTGAACAGGAATATTATGAGCAGACCAGGGTCCAGTTCCTATAAACGTTACTAAATGTTGAAGGCGTCTTTCCTTTGCTATCATGCAAGCTTACTATGCAGTGCTGTCGATTCCCACCTCTTTCTTTTAGTGTCCATTGACATGCTTTGGGCTTTACATTCTCCAATTTGTAGGGCAACATGGCAGAGGAAGGTCTTCTTCTGAGACAGGTAAGAACTTGGTTGGGAAGGAGGTCAACTATTCAACCAACTTTCAAGTTAGCATTCCATGTTGTTCGCCCCTTCTTCAAAGTCTCGTTATCTACATAATTATTTTGATTGAAGTTTGAAATCCCAACTCCTGGGAAATTCTAGTCCATAATCCAGGTTCTGGATAAACGGTGTCCGGATATGTGAAGTCCAGCTGTATGAGTAAGGGTAGGTAGGAGTGGGCAGCAACTTTCCAGTCACCTTCTACACCTGGTACAGCGTACAACAAATTGTCGTTTAGGCTTTCTAAAACTATGAGGGTGCGTCATGTTGGCAATGTGTTGCACTCTGTGTCTGCATCCAGGATGACTTTGTTGTCACCGACGGCTGGGGCAACCACAAGCGGCGCGTCTTTCTTTTCGAGGATCTGATCATGTTCACGAAAGCACAAACATCGAAGAAAACCGACACCGTCTACCAGTTCAAGTCATCATACAAGGTAGCGGAGTTCGGACTGAAGGAGACCATTGCCGACTCGCCGCACAAGTTTGAGCTGACGTTTCGCAAATCCAAGCCAATCGTCTTGACGGTAAGTTTGATCGTGAGTGTAGCTGCTTTGTTGACTAGTGCTTCAGTAGGCTTTGCTGTTGACTAGTGCTTCAGTAGGCTTTGCTGTTGACTAGTGCTCGCTCATAGCCATGATTCTCCTGGTATTGTAGCTCTGTGTCTCTATGTACATGTATAGACTTGCACATGTAGGCTTGCCATCTAATATGCACTTACATTCTACTCTAGTAATTCTAGTAATGTATCCTGTACACCATGCTTATTTCAAAGTAGTCATGTCATAATATATTATATTCTTTGCAGGGCATTATCCCCATGATGTCATGGCTGAAGGGTACTTTCCCATGATGTCATGATTGAAGGGTATTTCCCCATGCCATGACAATGCCTCTGACACTTGGTGGTTGCTTTTCTCTTCTACTGCGTCTTGGGACAGGCTGATAGTCAGCTGAAACGAGATGAATGGGTTGCCGAGCTGCACAACATCCTCCTGCGTCAGTTTGAGCGCCTCAAAGGTGAGCTGGTACATTCTATGGTCAAGTGCATGTCTGTTGTCCTCTGCATGTGCTCCATGCCTGGCCAGATCTTGGATGGTTTGAGACAAACAAAAGCATACAAGTAGTATTTTTTTAAACTTGAACAAACATTTGTAAAATCTGAGACTTGCATCTTCGGCGGCAATAGTAAAGGAAAGTCATTGTATCATTGGAGAAAGTCCACACAAGAAAGTTTAACTGGAATAGCACACGCGCAATACATTGCCAGAAATATTTCGCCTTTTTGTACATGTAGATACAGTGTAGAAATAGAGTAATGCTTAGGACAGGTTATAATATCCAGACTAAAGTATATTCTTCCCTCAATTTTTGGGCACTAAAGACGCTGTGACTGTCAACATGAAATCAGTCAACCACAAATGTTTGGAACGTGGCTGTTCCTAATGTTGGAGCTCACACTTCCTTCCGGCTGACTGGCACTTGACTGACTCATGACTGCCGCCTTCAGCATACAAAAGTGCTTCTTGTGTCCTCTAGGCAGCAGTCAGTGAAGCGAGTGAAATGTCAGTCAGTCGGCAGGAAGTACGAGCTCCAACGTTAGGAGAAAACCACTTGTTTGCGGGGTGCTTATTTTCATGTGAATGTTATATCTCTTCTGCAGAGCGCATGAAGGAGGTGCAGATTGGTAATGAGCCGATCATGTCCCGTCCGAGCTACGAGACTGGCTCTCTGTCCCGTGCCCGCGGCTCGTCGTTCTTGAGCGGCACTGGTTCGGGTGCGACTGTTGGTTCTGCCAGCCGTTACAGCTCCAGCAGTGCACAGTCCGGGAACACCAGCACCAGCACTGTGGGAGCAGCCGCCAAACAGCAGCAGCAGCAGCAGCAGCAGCAGCAGCAGCAGCACTACCGCACCACGTCCATGATTAGCGGACCTGTCATGTCGCCGCGCTCCAGCATCCTAACAGACCCCCGTGCCAGCGTGCACAGCGGTACCAGCAGTTTGACAGGCTCTGAAGCAGCAGTAGCAGCAGCAGCGGGTTCAACTACGGCAGCACCCGCACCGTCGTCATCGTCTGCTCCTACAGCTCCAGCTCCTGTGGACATGACTGTGTCGCCTACAACCGGTGGCCATAGCACGCTGGGAATAGTGGACAACACTGCAGGCTACATAGGTGAAGAGGATGTTACTGGCTCAAGCTCATTCCAAGTGCCCCGTCGCCTCAATACTGTCGAGGAGGCACCTGACAAGCCGGAGTCCTACAATCCGTCCGAGGAGAAGGACGTCAAAAGGGAAACTTCTGTGAGTTCGCTCATTTGACTAACAACTTGGAAATAACATGCATGTACTTCAAAGTATAGACTTGCGTGTTCTTTTCACAACCACTCGGCAAAAGTTGAGACTGATGCCAATACCTTGTACTTGTATGTGTGTGGGTGTTCATGTGCACGTGTGTTTGTGCGCGTGCGTGCGTGTGTGTGTGTATCTGTGTTTGCAGTTGTGAGTGCTACCTGTCACTTGATTCAGTGAACCTGTGGCTGCGGGCAAGCACCGGTTTGAAGCTCCCAGGCGTACCCCCCCCCCCCCCCCACACACACACACTCTCTCTGTCTCTCCCCGCTTGATAGTCTCGGCACTTGCATGGTATGCAGGCACTTGCATAGCATGCAGGCACTTGCATGTTATGCAGGCACTACTTCAGCATGACTGTAGTGGTTACCAGCCAGTATTACCAAGAGTACATGTATTTGGTCTGCGCACTGCCTGTTCCTATGTACATGCCCTGTGCACAGCACACATATTAGTACCGTACGTAACGCTACTGTTATTACTAGTATTAGTAGTTTGTCTGTGTTTAATTCTATGTATGCTTGTCGTCAATATACACGATAACATCCTGTAATCTGTAGAAAGTTCCAGATGTTGTCTCCCTGCACCTAGTGGCGGTTAGTGCCTGCTAGGCATTTGCTGCTCAACCCTGTATACACAGGAATGGGGTATGTATGCTTTGCACACCAAGCTGGCCCAGCAGGACATTGTCTAGTTACTACCTTGTTGCAATGGTGGTGTTGTTATGATCTGCATTGTTGATTGAAAAGAACCCCCCTTATCGGAAGCAGGCTTCACTATGATACGATGATTATTATGTGTTGAAGGTGTTCATTGTGTTCTCGCCTAGATCCCATGTATTCACATGTATTCACTTGATTTCTAGCAGTTCTACTGTAGAATGTTTTCTAAGCACCATGTTTGCCCCATGGCACTGGTCTGTCTCTCTGCCTTTGCTTGCACCTTCCAAGTTTTATGATGAAAAAATGCTGATAAAACTACTTGTAGACTGAGGAAGTTCTTTCACAGCTCACGTTTTCGATAATATTATTGCTATGTTGCACTTCCTATTAAAGTTCAAAGTGATTCACCGCACTTTTCCAGCAACGATATTGTGCTGCTGTGTGCTAGTGCTGGTGTGTTTGTGTGCGTGTGTGAGTGTGTGTGTGTGTGTGCGTGTGTGTGTGTGTGTGTGTGTGTGTGTTTGTTGGACAGACTTTTAAAAATAGCTTTGCGGTGTAGACAAGCCTGAATGAATGGTGGTGGTCAATTCTTCAGCCTTGCCAGCTGTTGAATGGTGCAGTTCCAGCACAAGTTGCTATGGGCTCTGCTGTAGCATCGCCTCTAGCGATGGGCGTCAAAGGTCAAGGTGTGTAGGATTGGTGGGGGCACATTGTGGCAGAGGCTGCTGCTATTGGGATCAGCTACATACTTGTACTTGAAGGTGTATTTGCCACGTTATGGGTATCAGGCTGCATACACCGATATACCGGTGTCTGTTCGAAGTACATGTATACATATCTGGTGGCTGATGGACTACTTCTGGCCAGATTACTTTGCGTAGCCGATGCTGGGTATTATTCTGTGTAGCCAATGCTAGGTATTACTCTGTGTAGGCAATGGTGCTAGTGAAGCCTATCAGATCCACTCGTATCACCAACCCACCGACTACAAAATGTAGTAATCTAGTATCGAATATTTATTTTTTAAATTCCAATGGGGACTGGGTAAACGCAGTTGGAACCCGGAACGGATACCCTCTGCACCGTGTCCTCACCTGCCACAGTTTCTGTCCGAACAAAACTTCTCATTATTTTTAATTAAAATACAGAAGTAGAGCTCGTGATTGAGTGCAGAATTTCCATGCAGTCATCAATGTCCACAGTTTCCATCTCTATTCATGCAATGGTATGCAGTGATGAACAGGCTGCACGTGTAGTACTAGCCCTGGCGAGGGGAGAGAGGCTACGCGGCCCTAGCACCACAGACACCGCTCTGCAAACTTGAGCGTGGCGCTACTTTGTGCATGAGGTCGGATGTCTCCGGTCAGAACTGGAGCAGTCCTTCGAAACTGAACAGGGGTTCATTCACTCGGCAAGGCTGGTTCGTAATGTACATCTAGGATATGTGTCATACCTCATCAGGCTCAAGTAGTTGATCTACATGAAGCACTTCACTTCCCTCAAGATTCCACCCTGGCGATGTCCCTGGCACAGTAAACTGGGAAATGTTCGCGATCTGGAATCGTTTGCGATTTTCGCTATGGGTGTGAACTTGAACTCGCAAAATAAGCCGGGGCAAAACGCAGCCCTGTAGTAAAATAATAAATGAAATTGACCCCAATCGCAAACTAAAACCAGTGGAAACATTTCCCGAGTTATAGTACACTACCACAAGCAACAAACAGTCATAATAGATGTCTTCCGTAAATAAACCTCACCTATATAAAGAAGTATCAGAGCCGTTGGCAGACGCCGAGAAGAGTTTCACCCCTGAGCAGTCCACTCAGCCAGCAATCCATTCAGTTAGCAGTAGGCTGTTAGCAGTAGACAGTTAGCAGTAGGCAGCAGCAGCACAATGAGAGCATGGGGTGGAATGGCCTGCATGGGGCACATGTCCAAAACCCTGCAATAATAGGGCAAGTATGTGTGTGTGTGCTTTCAGCAAAAAATAAAAAATAAAACGACCGCAGGAAGCCCAGCCGCACATATTCTTTTCTGCAATAGATGCAAAACGTTACTCGTATTCTGGACTTGGGCTAAGGAACCTAGATGAACAAACAGACAAACTAGTAGTAGTAAGAAACGACTGCCAGTTCGCTACAAACAACAGATTTCATCTGCCCTAATATAGGGACTCGCTGATGAGACAGTCTGTCCAGTAGTAGAGAGGTGCAAGCAGGGTACCGGGTACGTCCGGGCATGGACATGATAACCCACTGGTCATCATGCATCCTTTACAAACACAGGACGACGCCTCTATGCTACGCTATGGGATATGCTGAGCTTTGACTGCTGGTAAGCTGGAGACCGAATGAGCATGAACGAACAGGAAGCGAAAAAATGGGGCTCGTCAAATGCAAGACCTAGCCCACGAGTTCAGCAAGAGATGTTTCTGGACAGGCAGTTGAGCCAGCTACTGACTCTGCAGCACCGCAATACTACAAGTGTCAACAGACGTGATGCACACTAGTGCTGACGAATGTACTCGGTGTCAGTAGAGTGGGTGTAATGTGTGATGCACTCAAAGACAAGGTAGACACATGTCCACCTGTGCGCCTGTGTAGGCGAGAGAATAAAGCGAGGGCAGTGGCAGCGGATGGCATGAGCATGGCTGTGTGTGCGCGCTTGATAGAGGTTGCCATCACGATCAGTCCAGTAGAGACCCTGTACTCCCGTGTACTCTAGCACAGAGCTGGATAGCAGTGGCAGGCAGCATTGACGATGAGCTGCAGAGCAAGCACAAACTAACATCGGCGTAACGGTGCACACTGTCTTGTGTCCGGATCACACTGGTTCACTTGGTGACACACATCAACACAGTACCCACTGTCTTGAGCCCTGGAGCTCTCCGTGACACTTTTGTGACACACATCAGCACAGTGCCCGGGGAGCAACACACCATGCAACAGCAGTGGTAGCATCTGTAGTGGCATGCTGGACGACACCTCACGCACAGACAGCCTCTACAGAGACAGTCTCTACCAGCCTCACGTGGACAGTGCACCATCTCCAGGCTGTACTTTGTCAAACGCGCTCATGGGACTCACGCCAAACTGTTCGGACTTGCGCCGGTCGGCAATCTCCTTCAAGAAGAACCGACCCTGTTCTCTCGTCTGTCCAAGTAAAAACAAACAAAGACAAAATTGCAGAACATGCGGACAAGCAAGCGCATCACATCTAATGCATGGCTTACTGCTGCTAGAGAGACCCAGACAGAACACACATGCAAACACATATGTAAACACGACCACCTACCCACCCACCCACGCGCGTGCACGCACACACACACACGTGTACTTGCTCACTGCCAAACTTGGCCAGGTGGGTCTCCCCGGAAGAGGGAAAGGAGATTCAAAAGGAATCTTGGAAGGATGACTCACTTGGCTATTGAAATGCCCAACGGCCGACGTCCCCTGAAATCCCCAAACTCTGCGTGGACTTGGAAATAATCACACTTCTGGGCTCACCACACCACAGTAAGCGGGTGAGGACAAGGTGCAGAAAAGGGATTGACGGCACCAAGGTATCCGCCCTGAGATCCCCCCCCCCCCCACACACATACGGCTGCACACACGGCTGCACACACGGCTGCACACACACACACACACACACGGATGCACACACGGATGCACACACACACACCACCCACACCACACACACACACACACAAACACACACACACACCACACACACACCACACACCACACACACACACAAACACACACACATACCATGTACCATGTATACGCCTGTCGCAAGAGAAGCATGCAAATCTGCAAATGCACTGGATGTGCACCCATGCCACAGCTTTTTTTCTCTTTATAGCAATGGTAACGGATCTGATTCTGAATGAAACAGATCAAAACAAGCGCCAGATATCTGTCTAATCCACACAACTGGCAGTCATGTGAATCGACTCACCAATGCACACCTGGTCTACACCACGCGGAGTACATCGGAATAGGACGGCCAATACAGTTACTTACTTACTTACCGTATATTCTCTATTATAAGCGCCGTGCTTCTATTTTTTCAACACCCCTCTACCCCGTGCTTATATTTTTTCAACCAATACATCCATACAGAACAAGAAGAAATACATGCTAGATATCATGCATGTAGCATTGATTTCCACCAAGACCGTGCTAATAATAGAGACTGTGCTTATATTGTTTCGAAAGGTGCTCACAGTGTGCTAGTATTAGAGACTGTGCTAGTAATGGAGTCCTGTGCTTATAATAGAGAATATACGGTACTTACTCACACACACACACACACACGCACACACACACACCTGTCCTGTTGAGCCACTGCCACAACGGTCACGTGCACACACACACACACACACACACACACACACACACACACACACACACACACACACACACACACACAACAACAACAACAACAACAACAACAACAACAACAACATGCGTGTGCAATGAAGCATTACCTCATCAAACATCAGGCAGCGCTGTGAATACTCCGATGCCTTCTCGTAACTGCACTTCTTCAGGAAGTACTCCGCCAGAAATGATACCGCATCGAGAACGTCCGTTTCCATATATGACTACAAGCCAAGGACACGGAGAGTACGTACGGAATGTAAACTAAACTACATGTGTGTATGTATAGAGTGCACTGTATGTACATGTGTGTGTGTGTACAGAATGCACTGTGAGTACAGTATGTACTGTGTGTACTGTGTTTACAGCAAGTACAGTATGTACAGTAGACTCGTACGCTCAAGAACGTGGCGCCCAAGAACGTCCAGGCTGGAAATCTAAGAACGCCCTAGCCTGGATTTAAGAACGAACTCCAAGATTTTTAAGAACGCAACATTTTTACACGAAAAACAAGTCCGCAACCACAAACTCTTGTCGGGTCCTCGCGAAAACATCACCCAGTGCAGCGCTACATACTACACGTGCATATAAAGTAAGTGTACAACCGGTACATGTAGCGCAAAGTGCATTGTACATGAGCGTCACGGGTCATGTTGGATGCGTCAGAACGCGAAATAAGAACGTAGCCCGGGGCGCTGAAAAATAAGAACTTTGCTAGGCTGGCCCTCTGAAACCGCGTTCTTGGGCGTACGAGTCTACTGTACAGTAACAGTTATGTACAATACGTACTGTATGTACAGGTTGTTGCCGAGGCGGGCATTCACCGTTAGCACACTGTTCCTTTTTTGTTTCAAGAATTTTTAATAATTTTTTTTATTATCAGTTTGTTATTTCTCGGTTTTCCTTCTTGTTTTTATTTTTATTTGATGCAATTTTAGCGCTATGTGGCTTATGATTTGAATTGATTTCCCTTTTTCTTCTTTTTGTACAGTATTGAGCGGTGTGGAATGGAGAGCATTAGTGCTCTGGTTAAGCGCACTACAGTCCATTCATAAAAAGATGGGCCCTGGCGAGCTCCCGTATTTGGCGATTTTTCGCGATTTTATCGTACACAGTGCAGAGTTGCAAAATTTGAAATTTGAAAAAGGGTCCAAAAAGGGTACCTGAACTGGGGTTCGAGCTGCAGTGCACTGTTGCAGGCAGGGTCAAACGGCCTGCATTTTGATGGTTTTTCCCAATTCAGTGTTACAAAACCTGGCCGAAATCCTATTCTTGTTAGGGCTTGCTTATTAGAGAAATAGACTTCAGAAACATAATTGGAAGAGGATTCCATACCGACAGACACCCCAGCTACCATGGCTATGAAGTTCTTCTTCCCCGCGGATGCCACTGTGTAGCGTGGTCGACCGCGGACAGCGCTACCAGTGGTACTTCACCAAGATCTCCGTGCCTCTGGTCTACCTGGTAGCCCTTTGACCCTTGAAGATCTTGAAATCATCCGGTCCAAGGCACTTTGTCGGAACTCCTGGAAGGAACTCTGTGTCGCCATTCGCCACCGATTATTTCACTTGCACGTGCAAACCTTTATCGGTCTCCTTGCCGTTTGTCTTGTAATGCACACATCCTTTTCCTCCAGCTACTGTGCAGGCAATTGCAGCAGAGGTTGTGAGGAGGGAAACCGGCAAGAGTTGCCCCCAGCTTGGAAGAGGCTGGTGGCGCGGCTTCAAGAAACGAAACCCTGACTTAGCAATTCGCAACCCAACATCGTTGGAAGCTGCAAGAGCCAGGAATGCTGGCCCGGAAACAATAAACAACTTCTACAACATGCTGGAGAAGGAAATTCAGGATCACAATCTCGCAGCTCCACATATTTGGAATGTGGACGAGAAAGGTTTCACCCCAGACCCGAAACCAAGAGGAGTGGTGCTAGCAAGCCGCTCCACAGCCAGAGTGCACCAGCAACATAACAAGTCGAACGACCACATAACGGCGAACATATGTGTCAACACCATGGGAAACCATCCACCACCGCAGTTAATATTCAACCGGAAGCAACTCACACCATCCCTGGTCAGCAATGAACCACCAGGTAGGATTGTAAGCACTGCTGCGATGCGCTGAAGTCAGCGCTGTAGTACAATACTGTGGCACGGCGTGTTAATAATGCGTTTTGTTTCCAACTACAGCTGTACTGCGCCCCAAGCTGTCGGAACTCTGTGTCGCAATTGGCCACTGATTATTTTACTTGCACGTGCGAAACTGTATTGGCCTCCTTGCCGTTTGTCTTGTAATGCACACATCCCTTTCCTCCAGCTACTGTGCAGGCAATTGCAGCAGAGGTTGTGAGGAGGGAGACTGGCAAGAGCTGCCCCCAGCTTGGAAGAGGCTGGTGGCGCGGCTTCAAGAAACGAAACCCTGACTTAGCAATTCGCAACCCAACATCGTTGGAAGCTGCAAGAGCCAGGAATGCTGGCCCGGAAACAATAAACAACTTCTACAACATGCTGGAGAAGGAAATTCAGGATCACAATCTCGCAGCTCCACATATTTGGAATGTGGACGAGAAAGGTTTCACCCCAGACCCGAAACCAAGAGGAGTGGTGCTAGCAAGCCGCTCCCCAGCCAGAGTGCACCAGCAACATAACACGTCAAACGACCACATAATGGCGAACATATGTGTCAACACCATGGGAAACCATCCACCGCCGCAGTTAATATTCAACCGGAAGCAACTCACACCATCCCTGGTCAGCAATGGACCACCAGGTAGGATTGTAAGCACTGCTGCGATGCGCTGAAGCCAGCGCTGTACAATACTGTGGCACGGCGCGTCGCTCTAGATTCTCATAAGTTCCTTCGAAGTACCAGTAGCTCGTAATTATTGCTGGACCTGTACAGCTGAAAGAATACGATTGTATGGAGAGGCTGGATCGTGACAAGTGCTGTACCGGTCCTTGTGTTGCGACAACGTGGTGCTGCTTGGAATTTGGTGTTGAGTCCGCAGTCAGTTCGTGATTCCTCTCACGCCATACGAGAGTAGAAAAGCCTTCAGAGTATTCTTGCTAGATCGACCATGTCTCCCCAGTATATACCGGTCCTGTCAGCAATGGGAATGTGGCCAGTTTCAGGAAAAACGACACAAAAAGACTGTGGCAAAGATAAGCGCACACTGCGGTGGTGCTGAGGAAGTAACGTAGCACAGTGCCTGTGCTGCTGCTGCCGCACATGTTGTATGCCTGGTTAGGGCACACAACGCCCCGTCTCTCCCATGCATCCCTCCCTGACTTCTTGTCAGGGAAGTGATAATGATTGTGTCCTTGTATGGCTCTGTGGAGCGTGTGAGGCCGTACTGTACTGCAGTCGTGTCCTCGCCCTGGTAGGAAATGTACGCAACAGTTCCCACTCTCTTGACCAGGGATCGCACAAATGCCTGGTTTTTGATGGGTCTGTACGATTCCCAGCTCCTGACCTTTGGTCGGTGTACGAGATGCACGGACAGATTTCGTAGGGTGAGTACTTTTTCATGTAGTACTGAATGCTGCAAATAGGACTCGCCCATCCACCCCTCCCCAAATGGATCTACTCGAATGGTTGCGGGGGTAGGGGCGCTCTGGCGGGATTTACGGTGGTGACTAAAAGGGTTCGAGCCACTTTTGTGCAAAACTTTCTTCTTCTTTTTCCATGATGCTTTTGACCGAAATCTCTTACATTGCATTTCCGAAGGGAATTTAATTTAGAGCTTTACAGCAGTGATTTGCCCAAACACCCCCAAATTAGGCCACAACAAAAAGATTTCGTGTTTCCGGTCGGCCGACCGGGTCCGTTTTTTCAAAAATTATGGAATTTTTTTGGTTTACGACAAGTACAAAAAAAAACAAAGAAAAACAAGTCTGTGTGTGTTATTGTCGTGAAAGTGGACCACAAAGACGCATTGTGTTGCTTTGCTCGAACCGAAATAAAAGTTTGACTGAATGCAGAGACGAAAATTCCGGAGCTGGAGAAAAGGTCGCCAAGAACGATGGCTGCTTAGAGCAGCCCGCTTTGTGTCCAGTGCTGACGATGGCTGCTCAGAGCAGCCCGCTTTGTGTCCAGTGCTGGCGGGGTGCGAAGTGTCTTCTTCAGCAAAGGATAGTTCGCGTCTCCCATGAAACCACCTTGAAGGAGTTGTTTTGTGAGGAAGTGCAGCCTCGCTTGCCTGAGGACGTCACGTCTTAAGAGTGGATTGTCGCAGCTACAGCAAGCAGCAATGATGGGGCAGGAACGTGGAAAGATATAGAGGTAACTGAAACTGTCGGCCTTGTTGTCGAATTTGGATGCCGTTTCCTGGATTTTCGCTTGGTGGACGTAGCTCCTGCTGCCAAGCGACCGTGCCCTGACCGTCCCTCGGCATTCGATGTGCTTCTGGGAGCTTCTGCCCTGCCCTCGACTCTGGCTCCTTTGGGAGTGATGTGGCCTATTGGCAGCCGAGCTTTAGTAGCTTTAGTAGCTAGTAGTATTATGTAGTGTGCGTGCAATTTTGTGCAGGCATGTTTTTGTGTCAATGTCAATACTATGCGTCTATTGATGCTGACCCATTGGTATTGCATACAATTCTCAGAAATCTCTGAACTATGCAATACATCTACTGCGTCCCGCGGTGGTATTCTACTCCATATTCCATGTGTAAATATGTATATATTGTGTATCACCAGTGTCTGATCCAAACTTTCTCAATTTGGCTCATGTCTATGAATACAGCACGGAAATAAACTTTCAAACCAAAAAATAATAATTTTCCGACCGACCGGGCGTATTTTTTCGGGGGGTGCCGACCGGAAACACGAAATCTTTTTGTTGTGGCCTTATCTTTTGTTTTCCTCATTGGTTAAGACGAGTGAAGAAAATGGTCCAAAACTACACAGACATGTATACAGGATCGAGACGCTAAAAATTATAGTGTCCGAAATGGAGGGGCAGCCTAAATTTGGCCACTTCAATACGAGGATTTTTTTTAATTCTTTTCAATATTACGGTCGGCCCCTAACATTGCCCAAACTACTGGTGCTAGCTCATGAGACTGTAGAATACACGGAGATATCATCAGAACAGGCAGTCCAACCATGCCTGGTTATAACCTACATGCAAGCGTAACGTATTCATTACAGGGTGCAACTCATGTGAAACCATCCACCCAGTTCGTTGATCGAAATTCTACCCCCCCCCCCCCCCCTGGGTTAAAGAGGAGCTTGAGACCAGTTACAAAAGTGTAGCACTTTGCAGAACACACGTTTCAAAGTTCAAACAGCTTCATCATTGGAACATGTATCAGCAGCTAACCTGAGACCCACTCTCTTGTTCCTCAACGACTTGCACAAAACGAAGCGCTGCATCCTCCACTTCCCCGAGGTCCTGATGGAGCCTTTGGGAGAGGAGAGAGAGAGAGGGAGAGCAGTTGAGCCTAAAGGTCTGTACACACAAAATATTGACTGCTAGAGGGCGATGGACATGCGTGCACTAAGATGCTCGTAACTTACTCAAATCTTGACAGAATTCCACAATCGAAGCACCTCGAAGGAAGTCAGCCTTCCATTGCAACAATTGCTGAAGTGCTCTGACGTCACATTCTGGAGATATCGGGCTCGACATTTCAGTCACCGCAAAACCTGATATTTTCTCACTGACTGACCTTGGGCGAGGTACTTCCCCTTGACAGGTATAAAGATTAATCCCAGCACGCTTGGAGCATGTGAGCAACATAAGGAAAGGACAGTAAAAACAACTTTGAATGGTTTACGACGAGGAACAGTGAAATGGCTGGCGGGGACAGAATTTGCTTGCACAATGGAACTCGGATAAGACGTACAGTCAACTTCGCTAATAACGACTGCGGATAAGGGGCCGTCCAAGGTTACCAATAATATTTTCAAAACGAAATGTTTTCGTTTGTGGGTGGGTGGGTTTGATGGAGTTTCGTTTTGAAAATAATTATTGAATGCTGATGGAGAATGCCCAGTTAATTCTGGGTGTCGAAAATTGACATCAATATTTTTTTGGAATTCGTTTTACCTGCAGTAAAGGTGGGTGGGTGGGTGGGGACTGAAAAATACTAAAACTTTTCGTTTTGTAAAAACAATCGGTAACCCCGGACGGCCCCTAAGACGACAATTCGTGAATAACGACAGAATTTCCATGCCCAGAGCAAAGTCCCATCCAACTGTAATACATATAATGAGACTTCGGGCATAACGACACTTCGCGAATAAGGACACTGTTTTGATGCCCCGCCGAGTGTCGTTATAAGCGAAGTTGACTGTACCCCCATCGGCAAGTGGAAACAAGTACTGTACTTAGTATCCGAGGTATTTCTTATCCAAAGCCTGCTGCTACACCACCTTAGCAGATCATCCATTATCCTTGACAGTCTATACAGCATACTAACCGGCTTCCTTTGATACTTACTTGGCTAGTTGGTAGACAGCATTGGGTCCATCTCCTTTGGAGAGATCAACTGCCCGCAGGAAGCACTGCAGCGTGGACAATTCAGCAAAACAACACAACATAAACACCCACATACATACACACACATACACGAACGCACACATACCTTTTGACCGTTTGACGCCCAGCGCCGGAGGCGATGATAGCGATGCTACAGCAGAAGCCTGAAGAATTGACCGCCACTATTCAGCCTGGTCTACACCACACAGCTATGAAGTGGCTTTTTCTGGCCAGCGAATCCCTAATTTTTGGTCTTTTCATTTTTTCCCGCACACACATCACACCACATACTCCGGCATGCACTGGCTGTTGGTAACCACTAACCACCCAGGAAAGTCAGGAGTCTCAGAAAGAGAAGAAAGACGTATGTGACCATAATCGTCGGGAATCGAACCCGCAACCTCTCGATGGGAGATCGCTGCACATACCACTGCACCATATGGGACACACACACACACCTGTCCTGTCCTGTCCTGTAGAGTCACTGCCGCAAAAGGGTCACGTGATCCCATCACTGGGAAACTTGAGAAGAGAGAGAGAGGACACAACGCTCGATGACGCTCCAGGTGCACGGGTAGTCGCATCCGCTTGCCGCATATGCACACGTGCTGGAAGGCTGAGCGCTCCTCTGCTGTTGGTCTATGCGCCACCCTTGAACAGCGATGCCTGCCCCGTCCCCGGACACCGCGAAAGCAGCGACCACACCTGTCACAATGCGCGGCACAACATCCCTCCGCCGGTGCCGACGTTCCGGTAGTTCCAGGTGGCACTGCGGCATCCACCGTTGAGGCACACACATGCCGGACCAAGCCACCGCGGCTTCTCAGCCACCGCCCACACCGCCCGCACTGACTGGCGCCCCGCTGCTCAGACACAGGCCGCGCACGCTCCTCCAGACACTTATGCCGAGCCATGTCTCCTTTCCGTGCAAAATCCCGTCCGCATACCGTACATACCACTCGGGGCGGAGGCTCAGGCACATTGTCAGGCTCTTGGTAGGTGCTGCGCCACTCCGCGCGGGACTCGCGGGACGCGGGACACACACACACACACACACACACACACGTGCGCATGCATACACACGAGCCTTTTAAACATGTTATCCCCTTTTTTCTTTCCTTCCGTCTTTCAAACATGCAGGCATTCTTAGGCGAGACCAAAATAAAATCGAGATTCCCGGGCAGGACCCATGTGAAATTGGTGCGGGCGGGCGAATTTTTATTTTTTATATTTTTTCCTATGACTGTGTGTATGCGCAGCATATGCATGCCAAGTTTTTTTTACAGTATTTTTTAGTAATTTTTATTTTTTTTATTCAAATTTCACAAAAACAGGCACGCGGATTACCCGTTCAATTTTTCTGTATTTCGGCCAACGATGGTTCTGATCTGTACATCAGGGAGTCGTACAAGCTCGGGTTTGTGTGACTCCACGTCACAGATCTACTCACACGATTAGTACTGTAGATGTATTATGAACTGTTCAAAAAAAATTGGCCTTGGCTCCAATTTGGTGCGGGAGGGCCCGGGAATCACTAATTTTTTTTGGTCTCGCCTTAGTAATTTTTTACACGTCTGAAACCATAGTGGCCGAGTCCAGGCACTATTGTAATGACGGCATGGACTGATGTAGCGGTTATGATATCCTCAATTAAATGTACATGATTTCCCATTCACACCACCCAGCAGAGGGTATAGTAATCAATGCTACTACAGTAAGATCGGGCGCCGAAGAACGCAGGGGCTCGAGCGCAGCCTAGGAAAGTTCTTAAATTTTTGATTCTAGCCAGACCGTTCTTATTCACACGCGCGCGGCGAGTCGAGTGACGTCATGACGTTTGTCATGTACATGTACATGTACATGTAGTGCAATGTAGTACTTCTAAACTAGTGGGTGTCGTAAATGGGAATGAGTGTACATGTAGCAGTTACTGTTTACACGTGTACATGACATGTACTCACCTCCCATACATGTACAATGTAGATCTACGTACAATGTAGATCTAGTGTTCTTAAATCTGATAATTCTAGCCTGGACTGTTGTTAAATTTTGCCGGTTTTCCAGCCTGGGTGTTCTTCGGCGAGGTGTTCTTCGGCGCCCGATCTTACTGTAATCATCAGGGGGTCCTACAAGTAGTGTACGGAAAGATGACACAGGCCACTGGAACACTGGATCATGGAGTGATGTGGGTTTCGCTCCCAGACCGCCCGGTACAGTCGCCCTTGGTACAGGGTCGATTTACACACGCTCGCATAGGGCATCGCTTGTCTGGACTGCGGTCGGGTCGGCAGGTCAAGCGAGTTGCATAGACCCCAGATCACATACCTGTAGAGCTTCCAAATCCAGGGTCCAAAAGCACATTGTTTTGGGAGCTATGATATTGTGCGGAGTGCCTGGAAGCTAAGACTCCCTGATAAACACTAGGCAGAAAAACAGGAAAGGTAGGTTGGCCTGTATGTCGGGTAGCTGCAAATGTGCACCACAACAAAGCCCACATGGGACAGGGAAGCCATACCTTCTTGGCATAGTCTTTTTGCTGACAAGCGGAGTAGCTTTCACCAACAGCCTGCAGCATACGCGCATCATTAGGCCTGCATGGCAGAAGATAACCAGAGACATAAGAGTGAGATAGGAGCACAGCGACCAGTGGTCTGTGACCAGCTGTCAATTTAGTGATGGGCTCCAAGACAAAGAGCTTCAAAGACCTGAGTCTTGCACACAAAACATACGCATTCATCAGAGACCCCCATAGCATTGACAGTACACGCACATGTAGCGATCCTTTTTCTTATTCACCCATGCCATGGTGCCCTGGGGCTTTGGGTCACGTGACTCATGGAAAATGGGTCAAAGACGCTGGTCCTCTGCATTCTGCAAACGCCACCAGAAACGGGAAATTGCGGAAGCATACGTGAAATGGCTAGCCTGTTGAGAAGAGATACGCAGCGAGGCATTAGACACTAGACACTGGACACTGGACACGGGTACATTGCAACTTGCAAGCCAGCGACACAAACAAGCACGGACACAGGGAAGAAAGTTCTTGCCAAAAAAAAACTTACTTGAGCTGCTGGGCTTTGGCAAAGTAGTATAGAGCATAGCGTGGCACACTGAGCACTTCGTACGTCTGACCCAGCCCATACCAAGCACGGTAGTCTCGTGGATTCAATGCTGCATACACCGAGTGCGCACAAAGAGGGCACACAGCAAGGGGGAGTGAGAGAGAAAAAGGGCATTACTGGTCAGGGAGACCAAGCAACAACACCGAGGATGGGATGCCAGGAGCAGCCCACTTGCAATCAATACATTAGGACATTAGAAAAGAACTCAAAGGTGTTCCAAGCACGTGCAGATTACTTCCACTTCAATTTGTACATAAACATGTATGGTTGAACACCCTACCCAGGTATGCTTATTTGTTTACGTTGGAGTTACGTCACTTCACCTCCTAGCATGAACACCATAATGAATCGAGGAGGGTGTGATAAGCCAGCCAAGGTAAGAGCAAGAATATCATGTGAATGACGGAGGAAAAGGAGATGAAAATCAGTCACTATTCAAGCAACACTCTCCAAGGTCTGTGAAGGGAAGAAGAGACCTAGGAAGAAGGCAAGGGACATGCTACACAACATTGCTCAATACGTAGACCTGAATAAGCCGCATAAGCGAAGTCTGAGCTGCTCACGTGCATCAGGATGCATGCTATGTAGTATGGTACAGTGTATGCACATGGCCTACCAACCCCACAAACTCAAACTGCCAACCTACTAGTAGCGGTGTGGTAGCACTCAATGGCACCGGACACATTCTTCACCTCCATGTACTCATGACCGAGCAGTGTCCACGAGGACAAGAAGCCGCTGTCCAGCTTGAGAGAACGCTGGAAGTAGGAGATGGCCTTGGTGTGGTCTCCACGGATACTGTAGTAATTTGCTACATGCGCACAGCAAGAGAGAGATGGCAGGAGAGGACTAGAACAAGCCCCCGCAGCAGCAGCAAGGTCCCCCCCCCCCCCCCCCCCACAGCAAGGTCATACTGACAGCAAGCCCCGCCAGCAGCAAGGTCATACTGACAGCAAGCCCCCGCAGCAGCAAGGTCATGCTGACAACAAGCCAGCTAGTGTTGCACAGTATCAACCGTTGCCTTGTTTCATACACAAAGAGAAACAGGACTGAACGGGGTAGATGCAAAACTGCAAAAGCATGAAAAAATTGGTCTCATACACTTCAGAGAAAACTGCTGTCACGATGTAGGCAATCCAGGCAAAATATTTATTCATTTAAAAAGCCCTTTGCAACCTGAATGCTAGAGGTTTGCGTGGAAGGATTTCGAACCGGAATTCTCCTTCAAACATTTGCAACCTGTTATCACATTTCTCTAGAAGGAAGGACTAGGGCCTGTTGGCGTGTGGTCTGCAAGTCGGTAACTCACCAATCACAAAGCACGTTTCCGGACGATAACGATCAATCATGACACAGTGGTGAGCCAGTCGACTCAGTTCACCATCCATCCCCTACATAACAACACAGGGAAACAGAGAGTAAAGTAACAGGGAGTGACAAGGGTCACAAAGTTTTTTTTTGCTTTTACGGGGCACGTGTGTATTTTGAATACCACTCACAGTAGGTACAAGACCAAGGCAGCATTCTAGCGTAGTACAGTTCACTCCGGGTCTGAAAAGCAGGACTGTAGAACTGGACAATAGCACACTGACTTAGACATGGCCATCCAGCTGCGTACACATCCACTACAGCAGTACATGCACTGAATATACTTTCACTGCAGTAGTACTTCAGAAGTACATACTAGTACTTATACTGCATATACTTCAGAGTATTAGTTCATACTGCCTACACTTCATAGTATTATAGGAAAGAAAAAGGACCAAGAAACTACAAGTTACGCTACAATGCCCACTAACACTTCGGAGTTCATTCATAGTATTACCGTAAAAGCCCGTGTATACGCCCACTCGAAATTACGCCCACCCTCCGTGTACACGCCCAGTCAGGGGAAGTCAACACTTTTGTTTCAAAATAGCGCCCATGCCCATGTATACGCCCAGGTATGCCGGAAACACCAGTACATGTACAGGTACTGATACCCAATACTTACGGCTATCCCTATTCCAAGTATACGCCCGGTTCCAAAATAACGCCCGCGCCCTTGTACCGTAAAGTACTGTTGATCCGCCCCCACGCCATGTCGCTTCCCAGCTGGGTTTTCGGCAGGGGGCGGGAATTAGATCAAGGCTGTCAAGTGCAGTACGATGTACAACAACGTATAGGATCAGACTCAATGTGCTGAATTGTGCACATTTTGATTGGCAAGTACTGTGTACAGCAGTGCATGCGTCGGTTCAACATCGTATTTCGTTGTATACGGCGAAGTTGCTTCACAAGGAGAAAATCGACAGGGGGCGGGAATTAGAGAGGGGGCGGATCAACGGTACTTTACGGTATACGCCCAGGAAATCGAGGCTGCTATTCTATACGCCCGGGGGCCTATACACGGGCTTTTACGGTAGTTCACACTGCATGTACTGCATGTACAAGAGCACGTAAAAGTACAAGAGGCCTTACAGTACTGTGTGTACTGAAGTACTCACATTCACATAGAGCATGTTGGAGTAGGTATGTGTGTACTGAAGTACTCACATTCACATAGAGCATGTTGGAGTAGGTATGTGTGTACAGAAGTACTCACATTCACATAGAGCATGTTGGAGTAGGTATGTGTGTACTGAAGTACTCACATTCACATAGAGCATGTTGGAGTAGGTATGTGTGTACTGAAGTACTCACATTCACATAGAGCATGTTGGAGTAGGTATGTGTGTACAGAAGTACTCACATTCACATAGAGCATGTTGGAGTAGGTATGTGTGTACTGAAGTACTCACATTCACATAGAGCATGTTGGAGTAGGTATGTGTGTACTGAAGTACTCACATTCACATAGAGCATGTTGGAGTAGGTATGTGTGTACTGAAGTACTCACATTCACATAGAGCATGTTGGAGTAGGTATGTGTGTACTGAAGTACTCACATTCACATAGAGCATGTTGGAGTAGGTATCCACAAAATCTAGGCGACAAGGGTCCGCTTGCCTCACTTCATTGAAGATAGCACTGCAATGGGCAAAGTCTGCAGTCACCAGCATAATATAGAAACACAACACAGAGTACATGTACAATTATTGAGAGCAACACACCGAGTACATACATGTACATATCAAGAACCACACAGTGACACAAGGGATGAAGGTTATCGTATTTTCCGGGGTGTTAGCCGCACGACCGGGGTCTAAGCCGCACGACCGGGGTCTAAGCCGCACGACCGGGGTCTAAGCCGCACGTTAGATTTTTGACCATCCAAACTTGAGTGGTACCAGGCTAGAACATGTAGTACATGTCCATACAAGACATTAACCAATGGTTACTTCTTTGTTTGTCCTGCACTTTGAACTGACAACTTAGAAGTATCGTACTGCAATGATAGATTTCTGTGAATGAAAAGCACATAAAAAGTACTTGTAGTCGAATGACACCATACATGCATTTTATGCACAGAACGCAGTATCCCTGGTTGATCCATGGCCAGCATTCAGAGTCTAAAGGCCGATTCACAATACAACTTCATGCGACTTGCGACATGTGACTTGCGACACATGCGACGAACTGCGACAGCAACACACGGTTCACAATATTCTTCATGTCTGCGACATCCTCATGCACAAGTAGTACTATGCACGTGCACTGCACGTGCACCCAGGGTCGAAACTGTACAGTGGATATCGGTTATAAAGTCATCGGACATAGTGATAAACCGGCTATATTGATACAAAATGAAAATATCAAAAGCAAAACCAGAAAAAGCCACTCAGGTTATCATTATAACCAATATATCGTATATAGCGATAAATCGGCTATAAGGATACAGAATCACCATTCAAAACACCTCTTTGTGAGGAAAAAATATCGTCTATAGTGATAGCAACACACGAGTGTGAGGCATTGATGTCTCGACTTGGAGCCACATGTGTGTTTTCATAGTGTATTCTGGTCTGATGTTTCCCGGATGATGCCTTTGGGCCAAGAAGTTCTTCACTCTAGACTGGGGAAGGTGCAGCAGCATGAATCCTGTATCAGAACGCTACATTAGCGCGATCGAGTACCCACACGTGTATAATGTGTATGTAAGATGAGCGCAGTTGAAAATCGCCTGTAGTGATATACCGGTTATAGTGATAAAATGTGAAAAATCAGAAGGGCACGTTATAACCAATATCTACTGTACTCCATTTGTGTATGTCGCGTGTCGCATGTCGCAAAAGTTGAACTTTCTTCAACTTCTGCGACAGGTGCCTTGCGACAGCTCGCGACAGGCAGTTTATAGTCGCAGCTGTCGCAAATCGCGTGTCGCGTCGCAGAAAGTTGTGTTGTGAATCGCCCTTAAGCCACAGGGTGATTTTGGAGGTTTTTTTTAGGCATTTCAAAGTGCGCTAACATCCCGGAAATTACGGTAACCCAGCTGTAGAGTACCTCCCGTGGATCTTGACATACACATTAGCAACCCTGTGCTGATGATAGTCATGCAACCCTGTGACAACTCTCAGAGCAATGCGCTGAACACGGTGACACTATTTGCATTTGCACACCTATTTCAGGTAGAAAAAAAGCCTCGAAAACTTCAGCAGCAGCAACACTTATATAAATGTGCACATGCACCCAACAGGATGTTGCAACTGCTAAAGAAAAGCACCAGAAAGCTGAAAATAGAGAGGTTCTGCTACACGGAACTACGTACCAAACTCCGTGTCAACTGCAGTGAAGTTTGACACGGATTTTTCGTACGTTGCACCGGTTCTGCTGTACGTAGCATGCTCGAACCATCACGAACACCCCGCCACATGTACTCTGTACGCTCACTTTTCACACGGAGTCCGGTCCGTGTGAAGCGCGCTTCACACGGAAAACGGTATGAAAAAATCCGTATCAAACTAAATCCCGTACGCGGTGAAGTTTCCATACGTACTTTGGCACGTTTTACCGTGTGGCAGAACCTCACTAATGCTCAACTATAAGCCCGTGCCAACCGCGACATAAGTGTTCCAGTTATCTGTGCCCTATAGAATTTGAGTCAATTTCACTTTCAAGTTCGGTTTTCTCAACCTTTCTGCAGGATGGGGAGAGGAAAGGAGCAAAGCAAAGATAGTAGGCAATTGGTTGTTCAAGCAAGCAAGGAGGCTTTCTCCTCGAGATCAAAAGCAGGATTGACGGGTCACTGTGATCGTACAGTACGCAGAGTTATTTCTGCGTTTCAACAGACCGGCGTAGTGGATACAAAGTCCAAGGCGGGTGGCCGCCCAAGGAAGACCGAATCGAGGTTCGACCGAAGACTGTACGTGCTGTCTATGTGCAATAGACACAAGACGTCAACATAACTGAGAGCCCAGTTGCCGCAGGAAGGTGGAAACGTTGAGTCAGTGCGCACAGTTCGTTGCTGGCTGCAGAACTGTGGAGTGCGCGGGCGTGTGTGGCAGTGAAATAGCTGTTTATTTCCAAGGTAAACAAAAAACAGCGGAACCAACTTGCCAAAGCGCCCAGGAATTGGACGAGTGAGACGTGGGATCGAGTGTTGTGTAGACAGGTGAGTTCAAGTTCAACCTGGAGGGGTCCAGTCGGGCTGTTTACGCGAGAAGGTGGCCAGGAGAAGTTCGTGCAGATTTGTGTATGCGGAAGACTGTGAAGCATGCAGGTGGCAACAGTAAGATCTTGGGAGTGATCTCGACCAAAGGCAGAGGCTACCGGTATAAGGTTGATGTTAAACGCAGAGCATGGCACCCTCTTCTGTTTATTCTGCAGTCTTCTTCTGCAACACCCCCACTCCCTTCCTTAACACACATTTACGATGCCTGATTGCAGCGCAAACACCGAGACCATCGGGTTGGAGTTAGACACAAAGAAGTCCGCTGTCTACAGGCATCTCTTAACACACGCTGATTGTCTTTTTTTCTTCTTGTCACGTAATATGTGTGCCGTTCAAGCAGCAGTCGAGTGGAGGGGAGAAGAAGAGTGAAGAAAACAATGTAGCGCAGTGTCATGCAGCCAAGGTCCCATGGACGTCTCGCGTGACAGCTGCGTGCGTGTGTTTTTCAACACAACAGCCAACAAGTCTTCAATAATGACTGACCTGTGTGTACGTATGTGAACTCAACGGGATACGCACCGAGTGAGCCGACTGTGCAGTATGGTGATGGAGTGCATGGAGTAGTGGGTCACTCGCATGACAACTGTATCTGTGCTGCGCTGTGGTATACGGCATAACTATCACCTCTATCCTGACGTTCCTTTGATTTTAACAACACCTTGATTTTTTACAACTTATTTTTCACACTTTGAGTATCAGGCGCGCGCTAATTGACGCACCATCTCTTGTTTCAAGAGTCAGTATGAATAGGTGATTATTTCTTTTCCAGTCATTCAATATTCAACCTTCTCTGATGAGGTCTAATTGACCGAAACAGCTGTCAGAAGGAATTAAAAATATTTCAGTACTCCGAACTTCTTGTTGCTGTTGTGGGGAATGAACGTGGTCGGCCGCAGAGCGCAAAGGTGGTGGTGGTGGTGAACTGGATGCAGAATATCCACGACTGTAACAAGATAATACGCAGTCAGTTAGGTCATTGAATGTCTCAGTAGCCTGTCAGTTTTGTGCCCTGTTATCGCAAGTTCTGACTGCTTATTCTCTTGTTACAGTCGTAGATAGTTGCTTCAGGGAGTAAGGCATTGTTGCCAAGTTTGTACGGTGCAATGATCAGTGTCAGGAGCTGACAAAGCAAAGAGGGGAGGGGGACCAGGGGCTGTGCTGGTTGAGCTCAAACGGTCTCGGTGTGTTGCTGAGTGTTGGCACGCATATTATATTGTACATATCATGAACCTGGGTCTCGCTCATACTTCGTGGCAGTCTGGAAGTATTGCTTGCAAACGTTCAGGAAGAAAATGGTCATAATTATGCCACGGTCCTTCTGGTTGTTGGTGTGCCTCTAGTTGTATTCACTGCCATCATCTTGTCTCCTAATAGGTTATACAGGAAAATTAGAACAATTATTCATTTTTCATTCCAACAGACAGGTTGTCCGGATAACTGACTCGACACTGTACTGAACTGTTAGCGACCGATTGCAAAGCTTACCTCGCTGGTCATAGTAGGCCATAGCCATGGCAGTATTTACAAAGGGATTGCTGACAAGCTCAGGGACGTCTGCTTGCAATGCAGAGCAGATGCTTTGGAGTTGATCACTTTGTTTTTCCTTGTGTAGGTCTATGGTGAAGAACTGCACCATCCAGTGGGATGGCAGTTGATAGTCAGATACCTAGCAAAGTAACGGAAATATACGCAACAAGATCAACAAGAATCATAACAAAATTACCATAGGAAAGTAGTGAAGCAACAGCATGAACAGTAGGATGATTGCGAAGATAGATAGATAGATAGATAGCTAGAGAGAAAGTGAGAAAGAGAAAGAGAGAGAGAGAAAGAGAGAGAAAGAGAGAGAGAGAGAGAGAGAGAGAGAGAGAGAGAGAGAGAGAGAGAGACAGAGAGAGACAGAGAGAATAGGGCAGAGGACAAGAGAACAGGGGGAAGAACAAGTTAAGACAGAATACAGCACTGTTGAGGCGTCAAAGAACCAACAGACTAGAATTTTACCAAGCACAGTGTACTGATATGTACACGGTGACTCCACCGCGCAGAGACTGTTGTACATGAAAATAAGAGCGACCTAGGCTACGAGGCTGAACCCCCCTCTCCACTTATTTAGCACCCGAAACACACACAAGACCTGACTTGGGAGAAATATCATTGAAAACAGCACTGCAACTGGTGCTCAACACCAACAAGAGCATGCTGAAAAATGAAAGCATACAGTGTCAAGTCACTGACATAATGCTATGCCAAGCCAACAATAATCTCAGTGAAAACATCGGCAGCACTCCCTACAATCACTTACAGCCGAGACTGATGGTAGCAAAACCGCTAGTTTATGCCACGCAGCCCACAGCATTGGACATTGTGTGACGGCTTTCACCAAGTACGGTATTGCTTCTTGTGATAACGAAAGCTGATCAAGGACAATAGCGAACCTGCGACAAAGCAAGTAAGGAGACATAAGAGGCAGAAAGGTGTGAGTTGACTCCCGCACTTCACTCCAAGCACAAATTCAGAATGGCCGCCATTCCTACCACTCTATTGTTGGTTTCGACATGTGTAAGAGTTACGCAATGCTCAGTTGGAAGATCCTGACAGGCACCATGATTGGTTTGCGAGAAGAACTTCTTGATTGGCCCCTGTGTAGTGATGCAACAATGAAAGGTGCTTCCATTGTTCTGACTAGGCTGTGGAGCCAGTGGAAACGGATGTATTTAATTAATGGCGTCTTGTACCGGGTCTACCACCCCGAGAAAAGCAACACTCCCCACCTACAATTCATTGTTCCTCAGTCTCTTTACTCCCAGATGCTGCAATGTGTGCACACCGATGTGTCCGGATATCACCTTGGCGTTGAGCGGACTCTGGACAAGTTGCGAAGGCGTTGCTATTGGCCTATCATGTCCACGGCTCAGCTGTCAATGAGTTCTGCGAAGCATGTGAAGTTTGTGAGAGCCGCAAAGCACCTTTACCTTCAGTTAGAGCTCCACCTGTTCAAGAAAGCCCGTCGTTTCCACTAGCGGTTTTCTATTTTGTTGTAGCCTGCGGAGGAGTCTGTGCATGGAAGATGTGTGTAGCTAGTTCTAACCGTTAACAAGTTTTATTCTTATAACCCTTCGGACCAAGGTCACACCATTATGCTAGGTGGACTAGGCAGACCTGAACACTACAGCAGAGCATAGGCACAAGCAGATAACAATGCACTACCAGTGCTACTATTACTAGTTACTACTAATCAGTTACTCAGTCCACTTGACACAATGTACTCAGTCTACTGGTACTTACAGATAACAGCAGTAGCCATCTAGCTGCGAGCTGCTCTCCAGCTGGGTCAGCTCATCACGGATCTTATTCAACTCAGCATTGACAGCTTTCGATGTTGCTATATATCAGCAAAGGTGAGATGGTGTGTGTGTGTGTGTGTGTGTGTGTGTGTGTGTGTGTGTGTGAGAGAGAGAGAGAGAGAGAGAGAGAGAGAGAGAGAGAGAGAGAGAGAGAGAGAGAGAGAGAGAGAGAGAGAGAGAGAGAGAGAGAGAGAGAGAGAGAGAGCATGGAGGGCAAGGGCAGATCAGATAAGCCACAAGGAAGTATGCAAAATACATCGCTGAATAACAAAAACATCCTCAGATAGTCCAAAGAGTCAGAAAATAGCTGTGATCAAGTTTCACCTGAACCGGAGAAGTGAGGATAGAAAGGCTACGGCCGTATTGCGTAGTGGATGAGGCAGTGTATTAGCATGACACACAGTAAGTCACACCACAACTCTGTAATTATTGTGACCAATGATCAATTTATTCATAAGTTTGAGGCAGTTGAAATCGGGAAAGGTCTAAGGATGAAATTGACTGTCACCGCCAGGACTCAAATTCTTACATGTTTGCGAGAATACTGGTACTTCCTTAGTCTTTTCACCACCCTGAAACAAGGAGCCAGAAGTATAAGAAAAAAAGTCGGATGAAACCAATAAAAAAATCCCTCTTCAAAAACCAGATCTGTCCCCCACCACATGCCATGGTCCATGTTGTTGTGTGTGCGCGTACAGTACAATACTTACTTTCAACCAGCATCCACAGGACCAATGCTTCTTGCTTCAACAACTCACATATGCCAGCAAATCATCTTCTAAATTGTGCGCATGCAGAAGTTGCAGTTGTGGCGAATGAAACCGGACCTCATGGATAATCCGGCCCTGGCCTAGGGGTTGCGCAGCCCAGGCACTCCGAATGCCGGGCCGTGCAGCAGGCCACAGCGCAATGATGCAGCTTGCACCGTGAACATGCAATGCAGCCGCCACCTGGGTATGGTTGTGCTGTAGGGTGTTGAACAGTGCATTCCTGATCCCAGCGTACTCACCACACACATGCACTACTCATAGTCTCATTCCTTATCTGGCAAATGTGCACTGGACTAACACACATACTTTAAAGTAGCTGTGTTTTATTTACTTGCCCTAACTTAGAGTAATTCACATAGCAGAGGTTGATTCAAGAGGCAACACTGCCCACTGCCCATGACCTACCAGGTAGAGAGAGTACAGGCGAAGGAAGCGGGCTTTGCTGGACTGGCACTGTCGCAGAAAGTGCGCCGCCCGGCGGAACTCCTTCAGATCAAAATAGGTCTTGGCCATGCTGTACTTGTCCCAGTCCTTCCAGAACGCCACGTCATGACGTGGCAGTGGCTGTGCATCCACTGGCATGTCCACCGTGTCCGCCAGGGAGCAAGCCTGCTCCGCTGCCCTAAATCAACCATGCGCATCACAGCCAAACAACAACAACAAAATTTCACAGTTCGCGTGAGACTCGGCTGGAAACCAAGTTTTCCGCATCCGTAGGAACGCCGCCACCCTTCAAGGATCAAGGCGCAGATGCAGCTCCTAAAGCGGAAGCCAAACAAGAAAGTTTAAAAATCACGAAAAAAAGTATGCGTGAACTCGGCTTTAAATTCACCGACCCGCGCATGCAATCATGCACAGGGTGCAGTAACTGCAGCTAAGGTGCTCAGGTTTGTCACATGATGTGAAGTTCTGCCACCGTAGACCCCACAGACTGGAGTTGCACACTGTTGGGTTTTATTACTCTTGATGCAACTAACAATGGAGAAGAACTCCCACTACACTCCTCACAAGAGTCTATCACTCATGAACCGTTGTTGCTCTTCAGAGAGGACTACTCTGTGTGGGATATATCTGTGACTAGGAGAATGTATGGCAAAAACAGTAAGATAACATGGTACGCATAGAGCAGCTATTAGAGCTAGATATACATACTACCAAGAGTACATAACCCCAAGAGTGTGCAACTGCCTGCACAACCTCTATGCTGCGACGGCAGAACTTCACATCACGTGACATGGTTCAAAAGGTTATGCTGGCAAACAGTGCAAAGTGATCAGAAGAGAGTTGTACCCCAAGCTGGGCTGCGTACAACCCAGTATCTATCATGCACAGAGTGCAAATAATGTGTACGGGTTCATCACGTGATGTGAAGTTCTGCCATCGCAGACCCCATAGCTGGAGTTGCACACTCTTGGGGGTTATGTACTCTTGATACTACCAAATCCAAGAGTACTAGTACATAACAAGAGTGTGCAACTCCTATTGTGCTATCGTGCCATCCTGGCGCTCCCCTGTCGTCAGGGTGGTTTGGGAATTCTAAACCCAAGGACCCTTGCCCAGCAGTACGACGCATCTACGTCTGTCACCAGACCTCTCGTCAAGCAGCTCCTTCGACAGGAGGAATCCATCGAGGAAGTTCTTGCAGCCACCAAGGCAGCCAAGGCGGCCCAACGCACGGCTAATCGCCAAGATCAGGCAATGGCCCACTCCTCCCTCAGGGATACCCTGAGTGATGACCACAGGCGGACTCTTGATCTAGCTGCGGAGAAAGGTGCCTCCAGTTGGCTCACTAGTCGGCCATCTCGCAGGTTCCAGGTCACCATCCACAAGGCTGGCTTCCGGGATGCCCTATGTCTGCGCTACGGTTGGACCCCTCCCCGGTTGCCGTCTCACTGCACCTGCGGAAAGCCCTTTGACACCACCCATGCCCTGTCATGTGCCATCGGAGGATTCACTGGGATGCGCCACAACGAACTCCGAGATCTCACCGCTAATCTGTCGCGTGAGGTTGCGCATGACGTCAGCGTGGAGCCAGAGTTGGAACCCCTCTCTGGTGAAACATTCCCTCTCCGGTCGGCCAACACGGAGACGCATGCTCGTCTGGATGTGGCAGCACGTGGAGTGTATGGGAGTGGGTTAGAGAGGACACTCTTTGATGTTCGGGAGTTTAACCCTTTTGTCCCCTCCAACCGAAACCTTGCTATCCCGTCTGTCTACAGAAAGCACGAGCAGGAGAAGCGGCGCAAGTATGAACGGCGAGTCCTGGAGGTGGAGCATTACTCGTTTGTTCACGTGATCTTCGCAACAACTGGTGGGCAGGGGAAAGCTGCTTCGGCCCTCTTCGCCAGGATTGCCAGCAGGCTGAGTGAAAAGCGCCGTGAGCCTTTCCCGGTCATGATGGCTTTCGTATGGGCGAAGATCTCCTTTTGCCTTGTTCGGGCAATGGTTGCCAGTTTACGTGGTCACCGTCGGAACCCGCCTCGACATCTGTCTGATTCGGCTGTGCTGGCGGCTGCTGAATGGACCCTGGTGCCATAAACTTTGTACATATACATGTATAGTTTCCATGGCTATGGTGCTCCCATGATAATGAGCTTCATTTACTTTTGTATTAGGCCAAAACAAAAAATAGGCTTGTTTCCGGTCGGCAACCCCTCAAAAAGGAGACTCGGTCGGCCGGAATAAAACTTTTTTGGATACTTTTTTTGGTTCCTCAATCGTTGTGGTATTGATGGACAAGAGCACCTACACATGTACATTGTACATATATCATGGCAAGGATCAATGTCAAAGTTGACTGACTCACTGTTCTTGTACAGCATGTGGTGTATTCCTGTTTTCGTACATCCTGAGAAATCAAGCAAAAATTTCGAGTCCTTCCAGCTCCGTTATTCTAGCTCGTATCGACCCCGGAGGTTTTCGAGCCGACAGCTGAGAATCTCTGCTACCTTGTAGGTGTTTCGATTGTGGAATTCGGTTGAGATTTGACTGAGTTATGACTCGTTGAGTGCACTTGCACACATGGCATTGCCACCGTTTGTATACATGTGGGACCAAAACAAGTTTCAGAATTTGGGAAAAAGTGGCCCGGCCGGCCGACCGGAAACAAGGTCATTATTTGTTTTGGCCTTATCAGTTTGTTTTGTTTGTTATGATTTCTTGGTTTTTCATCCGGATTTTCTCAGTATGACAGTATCAATGCTGGCAGGACAATTTATTGCGTTAATTACATTTATATCTCCATGTAAGTGCAACAACTATTGTGGTCTGCGATGGGGTAACCCACGGCAATTTTTTTGTTTTACAGCATCATTTCTTGGCAGAAGTGTTATCAAATGTGCATACTTCTTAGCCCTCGTCTTGCGAATATGGTGGCAGTTTATCAGGTTCAGGACATACGGATCTGCCGTTCGTTGCTCTGCTTCAACTGCCGTAAATGTGATGTACAATTGCTTGTACTTTGATCTTTGGTTATGCTATGATGGGCATCAGTGAGACAAATGGCCAAGAAAGGCCGACGTCACAAAAAAATATTCCGCTGCGGCCTGGGGGATCGTCAAATTGCACACTCTTGGTTACGAACTGAAGTTGTAACTACTATGGAACTGAAATTGGGCATGGGATCATGATCGGCCCTGTAGCTGACGTGGGGCTGTACCACACCTTTTAAAGAGCTGGCTCTGGGCCTGCTCATGCAAGCGTCCACCAAGATTCTCAATCCAGTGGTGGCCCACCTACGGAAACTTGGTGTGCGGCTTCAAGCCACATCAAGACCAATGAGCTGGGCATGTGACTGCGTTCCAGGAGGAAAGAGAGAAAGGCAAACCTCACGTCTCGTGAGGATTACTAGTTCAAACTGCGAATTTTCGGTGGTGTGATATTTTCGGTATTTCCCAAAATCAATGGTTTTCCAGATCAAAAATTCATTTTGCACACTGATTGGTTGAATTTTACACTGTCACATGTTCACCTTCCCCTCTTCATGCAACCCTTTTTTATTAATTCCATATCAACTTTCTTCTGTACTCTCGCGGAACTACTAATTCCTACCCGTCCCTGGACTAGAACTTACCATTTCGCACTGTTCACAAGGCCACATTGGGATAGTTCAACGGACGCCTCGCGTAACTCCAACAGCACATCACGCAAGGAAAACTCCTTCAATAGCGCCATCTTGCTCACACAATAACTTTTCTACTTCCACGATGTGACACGCTTTTTTCTATACAGGTATTCAGCAACTTTGATTGATCTTGCATGAAATTTATCGAATTCAAATCAGCATTGCTCTCTCCTACGCCAACGGAAATGGATTAACACATGTGAAGGTGGACAGCCATCACGACAAAATGTAGAGGAAGACGAAGGAGTTCACAAAGTACCACTTGTGTCCCAAGTTGAGTAAGCAACAGAGCTACTTGTGATGCTACAAAATTATAATACAATGCCAAGATCATTTCGAATAAACCACAGCCACAGGACCGAAAAGGCGATTGAGTTTGACTTTCTTTGCATTTTTTCATTCTTTGGCGCGCTGAATAAATGTTTTACAGATATTTTTGCAAAAAAATACCGTCAGTCCAACGATAGCGGTGACGTCAACACACCTCGAGTCATGTGATCGTGAATCGTGATCCTTTTTGAGTGGGCCCAAACCGAAACCAGGCATGCATCATCATCAAGCTATGAAAAGGAAAAAATTGAAAAGAGTGTCGAAAGACTCAAAACACAAGTGTGCTTCTTTGGCGTTGTCAATATCCACACCGAAGACCAAATCAATTTTCAAGAGTTCTCTTGGTAGTACGTATTCCCTTATCCACGACAGGAAGCAGAAGGAGAAAATCTTGAACGAATTTATTTTGAGCCACCAAGTTCGTAACAGCAGCTGATGAGCTAGGCTGGGGCACACCTGAGAGTCAGCAATCATTATTATTTTGTAGGCTTGTGTCCTGAACCTGCAGTCATGTCTCGCGGCGAATTTGGATCAGCTGCGAGGGGTGAGGTGAGCTATGGAACACTGGAATCCACGGGACGCTCATCAGGCTCCGCGGGCGTGTCCTGGCAAGGTTAGTGCACGAATACTCTGTCCAACCTGTGCTTGTTTGGCTCACAGGAAAGGGAGAATTAGTTTGGCAACTTTTGAGTTTCACTCAATTTTGTCTATGTTCTGCTCTTTTCTATGCGCGTACAAAGATGACACGAGCCAGTTTGATAAAGTGGGTTCCAACACGCAGATGATATCGTCCAATGGTATGTAACTACTATAGTCTGTATTGATCATAATATCAAGAGTTCGTGACTCTCCCAAGTGTATGCAACTCACGCCTCTCTTTCTCTCTCTCTCTCTCTCACTCTCTCTCTCTCTCACACACACACACACACACACACACCACACACCACACACACCACACACACCACACACACACACACCACACCACACCACACACACACACACACCACACACACACATATGCACACACACGCTCATGCACGCACATCCAAGCTTGCAATTATTTCCGACATGAAATGCCTGAGGGCTATGATAGTACTGTGCACTGGGATACTCCTCATGTGCTTTTCAAACATGGATGCAGCCAATGGGATTTTCGCTCTTTGGTCGCTTTGTGAGGGGTCCGATCTACTCACTTCCCACCACTTCAGGTGTTATCTGCGCCTTGATCCTTGAGGGTGGTAGTGGTCCTACGGATGTGGAAAACGCAATCTGACTGGGTCTCCCGTGAACCATGGATTGTTTGGTCATGGATTTTTTCCTGGCATAAAGTCCTGATGCTACTGTATGGTTCTCGGGGCTTCCTTCTGCACAGTTTCGTCGCTGGAGAAACTGCTGAAGCAGATCGGTACACCGAGTGATGGAGAACCACTACGTAATCGTCTGTAAGTACTATAGACTGTGTTTATGCATGCTGTGTTGGCTGTGGGGCAGGATATTTGCACTCTTTTCTGGGTCATAATTCCTTTGAACGGTTTTTGCAACCGTGGGTTTCCTGGAAAGCTCTTCACAAGAGGAATGCACTGGGCTGATACTCAGTAACGAGGGCCAAAACGCCAGCGCTGCAGCCCTGCGCCTTCGTTGCAATGCCAGTATTCTGACAATAGTCGTTCTGGTCTCAGCAATGTTACGTCGCTGCATGCCCAGGAAAGTGGGGAAATCCCCCATTCAAATCTGTGCATGCCACTGTTGAGCGACATTTGCTGAAACTCGATAGCTGAGCTTCATAACTCTGCAACCGCATATTGGAGCGCTCCGGCGATTGTTTCAGTGGACAGGTAGAAGTTTTCTCTTCAACCTACATGTTTATATTTTATTCTTTTGAAATGATTGAGTTACAATTGACTGAAATATAAATGTATCAACAGGTCCGATTCCCCGCTGAAGGTCGATTTTTTTAGAACGAAGACTACTGGTGTTTGACGTGGGTTTGTATTGTGTTGGAGTGGAGTGATCTGTTTCATGCCTATCCTCCACTTTATCATTCAGTGGAGCAGCACTCTTGCCGGTCATGCCACAGTTGCTCTTTTTCTTCTTGTGCTTGTCCCTTTGTCCGTGCCCATCCAGACACACGCTGTCTCACAACACGCAGGTGTTGGCATCGGACACGAATGTGGCGCTCAAGAACCTTGGAGTATCCACGCAAGGTGCTAATAAAGTAAGCTGTCGCACAACATGAGTTTTCCTCGCATCTCTCAACCTCCCAGTGTGGGGAGCAAAGGCTTTCTTACAAGCCTTCGCCGAGGGCACTGCCATTATCTCTCTAAAGCGTGCCCTGTGCCGTGGATGACATTGACATGTTACTATATACTATTTGTGTGCGGTATTTGCTTACTCTCCACCATTTGTCTTTGCTCTTTGCTTGCAGAGACAGCAGCGGATACAGCTTGAGAGACTACGCAAGGACTTCAGAGCTTCACTGACAAGATATCAGAAAGTGCAGGAGGTAGGAATGTGATCTCTTTAGTCAGTTAGGCAGTTGTCTTGCCAACCCTTATCATTCGTGCTCGGCATGCAGTGTGCGCCTTTTTGGTTCAGGGCTGTTGTGCTGTCTTTCTGTATTTGGGCGATGTGGCGATTGCTAGCGTCAGCACCTGCATATTTGTGGTCCGAATCATATTTCTAGTTTGCATCGTTACTAGTGTGTGTGTGTGTGTGTGTGTATGTGTATGTGCGCGTGTGTGTGTCTCTATCTCTCTCTCGCTCTCTCTCTCTCCCACTCTCTCTCTCTCTCTCACTCGCTCTCTCTCTCTGTCTCTCTCTCTCTCTCTCTCTCTCTCTCTCTCTCTCTATGTCTCTGTCTCTCTCTCTCTCTCTGTCTTTCTCTCTCCCTCTCTCCCTCTCTCTGTCTTTCTCTCTCCCTCTCTCTGTCTGTCTGTTTGTCTTTCTGTCTGTGTGTGTGTCTTTCTACCTTTCGCTCTATCGTTCTTTCTTGCTCTCCCTATACACTCTTCCCAGGCCATTCAGGAGAATGTGTCGCTACGTGCACCGCCAGGTGGACGGGAACGCAATGTAAGTGTAAACTATGGTCATAACCAACTGCCAACTCTGTTCTTTCACTTCTATAGGCATGGCCAGACTCATTTCCCTGCACACATACCACTCTAATGTACACTCTAGCATGCACTTTGAAGTGTCAAACCCAGCACAGCTCCCGAAAAGGGTGTTGGCGAGAAGAAGGAAACGCCTAAGTGACCTTCGTCCCCTCGTTGAAGTAAAACTAACATGAAAGCTCTGTCGCAATCGTGCCTGTTCTCTTGTTCAGCCCTTCCAGGAGGATGACGATGACCAAGAAGCTCTCCTTGCCGCTGATGAAGAGGAGCACAGGAGGTACGCATGTTAGCCATGTTACTCCTTGTAATATGCTGTGAAACCTGTCTAAGACGACTGCTCAAGGGACTTTCAAAGTGTGGTCTCTGTAACCAGGTCGTCTCCTGATCCAGTGCCATTTGATTAGAAATAGCATACCTTGGTCCTGGCTGCAGTGGTCTTCTGGGACAGGTGGTCTTCTGGGACAGGTGGTCTTCTGGGACAGGTGGTCTTCTGGGACAGGTGGTCTTCTGGGACAGGTGGTCGCCTTGACAGGTTTTACTGTACATGTCTGTACATGTACAGTCATGTCTTGTAGCTGGTGTGTTTGCATTTCAAGTTTTTTTTTTTTTTTTTTTTTTTACACTTCCAGATGATAAGTGTAGTATTATTCTCGATATAGTCAAGTGGTTTGCTTCACTGTCCGAAGAGTGCTCAATACCCATGTAGGGCAGAGCCTTGTATTATTCTCGATTATAGTTTGGACAATGAGACATAGAAGAGTATATTAATATGAGGAGCAAGAAATGCACAACCAGCAGGTCAGTGAAACCTAAGAAAAGTCTCGAGCCCGTGAGAGAAGCACATCAAAAGTTCTGGCCTACGAGAGGCAGCCTGCATGACGTACATACGGCATGCAGCGCATACAGTCATGAGTGTAGGCATAGCAGAGTCAGGATATTACTACATCTCCCCATTCAAGTCAGGATATTACTACATCTCTCCCCCCCCCCCCCCCCCCCCCCCCTCAAGGCGCACAGCAAGAGAGAGATAGCGAAACAAGAATAAAGCAGCGACGGAAGAATGCCGCTAAATGGCTAGCAGAATCGGGCAAGACTGCGCCATGAGAAGAGAAAAAGTCTGAGAGACCCAATGCAAGTATCCTGGAAACACTCTGAAGAAATAACAGAGTTCTGCAAATTATTTATATCCTTTGGGTGTATGAACAGCACGTCCAGAACGGGTGACTCTACCTGAACGGTTGGGAACGGCAGTAACTGGAGATGAGCGTTGAACGGGAGATGCTGGCTCGCCGGTGTCTTCAGAGTTGACAGGAACTGCTGGAGGATCGATGATGAGAGCACTGCGGTTGCGACGGAGAACAGAACTGGACAGCGTCTCGACAATTAGCGACCGGGCAGAATGCTCGGCAGTGACGATACCGGGCTCTTTTCTGTCTGGGACAAAGACAGCGGTACCAGGGACCAGTGACGGAGCCTCGCAAGCACAATGACGGGAATTACTCCAGTGGCAATATTCATAGTGACTGGGGAGTTATCAACTTCCACCGGCACGGACCAAGGGTCGTGTCCGGCTTCGACGCTGCCTAGAAACATGCCAGGGGCGTCCTCATCCGGTGGTACACTGTGTATAGCGTCACATGATCGTTGCTTCTTCTGGTCCACGTATGTGGGCGGGGGTTCAAATCCCACTTCTGACATCATGGTAATGATGTAGTATTATTCATGATATAGTTTGGACAATGAGACATAGAAGAGTAAATTAATATGAGGAGCAAGAAATGCACAACCAGCAGGTCAGCGAAACCTAAGAAAAGTCTCGAGACCGTGAGAGAAGCACATCAAAAGTTCTGACCTACGGGAGACAGCCTGCATGACGTACATACGGCATGCAGCGCGTACGGTCATTAGTGTACAGTAGTGTACGCGTAACAGAGTCAGGATATTACTCCTATAAGTACTACAGTCCTACTGCGGTTATCCGAACCCCGGTTGTCCAAATACTGTAAAACCGGAAAGTCTAACGTTTTAACGACCAATTTTTTTCGTTGCATGTACAGTATTTGAAGAAACGTTATTGCGATGTCTGTGTAAAGATGGGTGGCCAGATAGGCATCGTTAAACTTTCTGCACGTTGTCATGCCAAATTACAAAAACGTTTAACTTTGGTCGTTAAATTTTCCAGTTTTGTAGTACCTTGATTATCCAAACGCACGGATATTTGTATGTTGTACATTGTACAGTCAGACCTCGCTTATCCGGTCCTCCTTTATCTGGATTCCTCGCCATCCGGAAGAAAATCGTTGGTTGCTGATTTACAGCATATGCCATGGATACAATCATACAGTATGTGCGTTCGATTACTCTAGTTTCAGAAATCAATATTTTCGGTATGAGGGCAAAAGGCCAGGGTAGGTGAACAGAAATTTTAGGTACAAAGAAGCAGTTTCATATTGGATTATATGTGTTTGTAGTGTAGTGTTTGTTGGATTTATTGAAATTTTAGGTATGAAGCAGATGCACGGAAAGTACCAAATAAATAATTAAAAATAAAAGTACGCCGGATATCTGTGAAATTACTTATTTTTACAGTATCCGGTTCCTTCGCTTATCCGGATATATTTGTGGAAAACGGACGTGTGCGGTTATGCGAGGTCTGACTGTACTGTGCATTTTTTGGCATGTGGTGTTGTGGATTTTTGATTTCCTTTTTGAGTGTCTGGTTTACCGTACTGCTTTGTACACTTACCTAACTTGCTAGCAAGAAGAGTAGACAGCGAAGTAGAGACAAATATGTGAGCATCACTAAGTGCATAATATAAGGGTGGTTTGGATTATTAGAACACACCTTGAAAGCAGCTCGCCTGAAAATGTTTGGATAACTGGGGTAGGACTGTACTTGTGGTATAACTGCACTGACATGCTTGTTGTGTGTTGCACAGTAGAATTCTTCCTCTGATCGTGTGTGTGTGTGTGGTGCCTGTTTCCATGCTGTGTGTGTGTGTGTGTGTGCGCGCGTGCGCGCGCGTGTGCATGTGTGTGTGTCCGTGTGTATGCATGCTTCTATAGAGCGGTTCACCAGCAGACGATGCAGGCGGAGTTCGAAACCGAGCAGTACGAAGAAAGAGCAACTCAGGTTCAGCAAATTGAAGTGAGTACAACATGTGTCACATTGTGTGCGTTTTGGTGGATGATCGTGTGGATTGGGTAGTATTTCGAAGTGCGTTCTTACCTGCCGCACTGACAAGTGTGCCCAAGCGCATACCGGTAAGCACGTGCCAAGGCGGTTGTATCTGTGCAGTAAGCTATCAGGGGAGAGTTGTGTCCAATATTAGTATATTACAGCCTGCTTTAGCATTCTATGTATGCAGCTATTATGCAGACACGGAACTCCGAGTAACAGCAAAGAAAGGACCTGGTTGCACTGTTGCTGTTTGTGAATTGCATGTAGCTATTAGGGAGGTTTCGCTCTACGTAATTACGTATGAAAATCCGTATGTCGTACGCGCCGGGGAGCGAGGGCAACTTTCATACGTAAATCTCTCTACGGATTTCCGTAGGAAAGCACTTTCCTACGTTGGGTCCTCCGTAGGAGTTTTTGAAATATTTTTCGCATTTTCCGCATTTGTCCATGGCAACATTCAAGCCGCGCGAAACACAAGGTACACACACCGTACACCACGTGCAAAATAAAATGGAAAATGCGGTTTCGGTTCATGGTGCATGCGGTGGGTGCATGCAGCCAACGCGTCTCAAAAGCAACAACGCATGTTTAGCAGTCATGGAGAAATCACGTAGAGCGAAACCCAACAGCTCTGATTTTTACGTATGAAAATTCCGTGCAGTTCCTACGTTATTTTCATACGTAATTTAGAGCGAAACCTCCCTAATATGTATGTGCGTGAGACTTTGATCAGTTGGTCAGATAACGGCAAGTTTGCTTTTTATTGGATGTGCGCGTATGCACAGTGTTGCTTGATGATATCTGATCAGGTGAATCAAGTGGGTGTATGCACAGTGTTGCTTGATGATATCTGATCAGGTGAATCAAGTTTGTGCCGGGTGCTGTGCAGCCCTAGACCTGCTGCCAACACTGGGATGTTAACTGAATGCTAAGGGCGCAAACTTGGCTCACAAACAATCAGGTGATCAGGTTTCATTGAGCATCACTGTCTATGCTGCTCCATCACAAATCACTTACAGTACACGTGATTCTGCATCTGTCCTACTGCAGAGAGACATCCTGGAGATCAATGAAATCTTCCGTGATTTGGGTGCCCTGGTGCAAGAGCAGGGAACTCTTGTCGGTAAGTTGTTACAGTGAAACCTGTCTACTCTGACCACTTTGGCTAAGGACCTTACAAATATGGTCCCTGTATACAAGTAGTCTTCTTATCCAGGGTCGTTTCACTGGAAATAACATCCCTTGGTCCTGGTTGTAGTGGTTTTCTTGGACAGGTTGTCGCCTTATCAGAGTGAAATTTTTACTATCGATTACAATTCCCGAGTCCATGCAGAAATTTCAGCAGTCCGAAAGTAATCCGAAGAAACCTTTTTTTTCTTTCTTTCTCCAGTTTTAGCTTACCTGGACGTCCACTAAGGGTGGTGGATGCCTCCACAGAGCGTCAGTAATGATATTTGCTCATGATCTGAATAGAAATTTAGCACTTTCGCCACTTGAACGAATTATGCACTGAAGTATTAGCCAGGGTCCAATGTCATGAATAAGTTACATGTATACTTTCTAGCTAGGTTCTGATTGACGCTTGCTTTTTTCGTGTTGTCTTTCTCGAAGCCGTGTTTCTTTTAACTCACGCACACCCAGGGGCCAGCTTTAATACACCCACCTTTGCTGATCTGTGCGTTTGTTCATTTCGTTTATAGATAACATTGAGGAACACATTGAGACTGGTCACCATCAAGTGGAAGAGGGAAATCGTCAACTAAGCAAAGCAGCTTTGTACCAGGTACGTTATGATGGGTTGTTCAGTGTGTCGGTTTTTGAGCGAGGGTGTGTGAGAAAGAAACATCACAGCACATGCCGCTGCAAATAGGTTACTTGAATGCTGCTGGCTCACGCCTGGCTTAGGCTGCGGCCGCACTAGGTAAAAATATGCCGTATATTACAGCCAGCAGCCGCACTGCAAGTTCTACGAGCATTTTTCCAGCCCGACCGCCAGAAAATGTCACTAGGTAAAAGATAACGCATGTACTGCCCAATGCTGTAGATAGCAAGCTATTTCAGCCATATAGTGTGACACTTGGAAAGTAATAATGACCTGTTACTGACTCCTGTCAGCAGGAGTTCATATCCAAGAGTGTTCAACTCGATAATCCCTCAGCCCCCGTGGAAATTTTTAAGGACATCAGTCTTTCACTGCAGTTTGTCTCACTGATGCCATCATGTGTAGCCAGAGATGAAAAGTGCAAAGAACTTTTACATCGCGGCTACGGTAGTGGAAGCAGAACGATGGCCAGTAGATTCATGCGGCCTGAACCTGATGTACTCACATGTCTACATGACAAGCACGGGAAGGCATGCGCCCTTGATCTTTCTGCTGCCATAATATGACGGAATAAATAATTTCAGAAGAATCTCTGCCATTTGGTCAGTCCATTGCAGCTTGAGATAGAGTTGTCGTAGTCTTGCTTATCCACTCTTGCTGTCACATGATGACATTGTGTTGTGGGTAAGTACAAAAACAGTGCTAGTACTTCAAGTGAATCCTTACCATTGTCTGTGTTTCTTCTGCTGCATATCTGTTGTGTGTTGGTGAGCAGAAGAAGGCACGCAAGAAGATGTGCTGTTTGGTGATCGTCCTGCTGGTTGTCGCCGTCGCTCTCTTCTGTGTCATTTACTTCCCGATCAGAGCTAAGAAAAATAATTAATCTCTCGCCATGAATGGACGGGATGGCTTTCTTGCTGCCTCTGCTTCAAGCCATGCAGAGGTGTGCTGTACAACGCAGGTGATCTGCGATGGCTGGCTGCCTCTCTGCACTGCACTGACAAGTCAGTGCAGTGCTGCGGCCATGCAAGTGCAAGTCAGGTTGTGGGTGCACACACTGTGCGCCTGTTGTGATTGTCTGCTGGTTCTCTGGCTGGGCCAGGTGTCCATCATCTAGTTTCGAACAGCCGTGTCTGCCTTAGCGACAACGCTCGGAAAAGTTTGCTTTGCTCTTGCGCACCTTTGCTAGTCCGTTAGCTTGTTTGTTCATTCGCTTGTTTATTTTCTGATTTTTCTCTGGTCTTTCACGTTACTCACCGGCTAGTGTACGTTACTCACCGGCTATTGTATAAAGGAAACACAATACTAGTGTAGTAGATACTATCTAGAACGCAGCTTACTAGCTATCAACTCTAGCGGTCTAGGTGTTCCACTTGCCCCTTTGCTATACGTCCCCACCATTCTCTTTTTCCTTTTATTTCTAAAATTAATCCGTTGACGATGCCGTATGCATGAACTACTAGAGTCCCTGCCCACTTGTGAAGGCAGGCATTGCATGTTGCGGCCTGGTGCCCGGTGGCCTGGTGCCCGGTTAGGTCATCCATACAAGACATCTCTACATTAGAGAAGACCCTGTCATGAAAATCGCTGTTTCTCGGATTTCTTCTTGCTCTATATTTTCAGATCTTTGTCGTTGTGTCTGCTTGCACCTTTTTAAAAAGAATATCTATTATTGCTGCAGCAGGAATCAGCTGTAGAACTTGCTGGGCAATGCTGGGCAATGCTGACATTGCTGTTGATTACAATGTACATGTATGCTACTTTTATAAGATCTGTTTTGAGTGACACTGTTTCGTCCGTTTCATAGTCATTGTTGATGGAACGTTTCATTCCAAAATTTGCCTGCATCAACCACTCCTTTCCCGCCGAGGTGAACACATCATGGTTGAGCCAATGCTCTCTCTCTCTCTCTCTCGTAATGCCATCGTGTCAACACTATGGTATCAGTAACCAGGTCCAGAGTCATTCTCCCTTGTCCACATCCTACATGATTGGACTTCTTCAAGAACTAACTTCCAAGTCATGCAGGGCACCGATATTGTTCCAGCACCGGACTTGCGCCATGCAGCTTGATAGACATGGTTGAGACCGTCCCCTGCTTATTGGCAATTGTTGAGCCCCCCCCCCCCCCCCCCGGGAGGAGCTTTCCTACAGCCAGCCCCTAGTTTATCAAAATGTAACAGCAAGGAACCACGGATAAAGTAGTAACATTAGCTCAAGTACACGACTTGTACATTCCAATGCCGAAGGAACTGGATTCGAAAAGTTTATCAACATTGCCAACCTGCAACGTGGCCAGAAAAAAACTAAGTTGTAGTGGCAAGGAAGTATGGATAAAATAGTGCAGGTCACCGCATTTTCTTGGTTGAAACAGACCTAGTGGAACAGATTTTCAAGCTCAAAATATCCAAGGAAAGAAACAGGATTCAAAAGAGATAAAAGCTATTAAAAAAATATCGGAAACTAAAATCACCAAACTTCAGGGGTCAGCACCAGAAATGCTTATTTATGGCTAACGATAAGTGGAAAACTGAACAAAGGTTAGTAAATATCGGAAACTAAAATCACCAAACATCAGGGGTCAGCACCAGAAATGCTTATTTATGGCTAATGATATTAAAGTGAAAAACTGAACAAAGGTTAGTGGAAAGCGAAGAAAACCGAAGACTGATTGACAGATGAAGCTGCAAGATGCCTCAAAATTACTTTCACTTGATTAGCATGACTTATTAAAAAAAAACACAACATTCAGCTTGTCCAGCTCGCCAAGAACACAACATACTACCCTAAATCATGCATGTGACACATGCACACACACACACACACACACACACACACACACACACACACACACACACACACACACGCGCACACACACACATAGCCATGTGCAGACCATAGGCATTTTGGCAGTACTGGTAGATCAACTACATGTACCATACAACAAAGAAGGATAGCAGCACTTCTCGCCCGTAAAATCCATGCTACACGCTACACACTACAGACGACTGGTAGTTTTATTTCATGCCATAGAAGCCTCAGTGTGTGGGTAAAGTTTCCGAAGCTCTGAATCGCTCAATGTGGCATTCAGTGACGTATTCTCGGGGAGAAGGTGATCACTCGACGTGGTCATTGAAATCGAATGCATCAAGATCTGCCGCTGTCCAGACTCCCGGCCTGCCTTATGTCCCAGATAACGGTGACGCAGAGAGATGAGGTCAGGGTTGCGGACCAGGGTGTAAGCAAGATGCCAACGCCTGACAGCTGAGAAATAGACAGAGAAACACAATGGAACACACAGCCAGGGTTAATAAGCTACAGCCAGGGTTGGTAAGCTACCAGTACAATGGTCATGTACCATGTATTTGAGAGAAGTGTGTCATGTCCTGCTGAGAGAGAGAGAGAGAGAGAGAGAGAGAGAGAGAGAGAGAGAGAGAGAGAGAGAAAGAGAGAGAGAGAGAGAGAGAGAGAGAGGAGAAGAGAGAGAGAGAGAGAGAGAGATAGATAGATAGATAGAGAGAGAGAGAAGAGAGAGAGAGAGAGAGAGAGAGAGAGAGAAAGAGAGAGAGAGAGAGAATCATTGATTTCTTTGTTCTTTGTTTAGTAGGGCGACTGTGTTGAGGATACTGGATAGTGAGTGCTATTAGCGGTTTCTGGCTTCCAGGCCGGCTACTTTCTACGTGACACGGGTACCCTGTTGGGGTAGTGTTACTATGGCAACACCCTGTTCACTCTAACCCCAGGAAGCAACATGATGGCGTCCAGACTACGATTTATCCATGATGCGTTCTCTCACTTTCCCTCTGGTGTAACCCGGTTCTACGGGGTGCGCCCTGCTTCACTAAACAACACTGCTCTTCACCATGTGGCGACAGTGCTCGCCCGAAAGTCTCAAAGGCAAATTTCTTCCATTTCCGACTGTCACCTCACCACTGCCGACCTGATACTGTTCGGGCCGATGCACCCGCCGAAACTGTCCTGGTCATCTACACCACCGTTCATGGTGATTGACGTGTTGCTGACAAGGAAGTTGAGAAACAAGAAAAGTATCAAGCGAATGCGAATGCTTGTGAGATCCATCAGTAGTGGTAGGTCAAGACTACGGTTGCACTCATGTACACACCTATATGCTAGTGCCGAACGCAACGCACATGTGTGTGTGTGTGTGTGTGTGTGTGTGTGTGCGCGCGCGCCCATGCGCGAGCGTGTGTGCGTGTGTGCATGCGTGACTACGCTGCATTAGTGCGATGTATGGCATTTTCAATGACACACACATACACACATACACATACCTTTGCTTTGTTTCATCGCAAATGGACGATCCGCTTCTTCCTTGAGCAAAGATACGAATGCCAGCATGCAAGGGTGTGTGTGCGCCAACTCCATTCGAAGGAAGCCACAATAGGCAGCATAACCTACATGAAGGAACACACAAAGAGAGAGCATCAATCAGCATTGCATCACCTATCCTCAATCCTGATCACCAACTGCAAGCAACGGCCAATGTGGCTGGTCACCTTGGTTGACTTGCTTGTTGCACCCAGCGATGAACTTCGCCAGCTAAACTTTCACCAAGTCCTGATGTTTGCCTTTATTTTGCCTTTATTCACAATCACTGTCATACACATGTAGCTGTGAGTCCGATGTGGTGATGGCTAGGATTGTGATTTCCTGTACAAGATGTGTGTGTGTGTGTGTGTGTGTGTGTGTAGGGAGTGACAACTGTGACGACCGACCGCCTTTTGATGCTCCTCCTGTTGCCGAGGTCCCGGTGTGTACTGCCTGCCAGCGTACTTTCAAGTCTACTGCTGGCCTCAAGCGCCATCGCTGTGGACCCCGCCCGAAGCGCCCTACAGTGACTGATCGCCAGCACTTTGAACATCATTGCCGAGTCTGTAGTCAACGCCAGTTTCGGAGGCGACAGGACCTGGAGCGCCATTTGAAGCACTGCCTACCTCTCCCCTAACCTCTCTGACAGTACCTCCCTTTGGGGAGCGGCGTGGCCATTTCTGGCAGCTGTCAATAGTAGTAGTAGTAGTGTGTGTGTGTGTGTGTGTGTGTGTGTGTGTGTGTGTGTGTGTGTGTGCACCTCTCACTCTCCTTCCCAGCACTCTCCTTCCCAGCACTCTTCTTCCCCTTGCTCTCTTGCATTCCACCCACATGTACTATACTATTATTAGAAGTTTCTAGTCTGTGGCGGCGGCCCTGCAGATAGTCTGGTGAGTTCTGTGAGATGGTGCAATACCTCCTACATGCACTTCCTCCCTGTATTAGCAGCCAGGAGTGAAATACAGTCCACTTTGCGTACGACACTCGGAGGGGCATCAGAAAAGTGTCGTTATTCGCGAAGTCTCGTTATACCCGAAGTCTCATTATAATTATGTGTAACAGTTAGATGGGATTTTGCTCTGGGCATGGAAATTCTGTCGTTATTCGCGAATTGTCGTTATATCCGCAGTCGTTACTAGCGAAGTTGACTGTACATTGACCAAAGACACACATGCAGCTAGGAACACTGTCACAGGTGTCAATCAGCATGGCAGCCACAGTGGGGCGACTGATGGATCATGCGGCCTGCTCCATGACTGTCCGCATGTCCACCGAGAGTTCATCTCTCCATGATCAGTAGTCAATACAGACAGTTGCTAGTCCAGCACAGCAGCAGCAGGCAGTGCTGTGGGGACTGCCACTAACCCACCCACGGGATAACACCATCCAGCAGTTGCTACCTGTTTTCTCATCGCAACTCCCACACGTCCACCCACCCACCTGCCGGTCTCGACAAGCACATGAGCACAGTTGACACAGAGATACGCTTACCGAAATCCCATCTTTCCCATCCACGAGGCATGAGAGGTCGGTTCAGCCTCATAAGCATGACAGTGTTGAAAGCGGCCACGAAAAGCATTCGTAGTAGAACACTCACAACACCGAGCACTATGTTGTAGAAAACAAAGAAGTATACGATGTTGTGGTACACGGCCCTGAAACAAAATATGCACAGACACACAGACAGACAGACAGACAGACAGACAGACAGACACACACACACACAGAAACACACATGCACACACAGACACATGCACACACACACAGACACAGACACACAGACAATCATCTTGTAACCTGACGATTGGATGTCCCATTACGGGAGCGGATGTTCACAATGCTGTCCCAAGTACAGAACAAGTTTGTGACAGTCTACGCAGCAGTCGCTGAATCAAGACGTTAACTTAGCACCTAATACCCGTACCGCGGACTCGATTGAAAAGAGAGGTTATGAAAAGCAGCAGCAGCTGTAGACTTGGCTTAGAGCTGTCTGTACGACCTGCATACTGCACTACTAAAAAAGACCGTCTCGTACCTGGAATACGTATATAATATTACCTGAAGCCGAGTGAATATGGGCGAATATTCACTAGTATACAAACCGAGGCGAAGCCGAGGTTTGTATAACTAGTGAATATTCGCCCATATTCACGAGGCTGAAGGTAATATTAGACTTATACCTCTCCATATTCACCCTCTCGTCCCTAAAACCCAACAAATGAGTCCTGTTCGTCAAACATGTACTACACTGTAGTACGTACATGCACGCAGAACTAACGTTACTTCACTATCCTAAACCGACTGGCACGTTCTTGCATGAATCTGAGAACGATTTTCACGTGTACTTGATGACGGAATCTTGTTCAACCTCAGTGTTGATTGAGGAATGAGGATCGATCGTACACGTTCTGGTGCATGTGAGGTGACGACCTTGGAGAACACGCTCGTGCAGCTTTGTGGCGGGAGCCAATCGTTACCGGTTGGTTTCGATTAGAGGATTGCTTTGTTACCGGTTGGTTTCGATTAGAAGATCGCTTTTTGGCGGGAGCCAATCATCGTCGGTTTCGATGGGAAGATTTGACCAATCTGGGAGCAGCGCGCCAATTCCGGAGTCGGTATATAAACAGCGAGCCAAGCCATTCTGCCTTCACTAATCTTCAAAGTTTGGCAAGTACAAGTCGAAAATATGGCTGATGAACCTCCTCCGAAAAAACGGTTTGGCAGTGCAGGTGCTGCCGAGATCAAAACTTTGTTGAAACAATCAACACCGGCTGCTACAGCGTCAGCCACATCGTACTGGATACGAGTTTTCGATACTTACTGTATAGAGAGCAGTATTGGTGCTGCGCTTGATTTCTCTTCAGTCAGCGCACCGGAGCTGGCGGATGCCCTAGAAAAGTTCTACGCTAACGTCCGTAAACAGGACTTTTCTGAGTACAAGCGAAATTCCTTGCTTGCAGCTCGATCCGCGATCCATCGACAAGTCACAAATCATCAGCCAATAGTGAACATTTTCACCGATGGAGCATTCCAGCGGGCGAACAAGGTTTTGGACGCTGTGTTGAAGGAGAAGAAGCGAGAAGGCCGGGAACCAGCAGTTCAACATAAGCGTCCGATCAGCGATAGCGACTGGGAGAAGATGAGTGAGTACTTCGCAGATACTAACATCGAGAGCTTCCGCGGGTCGCATGAAGTGTCAGCACTTCATGCGACCCGCGGAAGCTATCGATGTATGTTTGGTTCCAGATATCGTCGCACTTCTGCTTGAGAGGTGGCGAAATCCAGGCTAAGCTGAGAAAGCAGGACCTCAGCTTTGAAGGCGAAGGCGACAATGTCCGTATAACGCTTTCTACCGACTTCATGAGCAAAAATCACCGCGGTGGAATAAAAGGAACTGAGACAACATCACCTGGCTGCATCAAGGACCCACGGCAGGCGAGGATCATCAAGCGCTACCTGTCGAAGATCCACCCAGACGTTGACAGGCTGTTTCAGCGAGCTGCGTGCTCACCAGGTATGATACTCTCTAGCGATTTGCCTTGCTGGTTTTTCAAAAGCCCGCTCTCCCATAATAAGTTAGACTCCATGATGAAGATGATTTCAGAAGCCGCTGGCCTTTCTTATTCCTATACCAACCACTGTCTGCGTGCTACGAGCATTACTCACATGAAACGCTGTGGCATTGAAGACCGTAAGATCTGTACTGTTACTGGTCACAAAAATGTCAATTCACTTGCTGCATACGATGGTGTAACTCACGCTGAGTCAGCTAGGTTTGCAGATGCTATCGATTTGAAAGTCCCAGAATGCTCGGTTTCAGAAAGGACTGAAATTTCTCAGTCTGCTGTAACTGAGGCTACTTCACACACGAGTTTGTGTAGCGATCAGGGAGATACATCACCTTCTGGGTTTGTTTTCAATGCTCAAGGTGCAACGTTCTCGAATGTGGTGTTCAAAGTACACGCTTCAAAGCCGAAGAAGAGATTTTGTTTGTCATTGAAAGAGAGGCGTAAAGAAACACAAAGAAAGAAATTTCTAGCTGAACAGTGTGACCAGTAACAGTCAGTGCCATCTTCTGCTTTCGCGGTAACAAGCGTGCTTGATTGCTTCTCAAATGTACTAGTATTGCTGTGGCGTTGTTCTTCAATGCATTGCTATTCTTTGCTACCCTGCCTGCTTTCACAGTATAATTAATATTTACTTGCTTTCATGGCTGCACTTGCTAGTTGTACATAATGCTGCTGTCTCTCAACTCTCCTTCCTAAAAAGGAGTGAATATTGATGTGCTTTGTTTTCAATAACTTTCCTGGAAAAACCATATCGGAAGTGAACAAGTGGTGAATATAAGCGGTGAATATAAGCGGTGAATATTGAGCAATATTCACCACTTATGTAGATGGGCAATTGCATGTGGGTGAATATGGAGTGAGGTATAAAGGCCTGGTATTCAAGAGGCACTGGCGGCATGTCAGCCTGGTTTTAGTGTTGACTGTACATAGAAAAATCTGATTTGAACAGAAGCCAAACAGTTAGAATTGACATTGGCTTCTACAGGTAGAATTGCTGCTGTTACCGCCACACCACATCACATCACATCACATCACATCACATCACATCACATCACATCACATCACATCACATCACATCACATCACAGTGCATGTGCTTACTTATGTTTGATTACAGCATATCTGCCCGGTGCAGTGCTGTCCCGTGTGAATGACACCATCAGGTGAATGATGATAAATGTCACGACAGAAACTCCAACGGCCGTCCTGTACCGAGAAGGGTAACACAGCAGAAGGAATAACAAAACGTCGTGTCGTGACAGAAGTCTGGCCCATTCGCACACTACTACAATGTATGCCATTGCGGGTACGTCCCGGGTGCGTCCCGGGTACGGCTGCTAGTCAGAACATCTAGTATAGTTGAGCGTGTGCACTGTTATGTACTAGATTGCGTACTGCCCAGCTGCCGGAGTGCAATCAGCATGGCACGTGTGAGTGGGCAATCAGGAGTCTCAAGACAAGAAGAAACACGATGACACAGGCATGCCTCCCGTTATAGACATCAAGACATCTTATCTAAGACTATCTTGTCAGAACAAACAGAACCACTAAGTTACTTTCACGTGCTCTACTGCAGATCTTCATTACACAAGATGTCCATTGGAATACAGAACTTTGTGCATGCTTTCGGTGAAGGCGCAAGGGGTAACGTCATACTTCACACACTTGTGTTAATGGCACAGGTAACACATTCTCACAGTGCAAACCAAGCTAGCATCAAGATAGTACAAGAGGAGAGTGATCGCACCCATTCCATACAGTGCTGGAATTGATCACGCCCGAGTTAAAACCTTTCGACTAGTGCTGAGTCGGGGGTAGCATTTTCTTCGGCTATCGGGTCTGGGTAGTTTTCCACGGGTAGCACGGGTACCCGATCGGGTAATGTCTCCATGGTAACACCACAATGCACCCCTTCCCTTACACCATGTACACCCTGGGTAGACATGCGGAGTATTACATGAATTTGCTGAAACGAACATAACATTTGAGTATTCGAACGTTCTTGATGTTAACGAACGAACGAACGAACATTCTGTAACATTCTCCTCGCACGTGCGTGCTCGCGCACGAACCGGCATAGGCAAGAAAATGGTGGAATTTTTGAATACAGTATAGCAATAAACTTTTGTGGTGCACAAATTTTTGCGTTTTCATGAATGCTGCTGGTTTGTGATGAGAACAATTTGCGATTTTTACCTCTTTTGAATCTTGTAGTTGTGCTGTACAGTCTACAATGCACGTACTGAGCAGTTTGTGGCGATTTTTCTTCTCCAGAATGTGCAATGGCCGCGAAAGGAACGAAATGTAATCACTTGCGAAAGTTTCTAACTTGACAGTACGTCTTTTATGTTGCTTTCAAAAGTTGAGGCACAATGGCCTCCAACTGAGCAACGCCATACTGCAACTGCTGAGGACCAGAACGTTGCGTCACAGCAACGTTTGTCATCAACTTGCTTCCTGTTCAGTGTTGATGACGTAGAAATAACTGCACTCCCAGAGACGACAGAAGAATGCTGAAAGTTACCGTAGTTGTGTTTTCAGGTGCGCATAGAGGTTGCTCGCCGTTTTGCCATACTAAACATACGCTGCGGGAAATCCTGCAGGTAGCTGACTTCTCATCCTCGGATTTGGTAAAATGATCCCAAACAGAACGGGGAGCACGACCGAAAACAGTTTCTGACATGGGAACAGTGTGAACTCGAAACAAAAGAAAACTACAAAGTGGTCAAAGGAAAAGCGAGCAGCAAAAATATGTAAGTACGAGTACTCGTGCTTTGTTCCGATGTTCGTCTACATGTCGTCGCCTCGCCTCAGCCAAGTCAAGTGCCGGTTCAGATCGTGAACCGCGCGCGCGTGGGTCGTGTAGGTCTACCACCTGGCGGCGCAGCGCTGATCACAAGCACGCAGCTACACATTCTACAGGAGGTGTGTGAAACGATCGTGACTGATCACCATGTTTTACGGGTTTATCGTACCGTACGCACATTCTCAAAGTTCGAATGTTCGTGAGAACTACGAATGTTCGTTCGCTGTGGCCTAACGAACGAATATTCGAATGTTCGGTATATTCGTTTCACCCCTAGAATTTGTACACGTGCACTGTAGTGTACATGTACATGATATAATCTGCGACTTTGGGTTTCGGGTACTATTCTGTACCCGTCTAGCCGAGGTCCTCACTGGTAGCACGGTACCCGACTACCCGTGAACACCCCTAGTTTCGACTATCCTGGTCTTCTTCAGGAAGAATTCAGTCACTCTTATCCTGTGTATTACTTGTTGGACGGGACCAAGTGCCGGTTTTGTCACCGCTATGGTCAACAACAACCTCTTAGCATTAACAGCTTAACATATGTATGTCTTGTATTTTACTTACAAGACATACGAGTAGAAGATACTGCGCGCAAAAGCGAGGTACTTGAGCAGGAGAATAATGGCTGATAGGATGAGAATTACCAGCAGAAATAGAAATACCTTGATGTAGAAGCCTGAGAAAACGGAAAAAACGAAAAAAAGGAAAACCTGTGTCCCACGTGCAATTATATGCAAGTGTACATGCACACATGCACCACACACACACACACACACACACACACACACACACACACACACACACACACACACACACACACCATTGGACCATTGGACCATTGGACGCCCATCACCGGAGGCGATGATAGCGATGCTACAGCAGAAGCCATAGCAACTTGTGCTAGGATTGCACCATTCAACAGCTTGCAAGGCTGAAGAATTGGCCGCCACTATTCAGCCTGGTCTACACCAGGGAGTAGTACAATACCGGGAGATGACACGGGCACACATCCGGGATTACGAGCTTTGCCTCACAAAAAAAATACAAACCACGCGAAAATTCAAATTTTTGCTCTTTTGACAGCGCTGAGAAACCTTCAAATAGTGACGAGAAGACCAGACGTATCCCTTCGTGACAAGCTGCCACTTGTTCTTTTCAGCTCGAGCCTTTTTTGGGAGCTAGTCTGGTACATCGTCCGCACTGCTGCCAAGTCTTGACTCCCCAAAATGGATGGAAGTGACGAATATGGAGAACGCTATCTTAGGTAAGTAACGTGATGGAATTTTCTCATCTTGACATGGTGTAACACGAACCTGAATTTCTCATTTGGACCCACTCGGACACCTCACCAAGTTGGGATATTTCGAAACTATACCTATTTGTCTACCATTCTACTTCATCTCAACGTGTTAGAGACTGTAACACTTTGGAAAACTCATTCCGAAAATTTCGAAACTTATTTAGTTGTATAGATTTGAACATAATGTTCAAGATCACTTGTTTTCAGCACTGAATGAGGCCAGGGCTGGTTGCTTTTTTAACTCCCAGAACTCGTGGACAGAAGAGGAAGAGCGACGACTTGGGTGTGGCTGCGAAGTCTGCCTGCCCAACGCCAATTGCAATTACACCCACACACATACACACACCCTCTTGTACTTGTACACCACCCACGCGCGCGCACGTGCGCGTACATAAAACTATTCGTCTTTATCCTTTTGTGTTTGACATGATCACCTTTTGTACTACTCCCTGGTGATTATTTATTTGCATAACATGAATGGCACAGGGATGACTTGTGGCATTGTACGCTGTACACGATTCCACGGTGCCATAAAAGTAACATTGGTTATAATCATGGATTATACCATGGTACGGTACGGAGGGCCTGTTTTCAGCCAATCAGCGCTCATCTAGCCATGGTTATATTGGCCAGTATAAATCCCGCGCGGGATTTATACTGGCCAATATAAATCCCGGTGCACGGTACTTACGTTAGGGCACTGCCGCCGTACAAGTTCACTGTCTGAAAGGCAGTGAACTTGTACGGCGGCAGTACTCCAGCGCGCGGACCATTCACAACAGACACCACATGCATGTGTACACTCCACACAGAACGGCACACTGACGAGGAACAGTACACAATGGAAAAGAAGAATGACCTGGAATTCGTCTACAGAGTATTCTATTATACTGAATCTGAGGATAAAGAACGTCGAATAACCACGAAGTATCCCAAATGGGTCAGCAATGTACATTGTACTTCAAAGAGTTGAAGATCATCAACAGACTGTCTCCTTCGTAACTAAGTTTATAATACAGAGTGTACTTCAACCCGATTGGAAAATGCTAGATTGGATTGAAATGTGATACAGTGATACAAAACAGTGCATGCAAATGCATCTACTTGCAAGTAGTAAGCAAAACTGATTATAAGATGCCGCATGTTAAAATCAGCACTGTACCATAATTATAGTAACACTTACTCCCAAAGAGTCCAAGCTGTAATCTAACTAGTGACGGTAGTTTGATTCAACGACAAACTCCAGCACCCCAGCAGTTGATTTCCGCACCGCTCACGAGACAAGATCATGAAGATGCTACAATATGCACTGGAACTGAAAGGAAATCCTATGCCAAACATCCACGGAGGAATCTCCTTCTGATGTTGCTCGACCATTCTTTCAATTGACAACTGATAACCATCAGAAGATGTTCGTGTACTGCATGATGTACGAGATCTCAAAATAGGTGCGTTGTTCTGGAAATGCGTAGGGGTACCTGGCGTAAGTAGGATATGACCCTCCTAGTCAGGTTATACTGTACCCTCATATAAATCCCTCCTGCTATCGCAGTCGGGATTTATATTCAGCCGGTATAACCCTCTGACTCGGGTTATATCCTCTACGTAATGATATTGTACGATTCTGATTGCGTACGCTCTTGGTGGCCATATTTCATCGTCACGCAGCTCCCCACAAAGTACAAATTGTAGAAAAAGCAATTACGTACTATTACGTATAGTAATATGCAGACACATACAACTAGTAGTCACACAAAGTATCTATAATAAGCACACGTACTAGTAGTACATAAACAGGCTATCTTTATCCTTTTACGCTTGGTCTGATTACCTGCATACATGACTTACACGGCATGGTCACTTGCACCAGTAACAATGTACATAATTCCACACTGCCTTTATCATCAACACCAGTTCCTGTTAACGCGTAACATCTCAGGCTTTGTAGCAGGGAGTAGCACAATACCATTGTACCATTGTGCTACTCCTTGCTTGACACAGACATGCGTCATAGTGACATTTGCGAATAGCTAGCTGTCTCAGCAGTATAAAATTTATTTTATTTTGTGTTTCACTCAGACGACTATAGCATCTGGATTCGGAATAGCCTTACTATCTTGAGACGGGTCAGCCATACCTGAAACATGTCGTTCATTGTGACTAAAACCAAGAGTAGATAAACAAGAGTGTGCAACTCCGGATCTCTCCTGCACAATCTGCAGATACCCCCGCCCACGGCGGAATTTTTTGTTGACGTCACCTTTTTTCAGAGAAACGCGGACTTTGCCGCAGAGCAGTGTGAGAGCACGTGCTGGGCACAGACCTTGTAGTGTAAAGCCCGGCCAAGTGCACGAGGGAAACCTCTCCAAAAGGCTCGCAGCGCGTGCGTCGTCGAAAAGATTACGTCAACAAAAAATTCTGCCGTGGGCCAACCCATCCGCGAGTTGCACACTCTTGTTTATCTACTCTTGCTAAAACTTGCGTCAACATTATCTATTCCCCTAGAAACGACGTGAATAACTAAAAGTAATACAAATTAAATTAGGAAGAAAAATTCACTCTTACAAGCCGCCCACGTAAATACTGGACACACTGAAGGTACCCGTGTGAAGGCCAGCTGCTACTTGATATCCTTCGTAGGATTCATCCTCATCACTCAGCAAAGACTGATGGATTCCTTCCCTACATCGTCAAAACAAACTTCAAAAAGTACTGCTCGAAAACTTCTTGACAGCATTCTGGCACTCTCTTGAAGTGGTTCTATGAAATTTTTTGAAAAATGCTACGAAATGCTACGATAAAGGTACGCAAAGTACGACATTTCGTGACGTTTCCCGGGACACAGCGCTCCACAGAAAAGTGACCTGAGGCAAAGCTCGCCCGCCTGGATGTGTGCCCGTGTCATCTCCCGGTATTGTACTACTCCCTGGTCTACACCACACAGCTATGAAGTGGCTTTTTCTGGCCCGTGAATCCCTACTTTTTGGTCTTTTTTATTTTTTTCCCGCACACACATCACACCACATACTCCGGCATGCACTGGCTGTTGGTAACCACCCAGGAGAATGAAAGAAAAGTCAGGAAGAGTCTGAGAAAGAGAAGAAAGACGTGTGTGACCATAATCGTCGGGAATCGAACCCGCAACCTATCGATTGGAAATCGCTGCACATACCACTGCACCATATGGGACACACACACACACACACACACACACACACACACACACACACAGACACAGACACAGACACACACACACGCCTGCACACACATGCATGAACACAATCATACACACATACATATGCGCATGCACACACATACATCTTGGACACCCACGAAGAGCGGCTATACATTCTTCTGCGTGTAACTCAAATCGCAGTGCGAAGCAGCTCTCAAAAGCTCACCTAACTGGCAAGGCGCTTTTGAACATCGCAGGATGATGAACAGTTGCCTGGGAGTAAAACATATCGTGGTCTTACCGATACGTTTCGAATCAAAAATACCAAGATGGAAAGAGAATTGGAGCCCATTCCTAGATTTGTGTCCACCGTTCCGATAAGTCACCACCCCTGTAAATTGTAACTCTGACTTGGTATGGCATGTCTTGTGATTCACACCGTCCACCATAGCAAACACTGCTTGTTTGGGAGTGGAGGGGGGAGGGAGGTGTGAAGTCAACCGGTAATGTTGTTCATTTCCGGGACGGCAGAAGACTTTTACGATGCCCCCTAATTGCAGTGCACGTTTGCCACTTACCCCATATGATATAACCTGCCTGGAGACCAAGGAAGCGACCATACGCTTTCTGCAAAGACAAATACAAGCAAAACAACATCCCCATACATTAAACACACACACACACACACACACACACACGCACGCACGCACGCACACACACACGCACGCACACACACACACACACACACACACACACACACACACACACACACACACACACACACACATAGGTTCTTAACACTACAGGGCAGCTGTGTTCAATGCCAGCCGTTTCAGCACACAGTGACTTGCTTGCGCTTACCATTTGTGTCAGAGGCGGGGGGCAAGCATGGGCCATAAATGAGCTGTCACCACGGTAGAGCCGGGTCATGTGACGCCTGTGTCAACAAACAATCAAGTACACATCAAACATATACAAACACAATGACAAACGTCAAAGAGAATTAAAAGGAAAGTACGGTGAAAATGAAAAAAAATGTCAGGGTGTGTAGAGTTTGGGGCTCCGAGTCGAATGGTCTTTGTCCGAGGAGGCTGGGGTCCATGATTCATGAGATACGTGTATTCTTAATCAAACGTGAGCGCACAGTCTACCTCATCCAGTGATGATGACACAGCATGCAGCGTGTCACAGGGTGCATCCTGGTAGTCTACCTCATCCAGTGATGGTGTCACAGCGTGCAGTCTGCTAGCCACATCACCTACTGTAAACAACTAACTTTCACGAGAGATCAAATTTCGCGACTTTCGCAAGCAGCACTAAATCGCAAAAGCTTCACGCACGGATAAGATTTTTTTACTGCACGGTGTACATGCACTGCATGTGTGCACAAATAAAACTAGTTCATGTGGAGTGTGCTGAGATCTGTGCTGTGGACTGTGCTGTAGACTGTGCCGTGGACTGTGCCGTGGACTGTGCTGTGGACTGTGCTGTGGACTGCGCTGTGGACTGTGCTGAGATCTGTCCTGTGGACTGTCCTGTGGACTGTGCTGAGATCTGTCCTGTGGACTGTGCTGTGGACTGTGCTGTGGACTGTGCCGTGGACTGTGCTGTGGATTGCCAGGGCAGGTAAGGCTCCTACAGCAGACTAGACTGTGTTGTGACACGCTTGCATGCACTGCATTGCACTGCAATGCACTGCATTGCACTGCAATGTACCTGTGGACTGTGGTGCGCGCCAGGGCAGGCACTCACTGCCTGTTCCGCAACACCGCTGCGCTGCACTGCACTGCTGTGGAGTGTGGCACACCACTGTTTTCGACAACTCGGACATGACGGTATCATTAACCACAACAGTAGTGGTACTGCTATCGGCTGCCGGAAGGAACAATGGCGCGCTGGAAAGTTCCTCATCCGACTTTCTCTTCGCACTGCTAATCTACCGTGCGGCGTTAGCGGTGAATCAAGCTGGTAACCAACAACATTCCTTCAGTCAGTCGATCCTTTACGAACTCCCTAAACCCCAGAAGGTAGGGGTGAAACGACTCAAACGACTATATCGATTTCTCGAGTACGCGCTCGTAGTATTTTTGCGAGCGAGTAGTCGCTCTGAAAATAGTACTACCTCCGACAAGCGGAACTTGGCGCGTTTTTTTACTTCAAATTACTCGAAATAACTCACACTTTACAATCAAAACTAATGATTGACTCACCAAAATTCAACTTTGTATTGCTCAACAAGGACATTAGCGGCATCTGTTAGGCTGAACAACTGTCCTCTGATTCAGAGATCGCAGTTTCTTCTGGAGAGGAATTGTCCCTGTTTTGAGACGAAGGTGCGACTAGAGCGGATTCAGTTGCAGCAAGTACCTCTGTTGTAATCGCTCTGAAAATCTCGATGTCGCTCCTGTGTGCTGTGCTCGAGCCACGGTGTCGAGGGTAGTCGTTTCCGCCGCCACTACCCCCCCCCCCCCCCCAGCCACCCACCCCCCCCCCCCCCCCAGATTGACGTGGTAAGAACTGTGCAACACCTCCACAAGCGCCTGGACTCCAACTGTTTTGCAGGGTATTCTCGCCAACTGTCCAAAATTGCCTGCAGCAATTCCTGGCGATTTTCCTTAGCCACCAGAGACGCATCGCTCTGGTGGCTGTTGAAAGACGCTAGTATTGTTTGGCATGGACGCATAGACTCTGTGCTGGCGGAGTGACCAAGAGGAGAGAGAGAAAACTCCTTGGTTTTGCATTGCAACGCGAAAGCACGACAATTCTCCTTCGCAGAATGCACGCGCGCACAGTTAGTAGTAGTAGTAGTAGTAGTAGTAGTAGTATTTTATTATTTGACTAGGGGAGTCCCAACAGGCATGGCCTTGTTACAGGGAACCCTAGGTGAATCTTTGTGAGGTGAGCAAAAGTACCACCAGATTGTGCCTGACGACAGTTTGGAGGAAGAGTGTTCCACCGACCTGCCGCCAGAAAAGAAACTGAGCGCAGTCCATACCCAATATGTACAGTAGGTAATACTAAGGCAGCTGTATCCTGGCCAGTTTTGCTGGTACATGAGAGACACGCTTGCCTCTGACTGAGTCTGAGCCATGTGCCACTCACCAGCTCGTCGCTTGGCTTCCTGCACCCGGTTGCATGGCCGGTCGTACCGCACAGCCTTGTGAAGTAGTTTTGTTACCAACACAAAAAAATCAAAAAAACGCGCCAAGTTTCGCTTGTCGGAGGTAGTACTCGAAAGTAGTTTAGCATACGTAAAGTAGTTTAGCATACGTAAAGTAGTTTAGCATACGTAAAGTAGTTTAGCATACGTAACGAAGCTGCAAAATATGTCAGCACTGTCTAGGAGCAGGGAACGTTGCTCCTCCATTGCCTGTCATGCATTGCATGTCAAGCACTGGCAGCATAGCTCAGGTGCTGTGCAGTTCAGGGGTGTGAAATGCCAGGAGCTCGTGTCCACACTTCAAGCATAAGTGCAGGTGTGGTGTGCAGAAGGGTCACAAATAAAATTCATAACATAGCAAAAAGGAATACTCGAGATCGGTCGAGTACTCGCTCGGTTTTTCTCCAGGGTATTCGAGCAAGAAATATCAGCACTCGTCTCACCCCTACCGGAAAGTGAATACACGTTCAGTACATGCTACACTTACTTATAGCATCGCAGCATGTGCAGTGAATGCAGGATGATGAGCAAGGTAGCAATGAGTGTTGATAAGAGCGACGAAGCTTGGCACGGCAAACACAAACACACAAACACATCCGGGATATTGGAACCAGCAATCAAAGAGAACGAAGTGATGAACACCACCAAGAACGCTTGGATAGTGGATACAGAACGACAGCGACTCTGCTCAACTCAAGAGCACATGCTCGCGAAAATAATCGTCAAAATCAACGTGGGGGAAAACAGGCGTAAAACTCAGTTCCCCGCTCGTGGTGACTGCACATATGATTGCTGAATGATCGCTCACAAAGGGGTGGGGGCGGGGGGCGCATTATGCTCAGGTGCGCATTATGCTCAGGTGCACATTATGCTCCGGCAAGTATGATACATGTAGAATAGGGATCCAGTTGTACGAGGAACGTTTCTGCCATACCAACGGCGGCGTCCAGTAATGACAGGGTAACTGTACATGAATACTGCCAACTTACCAAGGGGATTCCCCCAAGGGGATTCTTACCAAGGGGATTCCCCCAAGGGGATTCTTACCAAGGGGATTCCCCCAAGGGGATTCTTGCCAAGGGGATTCTTGCCAAGGGGATTCTTGCCAAGGGGATTCTTGCCAAGGGGGTTCTTGCCAAGGGGGTTCTTACCAAGGGGGTTCTTACCAAGGGGGTTCTTACCAAGGGGGTTCTTACCAAGGGGGTTCTTACCAAGGGGATTCTTACCAAGAGGATTCTTACCAAGGGGGTTCTTACCAAGGGGATTCTTACCAAGGGGGTTCTTACCAAGGGGATTCTTACCAAGGGGATTCTTACCAAGGGGGTTCTTACCAAGGGGGTTCTTACCAAGGGGATTCTTACCAAGAGGATTCTTACCAAGGGGGTTCTTACCAAGGGGGTTCTTACTAGTGTTGAAACGAATAATCGAATAATCGAATAATTTAGAATATTCGTGGGGTGAACGAATAATCGAATAGTCGTAGGAATTATCAGAAATCGAAAAAAACAAACAAAAAAACGACCTATGCTCAGTGCTGATATTTGCACGGCGTAGATCGCTCGTAGTATTTCTTCTCAATCTCCTCTCCTCCAAGTTTTAATCTCCTATCGGTATCTAGTAATACTTCTGTTCTTCCCATACGAGGGAAACATGGATGCAGTGAATGTGATTTTCGGTCTTTGACCACTTCCGACCAAGACCCTATGCAGAGCTGGATCATGCGTTGCACACTCTGGGGGGGGGGGGGGGGGTTGTGTACTCTTGGCGGTACAGGTTAACCGGTTTTGCACCTCCACATAACAAAATCCGATAATCAGCAGAATTTTTTTTAAAAAAACTACTTAAAAAGTGCTGAAAAAGTGTTGAAAAATGCCATCATGCGTATGATAGAATATAGATTATTCGTTCGATGGAGGGCGAAATTATTCGATAGATTATTGGTTCGAAGAATCTGTGTTCGGTTTAATGATAGCTTGCATGCCGTCCTACCGGTAGGACCACGGGTCCTACCGGTAGGACCCAAGAAATCGCGCTGCAAAAGTGCTTTTGGTTGAGAAATTTCTTGAAACAATTGTTGAGATGAGGTCTTTGTCAGGCAAAGTAATGGCGCAAAATGCAAGACTATGTCCAGTGCATTGCATACGCGCAATTTTATCAATTGTCAAAATGGCCGCACATACTCCTGTCGGAGCGCTAGCAACTCTGTCCAAAGTGAATTTTGACCATGGCACATCAATCGTGGTGAGGTACTAATGTTTTTATTAGTCTACCAAGGCAGTGGAGTGCATAATTCCATACACCGTTTCCATGGTTACCATTTGCTGTTACCATGGAATTTCGTACTATGCCTTGTGCGATCACGTCTAAAATGTGTGGACTCCTTCATTAGCCCCTGAGCAACAGTTTAGGGTCAAGTTTTAGGCCAATGTTACAACAATGCCTGAATGGCCATGCAGCATGTCTGTGTATGATGGTCCTACCGGTAGGTCCTACCGGTAGGACCGAGGTCTATGCAAGCTATCATTAAACACTAGTTCTTACCAAGGGGATTCTTACCAAGGGGATTCTTACCAAGGGGATTCTTACCAAGGGGATTCTTACCAAGGGGATTCTTACCAAGGGGATTCTTACCAAGGGGATTCTTACCAAGGGGATTCTTACCAAGGGGGTTCTTACCAAGGGGATTCTTACCAAGGGGATTCTTACCAAGGGGATTCTTACCAAGGGGATTCTTACCAAGGGGATTCTTACCAAGGGGATTCTTACCAAGGGGATTCTTACCAAGGGGATTCTTACCAAGGGGATTCTTACCAAGGGGATTCTTACCAAGGGGATTCTTACCTGGAATTACGTTCAAGATATCTCTGGCCACCTCGTTGTCTGTAAGTTGAGTTAAGTTTTGAACACTCGAAAAGATTGAATAGATGGGAGGCACCATCACAACAAGCAGCTGTTGCACACAAACATTCGTACACACACACACACACACGTACACACGCACGGACACACACACACACACACACACACACACACACACACACACACACACACACATACAAACACACATCCACACAAACATGCATACCCGTATTATCTCCCTTATAAACACGGTACTTATATTTTTTCAACCCACCTCGCACCCGTGCTTATAGAGGAGACCGTGATAATACTGGAGACCGTGTTTATATTTTTTCAACCAGGAAAAAGTCAAGAAAGTTGCATACCGGTAACACACTCAAATTGGAATTTAACTCAGATTTCATGATTAGAGAACAGAGAGAAGAAAAAAGAATGATGCGAAAGTGGAAGTCACGCACGTGGAGCACTTTTATGTTTTATATGACTGTATGACTGCATTTTTTAACTCGGGGTAGCAGCCCGTATACGTCATTTCAAGGTAAGCGCATGCGCACAGCTGCATTCCAGTATTATCACTGTGACTATGATATACAGTCACTAAGAGAGAGGTGAACGAGGGTAGGGGGGGGGGGGAGAGAGGGGGAAGGGGGGGGGGGAGAGGGGGAAGAGGGGGAAGAGGGGGAAGAATAGCTTACCATGTAGACACAAACAAGACCCAGCAATATGGAGCTGAGGAAAGCTGGAGAGTAGCTGAATGCTGCACAGGCGACCAAACCACACAAATCACACATAGGAATAATGCAAGCGGTCATGGCTGATGCATGTCCAAACTTCTAATTGACCAGAACGGTACACAGCCTAACATGGTTACTGAGAATAGATCAATTCATGACTACATGACTGTACAGTGTTCTGATGAAGGTAAACCAATGGTTCAGAGGCCATGCGAGGGAATATTAGGAGTGGCCATCAGCATTTTATGCCGCCGCTGAAGCAAACAATATCGTTCACTTTACGCCCTGCCCCCTTCCTCCCTCCACCCTCAAACAAGTAGTGTCTGCTATCAACAAGCAGTGTTTGCTACGGTGGACGGTGTGAATCACAAGACATGCCATACCAAGTCAAGAGTTACAATGTACAGGGGTGGTGACTTGTCGGAACGGTGGACACAAAATAGGAACTGGCGCAAATTCACTTTCCGTCTTGGTACTGGCTGCACTGGAGTAGTACCTAGAAAATGTCAGAACCTAGGGTGAATGTCGAGTGGATTCCAAACTATTCTGTTTCTGTGTCACTACAATCTAAAACTAAAAAATGGGTAACTTGAATGCAACGGATCAACACCCAAAGGAATGTCTCGGTATGATCGACTCTGGCCTCAGGACAAACTAGGACATGTCAGCAGCTTCCTTCCACAACACTTATCTCTGGTGAACAATCCATGCTGATGAGTCCATGGGTTGAGAAGTTTTCATTGTTAGCCCGTTCTGATACCAATGACAAGGCACAGTTTCCACTACAGTCATGTTGGTAGACTTGTCTCCACATGTTAGCCGTCTTGCGAATTGCGCTGGGTCCACTTGGGATCAGTTTGGCCCCCTAACTCTGGCTATGGGCCACCGACATTCATTCTCTTTTCACCATACAGTAGATCTGGGTCAACTTACTGTCCTTTCTCGTAGGGATGGGGAAATTGTCCTTCATGAAAGCAACAATTGTTTTCCACAGGCGCCGGAGCACAGATCGGGACACGGATATCTTCTCGTCGGCCATTTCCCGGTGCAGCTCATTCAACTTCTTCTCCACAAATCGTCTGCAGTGAGCACACGCAAGGCAAGAGTCAAACAGAAATACACCAAGTGTCAAGCAGTGGCAGCAGTAGCAGCCATTGTGCAAGGTTCACTACTAACTTATGAGGCCAGATGCCAAAGACGGGAGCGGTGCTGTTACAGATGACCATAACATTATCCCGATGGTGACTTAAGCCACTCACTTGAGTAAAGAGGACCAAAATGATCGTGATTGTTTGTGAATTTGCCTTCGCTTATTGGTGTTTGAGTCTTGCATTGTTTCTCTTTGAGTTATTTCTCTTCATAAAATTTCTTTTTCCAATATTCGTGGCTTGTACAAGATATTACTTCATCATACTTCCTCCGAAACACAACACTCTGTGACTTCGATCAACCGGTCAGTTCTGGTGAATTGAGCTCTGAGGAATAGAGCAATGGTGACTGCAAGTGAGATTTAAACCAGTATGAGATTGTACGTACTTTAAAAAGAAGTACAGTCCACTCATTGTCTTGAAGTGTTCTTACACTGAGCACAATTTCTTCAGCAGAGTAACTCCTTAGAATGCGAACAAAAAGTCACAAAAAAAGTCTTTGTTTCCAGGGGAAGTAACCATGGCAGTGATTGTACAGGACTCACCGCTTCAGCAGGCTTCTGAGATATGGTAGCTCACATTTGGTGCTTCGGCCAAACTCATAACGGGCTAGCAGGTTGACCTGCAGTCAAGTTCCAAGAGCACACAGCGAATGACATTGCTCTAAAGCCGCTCAGACCAGGCAGAACACACTAGGGCGTGCAGCCCCCCCCCCCCCCCCCCCCCCTACTCTGATAGCGCACCACCCTACTCATTTATTTTTATTTTTGTGTTCATCAGTTCACGTAACGAAAAAGCGGCCACAAATCGATCGTTCCGGGTGCTCGCTGCACCCGTACATTGCATTTCGCTTGGCCAGGCAGTATTGGAACGTGAAAAACACGGGTAAATCGTTTGTCCTCCCGTACCCTACAATTTTTCCTGGCTAGAACCCGGCATGAGCAGGTTAGTTGGAATTGGCCAATGTCAGTGGAGTAGGGTGATGATTGGCCGGGCAGCAGTGACAATACTCTCGTGACAATGTGGCAAGGTTAAAGAAACATTGTCTCAATAGAAGCATGGTTTGAACCCCGGCTTATACGGCCGTAATCACCTGATTTTATACGCGACATCACGGTATATGTATAGACGTGAATGGGAGTCCTGATTGCTCCAAGGCATTTCTGCAATTCAAGCTGGTATCACCTTACCATGTCATCCCTATTCGCCATCGCCAGAACATAGCGGACAAGGCGAATGAAAAAGTACACAGCCAGTATGCCAAGGCAAAGGAATGCCGGGGCTGCTTGTAAAATCAGTTCCGCCTACACACACACAAATGCATGCACATGTCCATGTACACACATGCACGCACACATACAACACACACACATGCACATAATATTATGCACATACAAGCAAACACGTGAACTTAGACACACACATATGGTATGGACACACATGCGCACACATATGCGCACACATATGCGCACACATATGCACACACACATGCACACACACAGGCACACATGCACACACACGCACACACATGCACACACACACACACACACACACACACACACACACACACACACACACACACACACATGTGCACACACACGCACGCACACACACACACACACACACACACACACACACACACACACACACATCCACACTCCCCCCCCCCCCCACACACACACTAAAAAGTGGCTTGTGGCCCACAGGACAAGGTTGACGGCATCCGCTCCAGACTAGTGCCAGTAGTGGCCTTTCGCCTTCAATCCTGTCATCTACGGGAGCTTGAATAGCTGTTGGGCAAGCTGAACTTTGCCAGCAGCGTCATCACGCCGGGCCGTACATTCATGCGCCGACTGTATGATGCCACACGCAACGTCTCCAAGCCCTACCATCGCATCCGCCTCTCCCAGGAATGTCATCTGGACCTGCTTTGGTGGTCTCACCTACTTGATAGCTGGAATGGCAAGTCATTCTTCCTCGATCTACAATTGTCCACAATCTGTGGCATCCCAGAGTGAATAGGAGGTTCTCCTTTTGGGGAGTCAACCTTGCTTACCAGGCTCCTCATACGCCTCATTCAGCCTCTCACAGTCAGACGGCTCACCCAGCCTCTCATTACGGCTCACTCAGCCTCTGCAGTCGGGCCCTGCCAAGCTGCCTCATGTTGAGCCATCCATCTCCGACTTTTCATCTTCAACTTAGGAACGATCTGCGTCGCCGGAACTTGTTGATCCTGCTGACAATGCAGAGTCATTGGATGGCACTGAGGTGACAGCAACAGGTGGTGCGGAGGACACCAGTGACAACAGCGACAAGGACAACATGTCCTTGACATCGTACGCGAAAGCTTGTGGAGATAATAGCTACAGTCCATTCAGAAAAAGATGATATCCTAGCTTTTGGCCATAAATGGGTCAAATTTTGAGTTTTTTTCACATTATTTTCTTGCAATCTCCATGGAATGCTGTTGTGTATGCAAGTTAGTCATAATATATCTACTACACCGTTTGCTACTGTATTGCGCATGCTCGGATATTGTTGTTGCTTTACCTGACCAAGAGTAATGTCTTCCAAATGCTAGTGTTTGTGAGTGCCAGTGAGAATGCATGAATGTAATGGTATGTTAGTCCGCAAGGGGACATAACAATTTGGCGACGAAGATAGAAGACGAAGATGTCGCGAGCGAAGCTTGAAATTTTTGAAAAAGGTGATTTTCGTGAGTATGTAGAGAGACTCCCATTTTATTTTATCACCAACAGTATTGGACAAGTCGCAGCTGGGGCAACCGCGGATGAGGAGAGAGCGGCGGACACACAAAAGGCAGCTGTCCTGATCAGTCAACTCTCTGCTGAGAACTACTCGATCCTGAAGAGTCTTTGCCTGCCAGACATCCCAGCGCAGAAAACGTTTACGGAACTCGGAGAATTGCTTTCAGAGCACTTCAAGGCTAATGTCAGTGTGTTGGCGGCGACTCATAGATTCCAGAGGATTTGTCCAAAGGATGGAGAGTCAGCAACACAGTATGCAGCTAGACTAAAGCAAGCAGCCATGGACTGTAGATTTGAGGCGTATTTGGACAGGGCACTCCGAGACCAGTTCGTCAGTGGGTTGAAGTCGATGAGTGTTACGAAGGAGATATTGTCAAAAGCTAAGGAGACCTCAAGTTTGGCGGACGTTGTGACGATGGCATCAGCCTATGAAACTGCATCGAGAGAGTCGGAGCAATTGACGGCGCAGCCCGTCCACGCTGTTCGTTCGCGCCAGTCGACGAGCAAGCCAACTCCAACTTTGAAGTCGTACGACAAGAAATGTTCTCGGTGTGACAAGTCTGGTCACAAACCGGAAGAGTGCCACTTCAAGAGTGTGAAGTGTCATGCGTGTGGTACGGTGGATCACATCGAGAGAGCTTGCCGCAAGAAGAAGTCGGGACAAACCGTCCATCACATCGCGGAAGAAATTGGTGAGTTTGTTCCATGTGCTAGTAAACCCGATGTCACCATGTATAATGTAAATGCAAAGGGGCGACTACCGTACACTGTGTCATTAGATGTAATGGGTACCACTATCCAAATGGAGATTGATACGGGAAGTGCTGTCACGATTCTCAGCAACGCAGATTTCTTGCAATGCAATGGTGTGCTGAGTAACCTGATGGAATCCAGTATCAACCTTGTGTCCTACTCTGGAGATGTTATTAATTATCTCGGGGAAGTGGAAATGGAGTTCCAAATGGGCACACAATTGCACACACTATTGGTGAGGGTGACAAATGGAAACCGTCCATCAATTCTGGGCAGAGATGCAATGGCTTTGTTCAAACTCCCCTGGAAATCAATTTTCGGAGTGCACCAGGTCGAAAAGTCTGGCGCTAAATTCATTGAGAAATACCCAGAGTTGTTCGACACCTCAGAAGTGGGAAAGGTGAAAGGCGTGCAGGTGAAATTGCATGTGTCTGATGAGCGCCCTGTTTACCGAAAGGCAAGGCCGGTACAGTCAGACCTCGCTTAACCGCACACATCCGTTTTCCACAAAAATATCCGGATAGGCGAGGGAACCGGATAATCGAACACACACACTGGGTGTGTGCATAGCATTGCTGTAAATCGGTGACTAACAATTTTCTTCCGGATGGCGAGGGATCCGGATAAACGAGGACCGGATAAGCGAGGTCTGACTGTACCACTGTCAATTCGGGAGAGTTATGTTGAGGCTCTGAATAAGTTGGAAGCAGGTGGTATAATCGAGAAAGTCACGCATTCAGAATGGGCCTCCCCCACTGTCACGGTAGAGAAATCAGGAGGTGGGTTGAGAATCTGCGGTGACTACAGTGGCACTATCAATCTGCATTCTAAATGCGAGCAATACCCGCTACCCACTCTTGAGGAGCTATTGCACAAATTGGGCCCGGGGTCTAAATTCACTAAGCTGGATTTGTCGCAAGCCTACCACCAGCTAGAGATCGCACCTGAATGTCGGAAGTACACCACTATCAATACCATGCAGAGGTTGTATCAGTACAAACGACTCCCTTTTGGTTTTCACAGCGCCGTATCTATTTTCCAACGGGTAATGGAAGAAACCCTTAGCGATTTGCCAGGATGCGGGGGCTAAATCGACGATGTGTTGTGTACTGGTCGTGATGAGGAGATCCATGAGAAAAATGTGGATCAAGTGCTATCTTGCCTAAATGAGAAAGGATTCAAGCTCAATCCTAAGAAGTTCAGCTACATGGCGGATAAGCTAATGTACCTCGGTCATCAGGTAACCGTGCAGGGAATCGCACCCTCGCCTGATCGAGTGAATGCCTTGAAAGTCGCAAAGCCGCCTAACAACGTGAATGAATTGTACTCTTTTCTGGGTGCGGCCAATTTTCAACGGAAATTTGTGCCTCGGTTCGCAGAGATTGCAGCACCACTGTACAACCTGCTCAGGAAAGAAATGAAATGACAATGGAGCAAGGCAAAGGAAGATGCATTCCAGGCCTTGAAAGATGCAAAGTGTGAGCATACGCTATTAGCACACTACGATGTCGAGAAGCCAGTCACACTCCAGGTGGACGCTTCTCAAATGGGTCTAGGTGCCGTACTACTGCAAAGGCAAACGAATGGTGATGTTTTGCCGGTTGCTTACGTGTCAAGGAAATTGACACCGGCTGAATCACGTTATGCACAAATCGAGCGGGAAGCTGTAGCTGTGGTTTTCGGTGTTACGAAGTTCCAGAAATACTTGCTGGGGCGCCACTTCACGCTTCAAACCGACCATCAACCACTAGTGAAGTTACTGGGAAACAACGAACCAGTTCCTACACTCGCATCAGCTCGCATTAAGAAATAGGCACTAATGCTAGCTGGCTATGATTATGAGATCAAGTATTTGCCAGGCAAGGAAAATGTCTACGCAGATTTCCTGTCTAGGAGGTACCTTTTTCGAACCCTTTTTCAAGTTTCAAATTTCGCGGCACTGCACCGCGTAAAGATAAAATCAAGAAAATCGCGCAATACGGAAGCTCGCCAGAGCCAGCGCTCATCTTTTTATGAATGGACTGTAGTCTGTTGGGACGGCGATGGAAACGAAGGTCACCTGAGGTTATCGCTAACCATGCACACTATAGAGGGTTGTGCAAATGACACCAATGTATATGCTTTGCATGGAGTGGCAAAGCAGTGTATGCTTGTGTTATCACTCCATACAAAACACCTCAAATGATGACATCATCGCATAAGAACCTCTATAGCTAGTAGCATGTCAATGATGTCAGACATGTTGCTGGTTGAGGCCTACCTGCGAGGATGCAACGCAGGATGAGATCCGTAAACTGTAGAACAAAATACTGCCATACAGCAAAGGGGGTAGCCAACAACAACAACAACAACAACAACAACAACAACAACACGCACCAGTCAACCATTGTAAACATTGCAACTATTGCCGGTGTAAGTTGAATGAAACTTATGAAAGAGAACATAGTTACCAAGCTCATTTCTGAATGAAGTGTAATCCAAGTTTTCAGTGTGAAATCCACCTCGAAACTCACCTACACATACCTGGCATGCTACTTCTCGAAAACTCACCTACACATACCTGGCATGCTACTTCTGGTCAATGCAGAGACATCTAACATATGCTTTAGCTAACATTGGCCTCAGAGCAAAAATATAATATATCCAATTGAACCCAGGACCAATTCCCACTGTTACAACACCAGGACTGAAAGTGTTATTGAGCCATCTTTTGTTTCGTGCACACAGTTCGTAAAATGTGCTGTTCTCTCTGTGCCTGGGAGAGGATCACGATGTGGACACTGATCATGTACTTGATATCTCTTCTGATATGATATCAATCACCACAAACACACACACACACACACACACACACACACACACACACACACACACACACACACACACACACACACACACACACACACACACACACACACACACACACACACACTTGTACTTGCTCACCGCCAAAATTGGTCACGCTTGTCTCCCCGGGAAAGGGGAGAGAGAGAGACACACACACACACACGCACACGCGCATACACACACGCACGTGCGCACGCACACACACACACACACACACACACACACACACACACACACAGAGTAGCCATGGACTCACAATAAGATGGAGAAAACCAAGCCCATGATGGTGCCCTCCGGCTGATGGTGAGTAGTCATTCCAGCAAACACAACGTAGAAACTGAAGCCAATGACCAGCGTCAACAGTATGGTCACAGCAACTGTGCATGAAAAAGAACATCACTCAATTCAGTTACTGGTGTAACATGGAACACCTGGCACCATATCATCCTTTGTCAAAGTGACAGAAAGCAGGAAGAGAGGTCATGGTGTGGCCAGAACATACTACGTAGACATGGGAAGAAAAGTAAATTTACAAACAGAACCCCACATCCAAAACATGACCGACAAAGAGCGGCAGTGATGGACTCCGCCGCGGTACTTGACAGCACAGATGCATACACACGTCACTAGTGCCGGAGTGGCTGAGATGTAAAGAGGAACATCTAGAACCCACTTACCACTAAGCCACTTTTGCTGGATAACAGAGTTAGCAGTGGTGATGTGCAGCTGGAGATTACCAGTGAACATCAGGAACACAATCTGCACAGTGGCAATGTACGCCACGGCAATCAGCACCCGGTCGATGCGGAAATCCAGTAAGTTGACTGGCCTGGAACAACAACAGCAAGAAGAGCAGTGAACACACAGGGGACAATGAGCATCGCAACACCACTACACCACTGCAAACACAGCCAGACCGCAGTGCAGAGATCTGCAACCTACAAACACAATAATATGAGGGTGTGTGTGGGGGGGGGGGGGGGGGGGGCTAGAACGGATGAAGAAAGTCAAAGGTTGATGCCATTCTCGTCACTTGATGAGAGAGGAGAGGTGTGCTTCAAGTCGAGTGTCCACGCACATGTACATGCATACACTTACGCCACAGGAGAAAGCTTCAGCTGCAAGCGGAATGGCTTTCCTGGCTTGCGAAGTGATAAATAAATGATGCACACTGCCTGAAAAACATCACAAAACAAATAAACAGAGCTATGAACATTGCCACCTAGCTTCGCGCCAATGTCACAAAATGTCACCAATGTCTCAGTCCTCGGTTTGCTGGGAAGGAGTGTCATTTACCAGATTCTGACTTAGATGCGCAGTGTGAGCACAATGTGAGCACGGTGTGAACATTGTGAGCATATTTGTGAGTATAGTGTGGGTGTGGGTGTGAGTACAGTTTGAGCACAGTTTGAGCAAAGTTTGAGCACAGTTTGAGCACAGTATGAGCATTCTTAATACTGTATGGGCAGTCTATGGCTTTGGGGCAACTTCACGCCCAGTCACACAATGGCACATGTGCATTGCCTTGCTGGCTGACACTTGTGAAAGTGCACTGCAGCAATAGTGCTTACCGACAGAGGCACAAGTATCACGTAGAAGAGTTCGACAAGATCCAATGTGCATTGAGGCGGAGCAGTTGTAGGTGGCACGGTGGTCCTGTATGCAATCAAATGTATTTCTCAAATCAGATGGGATTGTACCTACTAGCTGGCACGGCAGACACTTTACCAAAGGGAGATTCACTGGTACTGAGTACTTCACGAAGTACGGTCCTGTGCCCCAGTCCCCCTCCCCCACCCCGCCCCGCCCGTCTCAATCCCCAGAATTCTGCAGTAGCAGTATAGTGCACGAACCAAGGAGACAACACGTTGGGAAGACCCCAGAAAGAGGCAAGGAGACGGGACACGGGCAGGAGCAACAATCACATTTCTAGTACTACAGCCCGTTTCAAAAAGAGTAGCAATCAGGTTTTGGTCTTAAAAAGTATCAAGATAAGGGAAATCCGGACAAAAAAATGCATAGAAGGGCTTGTTAGGGCACGGCAAATTGTTCTGTGAAGGTTTCGGAACAATTGGACCAGCCGTTAAGGAATTAGAATTTCGGCCAGGCTTCTGGCCTTTTCTCATGGTTTACAATTTGCCCTGGAAGCTGGTATCGATTTTTTATCAAAACCCACGGTTTATCCTTTCCTTTTGGCCTTGTGGTTATGAATGCTGTCTGCTGACCAAGTTGTGAGTTCAAATCCTAACCTATTCTCAACTCTATGGCCCTCTGTGCACATCGCCTGGCGAGCACCTACGTTGACCCGGCCATACTGGAGGCATATGTCTCATGCCGACTCATTCCCCTCAACAAGAATCCAGGAGTGCGGCCAATCGGGATTGGGGAGGTGTTGAGACGGATCCTCGGAAAGGCCATCCTCCTTCTCCTCCGAGACGACATCCAAGATGCAGCTGGCAGCTTTGCGCCGGGCACGAATGCGGGGTAGAGGCGGCCATCCACGCCAAGTGCACCGTGTTTGAGGACGAGGAGACTGAGGCCATCCTGCTTGCCGATGCCTCGAACGATTTTAATACGCTCAACCGGGAAGCCTGCATGCGTAACATTCAGCACCTCAGCCCAGCGATGTCCCCCATTGTCATCAACACGTACCGCCAGCCCGCACATCTCTTCGTCGGTGGGGAAACCATTCTCTCCAGTGAAGGGACCACCCAGGGCGACCCCATTGCAATGCCAATGTACGCCCTGGGTGTTCTACCACTGCTTAGAGGGGCACTCCGGGAATTTTTTCGGTGGTGTGTTCTCTTCATGGGGGCCTTATATGGCCCCCAAGGAATGGGGAATCGCGAAAACTAGACCGAAAAAGTCGATATATGAAGCCAGGGAGGACCAAGTTTGTCTCCTCTTTTGATGGTTTTGATGACGTCACGTGTGCTTAGTATTCAAATTCTCTGCATTTGAAGATCTTAGTTTTTTGAATTCTCTGGTGATGAAGAACGATGTTTGGTCAACATCCCCAAGCTTCACAACTGCGAACATACTCTAAGGAACCTGAAGGACCTCCTGAGGTGCCCCTGGTAGAAGCACAGCCTGATGAGGGCCAGGAAATTGGAGCGGACGACTTCACTGGTCGACAAGGAAATAACGATTGGTGTTCCTGCCAGAAATGTGGGGTGATGCAGAGAGGGCAGTCGATTACCTTTGCTGTCGAGAGAGCGCTGCAGCTGTTAGCATTGACAGCCCTTTGACATGCGTTACACATCACCCCGACTTCGCGTCAGCTTGTCTAAACAAAACTGTTCTGACCATATGCCTCACGGCGTATAGAGAATTTCGGGATCCTCGTACTCGGACCAGTGAAGTCGTCCGCTCCAATCTCCTGGCCCTCATCAGGCTGCGCTTCTACCAGGGACACCTCAGGAGGTCCTTCAGGTTCCTTAGAGTATGGCCGCAGTTGTGAAGCTTGGGAATGTCGACCAAACATCGTTCTTCATCACCAGAAAATTCAGACAACTAAGATCTGCAAATGCAGAGAATTTGAATACTAAGGGGTCGTCCACAATTATCGAACTTTTTTCACGAAACGAAATAATTTCGTTATGGGGTGGGAGGGGGTTGACCAATTTCGTTTCAGAAAAGTTCGATACATGCACATGGCCATAGGAGAAGTGACACACTAGCGACTTTTGTTGTATATGCATGTATATGTCAACAATTTTTACGTTCTGAGGGGGAGGGAGGGAGGGGTTGGGTCTAAACTAAAATAATTCGTTTGGTGAAAAAAGTTCGATATTTACGGACGGCCCCTAAGCACACGTAAGTAAAAGTAAATTTTCGTGTCCGTTCCCGAAGGGAACTCACACGTGACGTGAAGCACACGTGGCGCACACGTGCACACGTGAAGCACACGTGACGTCATCAAAACCATCAAAAGAGGAGACAAACTTGGCCCTCCCTGGCTTCATATATCGACTTTTTCGGTCTAGTTTTCGCGATTCCCCATTCCTTGGGGGCCATATAAGGCCCCCATGAAGAGAACACAACACTGAAAAAATTCCCGGAGTGCCCCTTTAAGTCTGTTGCTACACCGGGTGCCATTCAGGAGTGGTTTGCCGACGATGCAGGAGCCAGTGGAAAGCTGATGCCGCTGCGAAGGTGGTGGGGAGGCCTTACCGAGAAAGGTCCTTCCTACGGCTACAATCTGAACCCAGCGTAGTCTATTCGTCAAACCAGCCTACCTGGACTGGGCGGAAGAGTTGTTCGCCGGCACAGGAGTTAAAATCCGCACAGAAGGATGCCGGAATCTTGGTGCCGCGATCGGCTCACCTCAGTTCGCAGAGCACTTCCTAAGTGACAAGGTGCAGTCTTGGACTGGGCAAGTGAACCACCTCTCCAACATTGCCATGTCTCAGCCTCACGCTACCTACTCTGCTTTCACCCAAGGGCTGAAGGGAAAGTGGGCCTTCATCTGCCGCACTATGCCGACCACAGCCACAGCCATGGAGCCGCTGGAGAAGGCCATTGCGGAGACGCTCATCCCTGCTATCACCGGGCAAACAATCAACAGCAAGGACCGTGGTGTGTTGTCTCTCCCCTGCCGCCACAGTGGTCTCGGTATGGTTAACCCTGCAGAGCTGTCCGACCAGTACAACGGGTCCCGCCACGTCGCCCAATCCCCGCAGCGTAACATAGTGACTCAGAAGTTCGAGCTTGGTGGAGCTCCGCATGCTCTGCGGGCTGCCAAAAGAGAGGTACAATCCCGCTCCCGTGATGCTACCTGTGCCCTCTCCGTTATCCTGCAAGCATCTTTGACGCCGGACAAGCAGCGAGTGATGGACTTAGCCGCAGGGCGCGGCGCCTCAAGCTGGCTAACGTGTCGACCACTGAGCCGATACGGTTTCGCCCTCTCCAAGGGCGAGTTCAGGGATGCCCTCAGCCTTCGCTACAACTGGAGACTTCCCAGGATGCTGGCGACCTGTGGCTGTGGCAGTCCTTTCTCCATCGCACATGCCCTGTCGTGCCCAACAGGAGGTTATCCCTCCATCCGACACAATGAGATCCGAGACGTCACTGCTGGCCTGCTGAAGCGTGTCGCCACGGATGTCGCAGTGGAGTCTCACTTACAGCCGCTCAAGGGGAACAACTTCGCCTCCGCACTGGTATCACTGACGACAATGCTCGTCTGGATGTAGCAGCCAACGGAGTGTGGGGAGGGCGGTTTGAACGCACATTTATCGATGTCAGGGTCTTCAACCCGTATGCGCCTTCAAACCAGTCCTTCTCCCTCCCGGCCACTTACGTCCGTCACGAGAATGCTAAGAAGCGGTCCTACAAACAGCGACTCCGTGAGGTGGAGCACGCATCGTTCGTGCCTGCAGTGTTTTCCACTACGGGTGGCATGAGCAAGTGCGCCTCGTCGCTCTACAAGCGCATCGCATCGCTACTGGCGGAGAAGACGTGCGAGCCATGCTCGACAACCATGGCCCTTATCCGCTGCCGCCTTAGCTTTGCCCTTGTGCGTGCTAGCGTCACGTGCATCCGTGGAAGTCGCTCCCTCTTCCCCTCGCGTGCACCGGTGGACTGCCTTGCCTCTCTCGTTAATGCTGAGGCCGTCGATGTACGAGTGTAGTTCTTTCCTGCTCACATGTGCCCCTTATAACTCTTTGCGCGCGACCCTCATGTCCGCATATTTCCCTTTTTTATTTTCCTGTTGAGGTCCGCACTTTATCTATACTATAGGTTTTGTTCCACACTACGTATTTTTGCCCGTTCGAGAGGCTTGTTGATTGGTAAAAAAAATCCTCAAGTCAACCTTTTTTTCATGGTTTTGGTGATAAAGCTGGTACGAGACAAAGAAGATGGCTGCACCAAACGACTTGTTGTTGGAGCTCGCGCTTCCTGCCGAACTGACTGACACTTGACTGGCTCACACCATGTGAACACACCCACGACAGTGAAATGGTGTGAGTGAATACGGAAGTCATCGCGCTGTAGCTTTTGGAGATTTATTTTAGTATTTCAAGATCGCCAATTTATTTGAATTTAGCAGTCAACGCCGTCTTCTATCAGCGTTCACAGGCGTCTGCTTTCCTCAAAATGTCGTCGAAGTCACACGGATAGCTTTGCCAAGTCATGGCCTTGGGAATGAGTCTGTGTCGATGTCGTTTTCGTCACACGGTGAGTAAATTGCATCGCAGCTCAAAGAAACTATTTGGTCACAAAAGGAATTGGGACCCATGCCGCTCGTCAACATTTACAACACTTTCGTTTCGACATGTCCTCTCTGACTCCATTATCGATACGAGGAAGAACTCGTTTGTTGTAAACCAGACGTACATGACTGTATCAACGTGAGTGAGTTGTCATTTTCCTGCTTTCGCGCGGAATATTTCTTCGAGTTCACAGTGAGTTTTTCCAGGCAGCGCTCGAGTGCTCGTACGGTAAGACGGCAAACTCCGCGGGCGATCGCCAGGATTGCTAATCTTTTGAAACGGACTGTAGTATAGTGAGACAGCAGAGTTGGAATACAGCAAGCTAGACTTACACTGGTGCGTCTGTTGGTGATGGCACCACTAGAAAGATGCCATGGACATGTAGAAAAGCAGACAACACAGAGGCACACAGTAATCCAGTCAGCGCCTTAGCGCATCAATTACAGAAACATCGCTATTCTAAGATTGCTGGGAAGGAGGGTTTAAATTAGCCTGGCATGCTCTTAAAATTCATATCTGCAGCCGAAAATATTTGTAGAACCCCATACATTGTATGTTTGGATGGGTTTAGATTTGTTATCGTCGCAATTTTCCTGTAATTTCTCAGAGTTTGAGGAAACGTTCCCATTTCTGGAACTTCCACCCTTACATGTTCCTAAATCTGTGCAGCAATTCCAGCCTGGATGTTCCCCGAATCATCATTCTTGCCCTCCTGCTGGTACTATAGCTTGGTTAGCCAGAGTAGTCCAAAGACGCTTCTTGAAACGAAACAACTTCGTTACTGGGTGGGTGAGTTTAGATCAGACATGCACTGAGCAAAACAAACCTCCGACGAGGAACAAAATGACTGTTCTTGCGATGGGCTTTGAATTTTGAAATCTACAGACGGCCACTGTAAGTTACATGGCGTAGTACCAGCAGCAGCACTAGACCGTCTTCTACTCATCCTTGTATTCTACAATTTGTGACCGCTGCTTTCAATGAACCAGGCACATAGAACATAGAACTACAATGCTGATTTTCCGGTTCAAACTTACGTGGTCGAGGGCAGTCGGTCCATTTTGAGCCTGAGAGGGAGCGGCACAAACAAGGCACAAACAAGGCACGTGCACGAACGCGTACACACATACACCGCGCGTGAAACGACAGTGTTACACCATGCTGCACGTGTGCTGACACAACGGTGCACGACACGCCATTGACAGAGTTTCTCGTTCAACAACCCACACTTGCCTCATGCACACACGTTACCAAGTTGAAAAAAGACTTTATGAGCTGTCCCGCAGCACGACAACGAGTCTGAGGATGCAATATTCCTGGATGCGTGCTGTTGTTCCACTGGGGAATAGCACTATACGGAACAATAGCATACACCCAAGAAATCTCTCCCACCCCCCTCCCCCCTCCAACTTGAAACTATGCTGACCAATGTTATAGACTGCATTCACTTCGTATTGCCGTCGCTGCATGCTGCTCTCTCGCTGCCTCTTCGTACGATCTTATCTCCTTTCACTTCGTACAATCTTCTCCATTCGCGCATGTCTACGGTATTTCTCATCATGGCTGCTGGCCCTTACCTGGTTGCTCTGGGCATCCTCGGGTCATTCTCTTGCTTACCTTCGTAATGATAACTACCAACAAAAATTACTCCTTGTGTTGCTTGTGACTGTCGTGTGCCACAAGCATGCAGTAACTAAGTGTAAGTTACAACAATTGGCGACGAAGATGGCTAGTAGTTTCAATCTCCACGAGGGTCAGTCCAATCGTCTACCTACGTTCGACTCGTCAGGTACTCCTGCGGAGGTTGGCCAACGCTTGAAGAAATGGTTCCGCAGCTTTGAATACATATATATATATAATATATTCGCGGGATCCGCGTCGGCATCGCTTGAATGTTCAGAAACACACAAACTAGCCTTCGCATCCGCAGGCCACCACTATGCCTGTTAACCTTAGTGGCGAATGCAGACCTCACAAGTGAGTCAGGGGAGAGGAGGTTAGTCTCTCAACCAATCGGGCGTGTAACGGCCCATAACCCTGTAAACTGCATCCTTGTTATTCTCACTCCGAGCTGTGAGTACCCAGTTGACCGTGGGTGTCGGCGCAGTTCAACACGCGTAAAAAGAATACATGGCGGAAGGAATGGGTATTTCTGACACTAAGCGTTTGAGATCTCTTTTACTACATTCCGCAGGCCCAACAATTCAAGATTTATTTGACGATCTCACCGATACTGCAGCAAATCCTCCGGCGGATGACAACGAGTTCAAGGAAGCGTCACGCATGCTGAGTCACCACTTCAAGGCCGAGCCAAACCCTATCTACGAGCGACACTTGTTTTGACAGCTCGCCCCCAAAGCCGGTGAGAGTATCAGTCAGTTTGTTGGACGTTTACGGCAACAAGCTAGATTTTGTGATTTTGGTGATGTCACCAATGATATGATCCGGGACCACGTGGTGGCAACTATGCGAAATGTGGAACTAAAAAAGAAATTGCTTCAAGAATCGAAATTGACGTTGGCCACTTGCTTAGAGATTTGTGCAATTTTCGAGTCAACCCAACGTCAAGCTTCAGCTATGGGTTCTGAACAAACATTGCCGTCGGTGAACGCCATCGCAAGTAAGGCCTCGTCTGCGTCTGGATCTCGTCCTGGCAGTTCTCCTCATTTTGTCAATCGTTCTAACCCTATGAATCGTTCTTCTGCCTCTTCTGTTTCTGATGATCGAGCGTCGTCTGAGCGCTTGTGTTATAGGTGTAACCGACCCGATCATCTCGCAAACCACCCTCAATGTCCTGCCCGTGGCAAGAGATGTACCAAATGCAAGAAAGTTGGTCACCTCGCGTCATGCTGTACGTCCCGAGCAACTAACAACATCGACATCGACGTCGAACCTGAGGATACAAGTGAGTCTTTTGCGATTGGTGCTATTGGTGAGCAAGTACAGAAACACCCACCGATTACCATTGATGTCACCATTAACGATATTCCGTGCACGATGGAGGTAGATACTGGTGCTGAAGTCTCTATTCTCCCTGAATCTGTTTGGAAAGAGAGGTTTTCCCATATCTCTTTAGAACAGAGCTCCGCTTCTTTGCATGCTTATGGTGGACATCCCCTAGTCGTTAAGGGAGCGTGTACCGTTTCAGTCTGTCATGAGTCTCATTCGTTCAAAGATCGTATCATTGTTGTAGGGGGATCAAGCCAGCCCCTGTTCGGTCGTAACTGAATGTCACACATTGTAGTTGACTGGTTAGATTTCCGTACTGCTCAAGCCAACGCTCTCTCCCTTAACGATATTTTGGCTCAGTTTCCATCTGTATTCCAAGAGGGTTTGGGAACTATCAAGGGTCATACAGCAACTATTCATTTGCAAGGTTCCCCTGCCCCAAGGAGTTTCAGCGCAAGACCTGTGCCCTATGCATTGAAATCCAAGGTCGAGGCTGAATTGACGAGATTGCAGACTGAAGGGGTAATCAAACCTGTTGACCATGCAGACTGGGCTTCCCCTATTGTCACGGTGCGTAAGAAGAACAACTCTATCCGTCTATGTGCTGATTTCAAGATTACGACAAACAAGCACATAGAACCTAACCAGCACCCGATTCCGAATCCTACCGACCTATTGTCTGAATTGTCTGGGGGATCGGTCTTCTCAAAGCTAGATCTTAGTCAGGCTTATGCTCAGTTACCTTTGGATGAACAAAGCCAGTCTTATTGTGTTATCTCAACGCACAAGGGATTGTTTGCGTTTACTCGATTGCCTTTCGGTGTCAGTTCTGCTCCGTCTATTTTTCAGAAGACCATCGAACAGATCTTACGTGGCATTCCTGGTGTCGTCATCTACTTCGACGATATCTTGATTTCCGGCAAGTCACAACAAGAGCATGATGACCGTCTCCGTACCGTTCTACAGCGCTTTCAACAAGCAGGCCTTCGTTTGAGCCGCGAGAAATGCGCCGTCTCTCAGCAGCAGGTAAGTTACCTTGGCTTCACTGTTAGTCAGCAAGGCATACAACCCAAGAACGATAAGGTTCTTGCAATCATGAATGCCCCTAGGCCAACTGATGTTTCTGCTCTACGTTCTTTCCTGGGTCTCGTTAACTTCTTCGGGAGGTTCATCCCCAACAGCTCCACACTGCTAAGCCCTCTCAATTCTCTCATGAAGATGCCCCATTTGCGTGGTCTGACGATTGTGAAACCGCGTTCTACAAAGTCAAGCAGTTCCTTGCCACCACTCCGGTCATGGCTCACTACGACCCTACGCTCCCACTGGTGCTGGAGTGTGACGCGTCACCTACAGGTATCGGGGCTGCCCTTGTGCACATCATGCCTGACCAATCTATCCGTCCTATTGTGTATGTGTCACGAGCACTGTTACAAGCCGAGAATCACTACAGTCAAATAGAGCGCGAAGCAATAATTACTCCTCGTGCTGCTTGTGACTGTTGTGTGCCACAAGCATGCAGTAACTAAGTGTAAGTATTACAGGTCTGCTCTCGATATAACAACTCTCACTTGTACATAAACCTCGCTAGTAAGTAAAAAAAATCAAATCCCGCGCCGAAACAGCATCACTCCCATACAAATTTTGTTCTACACAACATAATCCTACATAACATAAACCTCGACACAACACATGCTACGACGGTCCCCGAAGTGCTCACTCTCGATACAACATAAATTCACGTGCACGGTACGATCAAGCGGTAGCTAGCTAGGCAGTTTAGTCCTACATAACGTAAACCTCGGCATAACGCACCCTGTGGCGCGGTCCCCGACGTGCGCACTCTCGATACAACGTAGATTCACGTGCGCGGTACGATCAAGCTGTAGCCGTAGCTAGCCAGTTTAGTCCTATTGTGCATATATTCCGCGGCATTGATGGTATCTGATGTAGATGGTGGTACAGTGTGTATATGTTTGCACGGTTGAACCTGCCTTGTAATACCCTTCATTTTGAGGTACATCTTGTATTTGACACACGGTTTTCTACATAACATAACTCTCGATATAACATAATTTGTGCGTGGTCCCAGAGATTACGTTATATGGAGAGTAGACCTGTAGTTACAACACTGACCAACATCTCACACAGTCATGATACTAGTATCCCATTTCAAATTGACTAAAACCAGATGCTGTAACCATGGAGACGTACAGTGCTGCTCAATGAAATCCGGACAGTGTGAGTCAGATAGCGCTGGCTTGATTCGGAGTCGCTCACCTGCAACCGCTGGCCTGCGCATGGCTGCAGGACACTACTAGCTTATTCATGAGCCCGGATTTCAGTCAGGAGCCCTGTACTATACTATGCACAGTTTCATTGATAAGGTGTGCAGTGCATGCAAACACTACACATGCAACTACACCCAAACAGAATGACTATTCGCAAACAGGATGACTGCATTCACAAACAAGATGACTGCATTCACAAACAAGATGACTGCATTCACAAACAAGATGACTGCATTCGCAAACAGGACGCAACACAAACTTGCCCACACATCGCCATTATCATATACACTTAGTTTTTCTAGCTGTGAGCTTACTTGATAAGCAGTAGTCAAACGTCATATTCTCGCCCATGCTGGCCGATAGAAATGTGTCGAACAGACTGCCTGGCTGCTGGGTGGTAACCGTGCCGGGTGGCCAGATTACCCTGCCTCTCCACCTGCCCGGCACAAGGCTGGAGATCACTGAACCGTTTGGCATGAGTGCCAGTAAGTCGGCGAGGCGCATGTTTGCCCACTTCGGACACGCCGCGTTGTCATAGATGCAGATACTGCTGGAGAGGGCATTGACGAACGTGATGTTCTCGTAGCTGGAATTGGCAATGTAGATGAAGTCTGATCTGCTCGTGGCGTTCAGCACGTCAATACCAACGAAGTGAGGTGGAATGACGACGAACTGGTGACCAACAGTAACCTCACTATTCGGTGTCGACTGGAGCAGGTCTGGGCTGGGTGCTAGTATCGAGCAAACCTGGAATAGGCTGCCAAAGTCACTCAATGAATACTGGCCAAAGTCGGAACATCCTAACAGACAGCAGATGGCATACAAATGCACATAAAAACATCAAAAACAAACACACATGTTCACTCTACATGTTCACTACACAATCATGTTCACAGCCCAAAACTGGTCATCGGCCTCCTCTCTGTCTCTGTCTCTCTGTCTCTCTCCCCCGGTGGCGAGGGAAAGAATCATGGAATTACATACATAGGCAGCCAAACACGACTAGATATACTTAAAAAAAGTAACAGTACTCGCATTGTCGCATTGTCGCCTTCTTTCACATAGCTGGCATGCAAAAATCAAATGACTGGTTATAATCGGATCTAGCAACCCAATGATTCAGTAGCCCACTTCTTGGTCAAACCAGACTGTGTTCTTTCTCAACTTGACAAGGGCTACTACCAACACCAAACACAATCCTGCCTTCAAGTAGCACAGGCAATACAGTAGGGGTCTATGCTCACCGCTGAAGCACAGATCAAAGTCTCCATTTCCATAGCGATGGAATCCCAGTGTGGATGCGTTGGAAAAGATTGACTTCCATGCGACCACAGCTATGCGGCGTGCATTGTTGTACGAGTGGTATGTTCCCGTTGAGTGTGAGAGTCCAGTCAGACCGGAATTGCAGATCTCCAGCCAGTCCGTGTATGGGAAATTGTATCGTGTTGGCACAACAACCGTTCCAGGCCGGAGGGCCGCTTGCAGCTGCACAGCGGTGAACGTGGCCAGCACGCCGGAGCTAAAATCTGTAGGACACAGCCCAGGCAAGATGTACCAATGCTGAATGTACAGTAGGTATAATGACTGTGTGTGTGTGTGTGTGTGTGTGTGTGTGTCTATGTTTGCGTAGGGAAAAAGGGAAGATGTCATGCCTATGTAGACATAGCTGGGAACGTACGAACAACCACTAGAAGACATAAAATATAAATAGATGAAAGTAAATTTTCGTCCGTTCCCGAGGGAACTAACACCCAACACGACTGCTAACACCCAGTAAAACCAGCGGCAAATTCAGTGCCTAACGGTGGAGGTGAGAGGATAAGTCTCACAACCACACGCACAAGTGCTCAGAACCCCACTAGCCGCATCCATGATAACAACAAGAGAGTAAACCCAAAAAAAGTTGAAGAGGAACCGTAACAAAAAAACTATCGGCCTACTTTGTACCTACTTTGTACCAGTGAGCAGCAAACTACTGTAAAACCGGAAAGTCTTACGTTTTAACGACCAATTTTTTTCGTTATTCGAAGAAACGTTATCGTGAACCCGGTTTGAGATGTCTATGTAAAGATGCGCATACAGATGAGTGGCCAGGTAGCCATCGTTAAACTTTCTGCATGTTATCATGCCAAAAATACAAACACGATTTGAACTTTTTGGTCGTTAAACTTTACGGTTTTACAGTACTGGGAGATGACACGCACAACATTGTAATCCTGATTTTAGATGCCCCCCCCCCCCCCCCCAATGTGTATCAAATATCACTCTGAGAGTTTCATGAACAGGTCTGGCCCTTCACGATCTCCATGTGTGCAATTTGTATGTTTGGGAAGTAGAATACCGGTATGTGTACATGGGCCGCAGTCGGCTAAAACATGTCTTTGGGGTTTCTTATTTTTTTTAGGCATGACAAACGAAGAATTGTTTCTGCCGAGCACGTTCACGCTGTGCTTCATTCATCAACCGGTGGCGTGAGCATCTTGTCGAACTTCGTTCTCACACTTACTCGGCGGTCTAGTCCAAGCAGCTGGCGAGCAAAGTGACATTTTTCTGGAATACATTTCTTATTTAGCCTCGCAATCGGTTTACCGTCTCTGATTTTCTAATTTTCTCTTCATTCACTTGTTCACAAGTCTTCGAGTTTGATTGATTTTACCATCCGATCTCAGCCAAATCGAAATATTTGGGACAGTACCCCTCCAAAGACAAACCTGGACACTAATCCACAATGGCCTAATGTCTAAAACCACCGAATACAGCTAAGGAAAGCTCAGAAAACACCCCACAATTGCAAAAAATAGCTCATTTTGCCGTGCGCTGATTGGTCAAATCCAAATGACCATTGGGCATGCTTTGTAAGGTCGTGGTGAGCCCTGACAGTACATGTCATTTCCTGTTTAACTCACAGCGTACTGCACAACTTGTAGCAAGTGTGTCTATTGCACACAATTGCTACCACAACGGAGCTAGGGCAAAACAATCTGGATGGACACCAGCCAATGTTCCCTGAACAAAAAGTGACTAGCAAGGCATGAACTAACTTACTGCGAGTGTCAAGGTCATACTTGGAGTTGACTCCCATTCGGTGAACGGCCACAATACCATTATTCCACTGAACCCGCACCAGCTGGGCATTACTCGGCTGATCAACGAGATTGTAGTCACGCAGATCCTCAAGGTTGAGCACATTGCCAGTCAAGCCATTAGTGTGGGCACACCAGAACGATTCGGTCGTACGATAGAACGTCCTCTGGTTGCGGACTTGTCTGGTGAACAACTGTTCGCGAACACTGTCCGAAGCATAGGGCCAACATCCTGAAACAATGCAGTACCGGAAAGCTATTCAGTTACTTTGAAGTGTCATCATAGTAATGCACCCTACATGTAACTACATGTAGCTAGTCCGCTTATTTGTTGAAATAGATTTTTTAAATATCAGGGGCCGTCCGTAAATATCGATGTTTTTTTAGAGACGATATTTGTTCATATCTCCCCAGACCCCTCCCCCCTCTAATATGAACATGCATACATTTATGCAGTGGACCGATATTTTTTTTATATTGAACGGTTTGTGTGTACAGGTAGGTACATAATACGTGCTGCAGTACTAGCAGTAGTACAAGTCACAAGGTTCAAGTGCCTGCATGCTGCATGGTGCACGAGCCGCGACAAGCAAGTACAAGGTGCATACCTAAAAATAGCGTATGTGAAGATCGATATTTTTTTCCGCCAAAAACAACGAACAGCGTCAAAACCCCCTCCCCCCCCCATACGAACGAATATCGTCTCTAAAAAAACATCGATATTTACGGACGGCCCCTAAACATCAAACTCCTTGCTCATAGGTTGAGGTTCAATGGACAGTTCACTGGCTTGTCAGTTCAGTAATCTCGCAAGGTATGTGTGGGCCTGCCTTTGAGAAATTTTCCCGTTTGCAACTTTCCCTCAAACTAACGAATACTGGAGAAATTTTAATTTATTAATTTTTTCATTGCTACCAGGTTGGAATTCTTTCTCTGTGACGCGCTGATAGTGATAAGCCCACAAAGGACGAGACACGACTGCCTACGGAGTTAGTTAGTAGGTCGAGGATCTGTGTAACATGTAGGAACATGTACTCAACCTCTGGCCAGTTGTTTTTAAAAGTGATTCAACCTTGTTAGGTCCCATCAGCAGAGGTCAGAGTCACCGTCCGAACGGATCACAATGAAACATAGTACTTCCAATGCTATGTATATTGAATTCAAAGAATATGATGACTGCAAAAACATGTGCTTTTGCTCCTCGCAAAGATTGCAATTACTACAGCAAGGATTGAGCCAGACCTCACGTCGACACACATGCGGGCGCACGTGTGTGCATGTGTGTGGCCAACACTACTCTCAGATTCAGAGTACATACACACACACACACACATTCAGCTGTATCGCTTGCATGCAGAAACTCACGGTCTACTGGCGGTACAACACCAGGAAGGACGACGAGTGAGCTCTTCGCACACGTGACGAACATGAGAATGGTCAACTGGAACGCACAGGATGAGGCACATACAAGTACAAGAGCGAACATAGCAACTAACATACAAGTAATACGTACAACACATACACACAAACATACACACACACACACACACACACACACACACACACAAACACATACACACAAACACATACACACAAACACATACACACAAACATACACACAAACATACACACACACACACACACACACACACACACACACACATACATACACACACATACACACACATACACACATACACACATACACACATACACACATACACACACACACACACACACAAACGTTTAAACATACACACAAACACATATACACACACACACATACACACAAACACATACACACATGTCCATGCAGCATGTAATTGTATCATGCTGATTAGTGGGAAAGGGGGGGGGGGGGGGGAGGGGGAGGAGGTAACAAGAAGATGTTTATCCATGTTGAGTTGAACTCGTATCGGTGCAAACACTAACGTGAGCATGCGTTACATACGGCACCGGAATGTAACATACGGTATGAATGACTGACTATGTTCTACTCCGGAAGGTAAGGTTGAGTTCACATGGGACTGATTTTCCAACCCAAATTATGTATGCGGCTGACGTGGAATTTGCGAGCTCTTCCTCTGATGGAATTTGCGAGCTCTTCCTCTGATGCCACGTCACCTACAACAGTTGGTCGCTCATGTCATCAGTCAGTTGATCAGTCATGTGTGACGACGGCCAGTCGGGTCACAGAAAACAATGACGGACCACACACACACATACATATTATGATATCAAGCATGGAGGGCTTCAGTTCTATTCATAACGCCTTTTGCATATTATTATTTTTCTGTTTCTGTTTTAATGACAGTCCACTGCACGCATGAAAAAAGTATTTAGTTTATTAGGCGGGTTACAGAACTATCGACTTATCGTTCGCTGGCTTACTTGTAGTTTGATAACGCTTCGCTCTTCATTGAGATATCTACCATTCTCTTTTTTTCTCCTTATTTTCTCCCCAACCCTCCTTCCCTGTAACATAATAACATATTCGCTGCCTTGTCATTGAGCATTTGTGCTCGTTTGGATTTGCGAATTCAAATAAAGTATACATACATACATGCATAGCTACGGGAATAAAGAGCAGCGGGCCTTGGCTATGCCAAGTGCACATGTACTTCGTCACTATGTGGCAAAACTCATTACAGAGTAGACAAGGTCATGGACAACCCAATTGAACCCATCAGCAGCCTGACGTTGTACATGTACCATACCACTGAAATCACAATGCAGGGCCGCCGGAACTGGACCAACTCTGGCTCAGGCTCAGGTCACCCCTGAGATTCGCCCTAAAACCGGGGGAATTCTGGGCACATGTACAACATACAGTCATGTACAGTCAACTTGGCTTATAACGACACTCGGCGGGGCATCAGAAAAGTGTCCTTATTCGCGAAGTGTCGTTATACCCGAAGTCTCATTATATGTGCCACAGTTGGATGGGACTTTGCTCTGGGCATGACAATTATGTCGTTTTTCGCGAATTGTCGTTATATCCGCAGTCGTTATTAGCGAAGTTGACTGTACAATGTATTATCGATCATGCATACAGATGTACATGCACCCATAGTAGGTCATACATTGATTATCAATGATGATATCCATGCAAAATTATTCTCTAGTAGTATAGCGGGTTCTGAAAACTTGTGAAAGGGCCAAATTCTGCTATTTCCGACCGGATTTTTCAAAAAATGTCCAGGGGATATCCCCTGGACCCCCCCCCCCCCCCCCCTCCTCAAACCGGACCAACTTCGCCCGCCGGAAAATGTCCAGGGGACATCCCCTGGACTAGGCCCCCGTGTAATATGCCGGCATTTTTTGAGCATTTTCGGTACAATCCGCGAACCCAGCACTTTGGGCTCGTGATGCAGCATTTTGGGAGAAACGGAGCACTTGGCCGTTGTGTATCAAAATTGAGAGAAGAATAACTTCCCAAACTTCCCAAACAAGAACGTCACTTCCGCATTCCGTGGATTAGCTTCTTGTTGAGTAGTTTATGAATTGTTTACCATGGCAGACTCGAGCAAGTCTCTTATTGAGTATTTTCTGACTCCCTGGTTTTGACGGAGTGTGCTGAGGATTACAAAAAAGTGAGCATTTTCCGAGCATTTTCGGCAAGGTTTGGGAGCATTTTCGGCAAGGTTTACGAGAATTTCCCAAAAGCATTTTCAGCAAAGTTTCGGGCATATTACACCGGGCCCTACCCTGGACCCCCTCCCCCCTCAAACCGGACCAACTTCGCCCCGCCTTCCGGCGGGCCTGCAATGATTATGTCAATGGAGAACGGAAAATTCGCGCAGAGTTTTTACTTCCCGATTTACAAAAACGGAAACACACGCAGACGGCAAAACTAAAATCCATTGCAAAATGCAAATTAATTCCCGTTTTACACATACATGTACATCACAATGCGCCAGAAACAATTCTAAAATAATTGTTCGCAGTTCTCCAACGCATACAATAATGTTGTACGTGCCAACAGACTGTACAGCTGTATCAGTCTGAAATAACCATTCTGCAATACCGGTACTTGTTTGGCTTGCACGGTAACTTTCTAGCCTCCGGGAGAAAACGGGCAGAAGGCAAGTTTGATAAAATCAAATAAGAATAGGAATTTTTCTCTAGGAAGGGGGCCGGGGCTGGATCATAATCATAAGACTCCTAAACAAAACTAATTACTTACATTACCATACCCATATTGCCACTTACCAGTAACTGCAGCTCCATCTCCCCGAACACACTCCACTCCCTCCAACGCGAACAACAGCCTCACTCAATGCGAGAACATGGCCATTGCAAAGTAGTTTTAGGACTCGACTTGAATGAAAATGGTCAAGGAGATGTGCACTCCCGATTCCGCGGTCAACACATGCACTGCACTTCTTTTTTCTGGCGCCACGTGCCCTGAAAGGCGCTACACGTGTTTCGTTTTTGAATCGATCATATAAACACCCGTACACATACAGATCATGCTGATTACCATGATTACGTATACGTCGTTTATTCCGTTTATGGACTTCGACTCTTTTTAAGTAAAAAGTTAGTTTTGTTTGAGTGAAGTGTACGGTCGATATCTCTTGCAAGCCCCCGAGTCTCTACGTACTCGTAGCAGCATGCAGGTACTAGGTCTACTCGACTCCTATCCAGAAAAGTGACAAGAAAGACGGCTGAAAAGTCCGTGAAGAGTCGACTACAGTACTCAGTAGTACAGTACTCAGTACTCACAGTAGTACAACGACGTTACGGGTCTCGGTCGGCATACCATCGTCCAGCTAACGAGCTCAGGGAGCTGGCAGTGGTTGAAAGCCGGATCTAAAACCATTTGTGTTTTAGTGTGACTCTCGCCATTCCGGAGACATATTGTCCACACCTGTGTAGTATTTTTAATATTATCTTCCTATCATACCCTGGTTTCTCATCATTGTGTCGCTTTTGCCCGTACAAGAGGCTTTATCACACTTGCCACAAAAAAAAAAAAACAACGACGTTACGTAGAGAGATCTACTACTAGTACGGTACTAGTCCCTGTCCCATCCTGCACTATACTCTCAGTCGAGTCTTGATCAGATCATAATGATGCTGTCAGTGTCACCAAGACTTGGCAAGAGTACATAAACCTCTTGGTGTCACCAGTGCAGACACCAGTCACGTCGCGGGATCTCTGCGTTCGCCGCTTGGAGATCAAGCTCGGGCATCCTATCGCAGACGACATAACGACAATCCGGTACGCGGTATGCGGTCGACATGCGATATGCATTATTCGTCGCTCATAAGCCGCCGTGGGTGCTCACCACTTGTAAGTAGTTAACTCGCTCATGATGTACTTTGTCTTATAGAAGTCAAAATGATCCGAAAATGGAGTCTACTCTAGTAATTAGTACTAGTATCAAGGATCAAGCCACGGACTAAAAGCCGGCGTTGCGGTGACACTGAATGAATGAGTTAGCGCTAGCAAGTCACTTCGCCGAGGCTCATCCCATGCACTCAAAGATAGTGTTCCAAACTATGAAATAAGGGTTACTTCAGGGAAAACAACAACTAACTTGCATGGGAAAATCACGCTCTTCATTCGACTAACACTTACCGCTTGAAGACATAGAGCAGAACCGTGGTCCACACTCGGGAGTTGTTTTGGACCGCCTCGATGCATTCCTCGATCATCCAGCAGAGACAAACTTTCGATTAGGACTCTCCACACTACAAACGCACTCGGCTGTTGGAACTAATGGATGGAGCTGCAGATTTATACTACTTCTAGCAGGGAAGAGTGCATCCGGTGAGCAGCAGTCTCCGCGGATACTAGGTGGAAGTGATGGCTGATTTCGGCCGTCCCCAAGACGAGAACAAGAAAGCAGGTTGAGAAGCTAGCTATGAGTATGATGAACAAGCTACAGTCATGATGTACACCATGTCATGTGTTGTGACTGGAGCCTGTGGTCCAGGACGGCAGGAGGTGCTGAAAATACTAACCACGTACCGGTAGAAGTCTACGTAGGTGTATGTAATACTTGTTCCTCAATATCATACAATCTCATGTAGTACTAGTAGAGAAGACACGACATCAGACTACAATCAGGTATGCATTACAAAAGGTAATACAATAGTCTTCGCAACCCTGATCCGCCAGCTGTCTACATTATTGTAGTCTCTTCTCTCTCTCTCCTCTGCTACGTGTACTTCTACTTTAGTCTAGACTACGTAGAGCCTACTGCATTACTGAGTACCGGTATGTGACGTCAAACCACATGTAGCAGTAACATAGTCATTGTGCACGGACGGGGGCATCGGATTTCACGGCCAGCCAAGTACGAATGCATGCTTGGCATGCTTGATGGTCTGTAATACTAATAATCTTACACGCACCAATTGGCCAAGCAGTCGTTCGAGAAACAGTGCTGCTCAATGAAACCCGATCCAGTCTGACTTGACTGACTTGACTGGATCGGGTTTCATTGAGCAGCACTGTTTCTCGAACGACTAGCTGTGCTTGGTGCAAAGATTACAGACAGGGAGTCGTATATACCGGTATACCGTATTATCTCTAATATAAGTAGGGCTCAAACGATTAGTCCGAACCGGTTGCAGACCGGTTACGAAGAATTAACGGTTAACCGATAAAGCTAACGGTTACGCGGTAACTTTTCAGTCAATTTTTCAAGTATCAGGTCGTTGCAAAGTGTGCACTTTCGCGGGCTGTCGCACGCGTACGCAATTTCTGGGCTGTCAACTCGGTCATATCTGGTCTCTTGCCGTAGTCTTGGTGTGAGAGTGCATGTATGTATGAATGAGCATGCAAGAGAATGTACAAGTGTGCGGTGAATAGGGTACATTTTTTGAATGAGTATAGTCAAATATACGGTTAAAAAAGAGTCCGCAGGATTGCCGTGGCTTATAGGTTATAACCGGTTAACCGACCGTTAGCTTAGCAGTTAACCGTCAGGGGTAAAACCGTGACCGTTTGAGCCCTAAATATAAGCACGGTCCTTTATTTTTTCAATGTACCTCCGCCCCGTGCTATTATTGGAGACGGAGACTGTTCCATTATTATTTCAACCTCATTTCAGAGGCATGTTGCCATGCCAAATTTATATGTCAGACACACACATTTCAGGGTTTTTTCGCCGGTACAGATAATGAATTTACACAGTGTGCTTATAAATGGAGACTGAGCACTATATTTTTTGAATGCCGCCCCAAGGTGTTCTATTATTGGAGACGTGCTATTATTGGAGACTGTGCTTACTAGTATATTAGAGATAATACGACTCCCTGATTACAGACCATCAGGGGCATCAGGCAAGACAGGCATGCATCAACGGCGCATACTTACATGGTCAGTTACATTAGTCATGTACTCGTACACTGTATTGTGGTGATGTACAATGACGTCATTGGTATGTAGACTCTACGGATCGATAGTTGACCGCCGACCACACATGTCCCATGTACCAGAATGGCAAATGTACTAGTAGATCTAGATCTACGTGTATGTAGCGACAGATGGGTCCCCGGGGCCGGGGGATGAAAATGATTCCTTCCAGCAGAAACAAGTCAAGTGGCAACAACACCACTCCCTACTGCCGGCGTACTGGACCCTGGCCTACTACTACTCTAGGCTAGGCCCTGATCAGTGATCTGAGGTCAGTGAGGACTGTGAAGTACATGTACTACAGTACTAGTATGGCAATTTCCCCCACAAAATGATCATAGCCTGCCTCCTCGCCATGTCCAAGGCTTTTGACAAAGTCCGGCATGGTATCCTCATCCAAGACCTTTTTGACGTTGGTATCTCTGGTGTCGCCCTGAAGTGGTTCGCGAATTACCTGACAGATCGCAGGCAGCAAGTTACAGTCGCTTCGGCCACAAGTCGTGCTCTTGACTGCACCTAACGTCTACACCCGTGATGTGAAATCGGTCTCATCGCCAATACCCAGCGTGCAATTCGCAGACGACATTGCCCTGTATGATTCAAAAGCTTCCGCTGGGGAAGTCTCCAAATCCGTCTCTTCAGCTGTCACTGATCTCGCGATATGGCTTAAGGGGCCGTCCGTAAATATCGAACTTTTTTCACCAAACGAATAATTGGATTATTTTAGTTTAGACCCAACCCCTCCCTCCCTCCCCCTCAGAACGTAAAAAATGTTGACATACATGCATGTACAACAGCCATGTACATGAATCAATGTTTTCTGAAACGAAATTGGTCAACCCCCTCCCACCCCATAACGAAATTATTTCGTTTTGTGAAAAATGTTCGATATTTACGGACGGTCCCTAAGTCACGCGGCCTAATTTTTAAATGCCTCCAAAAGCCAGGTAATGACTATCTCACCGCAACATGCCGGGCCTGAGGTCTCTATCGTGTGCTGCGATACCTCTCTACCGATAGTGAAGTCTGCGCGGTATCTTGGTGTCTTTCTTGACAACCGCCTGAGTTGGGATGTACACGTCAGCGCCATAGTGACCAAAGTTGCGAGGAAGATAGGCGCCTTGTGGCGAGCCCGTCGATGCCTCTCCCGCAGCTCGCGCAAGATATATGTAAAGGCTATTGTCATGCCGGATATGATAATAATGGTACCTGCTGCTTCTCTGCAGCCCTCCGCGTGACCCAACTTCAGCGTCTGCAAGCCATGCAAAACCGGGCGATCCGATGCATTGATGGCAGCCCGCCATGTTCCGCGATGCCCCTCCTGGCTGCCAACTCGATTTACCGCGTCACTGAACTTTTTAAACAAAAGCTCCTGATCTTCATCTGGCGTTGTCTAAATGACTCCACTAGCCTTGCCGTCTAGCCCAGCTTCTCAAACCAGCAGCATGCAGCCGCAGAAGTACGCGCCATCAGCATGCCAATGGTCTGCTCAGCCAGCCAGCTCGCAGTCGGTGTGGCCAAACGAGATTCGCCACCGCAGGAGCATTGCTGTGGAACAGTTTGCCTAGAGAGGTGCGCACCGTATCCAGATTGCAAGATTTTTTAGCTTAAAAGCTAGCCTGCCTTCCTTATGTATGCCTGAAATAGGTTGTGTTTCGTCAGGTTTTGACATGTTCCTTTCTTCTCAGTATTCTCGCTCGCATAGTACTCTACTTCTATGATAATATTGCCTATGCCGTTGCTCATTAGGATTTTGGCAAATTCTATGCTTCGCTTTCATATACTAGTAACTGGGCCAGGAACCCGTTTGAACTTGCGAAGTAAAATAAAATCAATCAATCATAGAGCTGTTTCGATCATACTGACAGTCTGTACGAGTGACGTCTCATCCGTAAACTACATGACTGTCTGTAGTCTCTACGACTACGAGATAAAAATGTAGTTGTAGCGACTTCGGCGATGGTTGTAAGGACAGGCAAGGACTAGTTCGACTTAGGTGTTTGCTCCCCACACCGCGTACCCGAGCTTGCGCGTTTCCACAACGCAGACTCACGCTGCTATCTTAATCTTGTGTTGTGTTCACGAGATGTGCCGGTGTCGTGCTGGAAACGGAGCGTCTCTGTAAGTGTGTATCCCTGGTGATGGTTTGGCCTGGAGAGTATACTGCACTGATCAGTTGTGCCCTTCACTCAGCCAGAGTCTTCAAGCACAATCTTCCTCAGCCTACTCAAGCTCAACTGATGAGGGGTGAATTCCCCGAACACCGTGTAGGGATTGGTGCCTTCTTGCAGGTTTGCCGAGTAGAAGGTTCGATGGACTTCTCTGTCTCGTCTGCTCTGGATGGCAATCGTGAGTCAGTCAAGTGTCAAGTCGGCGGAAAGGCGCGAGCTCCGGCGTGGGGAGCAAACGCCCTTAAAGTTCTCTGTGTGTGTGTGTGTGTGTGTGTGTGTGTGTCTCTCTCTCTCTCTCTCTCTCTCTCTGTCTGTCTCTGTCTGTCCCTCTCTGTCTGTCTGTCTGTCTGTCTGTCTGTCTGTCTCTGTCTGTCTCTCCCCGTCATTCCTCCCCCTCCCCCATGGTGCTTGCTGTGTACGCCGATCCCGAGACCCTTGGTCGGGGGAGTCCACCGCACCTCACCAGCGCAGCTCATGTAGCGAAAAAACACCCATTGTTGTTTTTGGTTTTGTCTTTGTTTGTTTCTCCTTCTTCCGTAGGTACATGTATGTGCAATGTGATAAAATATTTGTAACATGGAAATTGTGGGCACATGTACCGGTAACTAGTTATGCGATCGAGTCCACCAACTAGACCAGATTTTGAACCGTCAGATAGCGTCGCATTGCAAAAAAGCTTCTGTGAATCCCGCTTACTCTTCATAGCTCGCCGACTAGTATAGATGTTCTCGTCAGAACATCGATCCTTTTAAATCCCTCTATTCAAGGCCTATTCTCATTGGCCTCGGCTCCTGCAGGAGCTGAAGTCTCGTGATACCCGTTTGAACTAGAGTGCTGCATTTTGTTCCAATCTGCCCGCGCCTACCTGAGTTGAATTGATGTTTCGCCGCTAGCCTAATCTTCATACTGCTCTCTCCTGCCGGTTCCTTTACATCATTTTTCTCCTTCTAGTTCTGTCTCCCAGGCCCACCATGGCTGCATGGTTAAAACTGCCAGCATCACATGATCATTGGCATTACGTCATTGTGATTTTTCTTTGTTGTCTGATGATTGGTTTTTGCCATGAAACTCTGAGTTACAACAAAAAACAGGCCTATTTACTTCCTTTTGTGTACCTCTTGCGTACTACGCTCTGCCCATTCCGGGCATTTGAGCACTATTGCAGGTTTAGGCGCACAGCCTCTGTAATTTTAGAATACAAATACAAATGAAATAAATGTAAGCCCTGTGATCACTATCACCCCCCCCCCCCCCCCCAGTTGCCAGTTCCTTTGGCCATGAAGACAGACTACATACGGTACATGTACAAAATTTAATGTACATGTAGATATAGCGCTAAATTGGTTTATGCTTGTGGCCCTATGTTTAAAAGCATACTGTTGGGTAGACCCGAGTATCAGTTGTCTGATGATTGCCTGACGGCATGAAACTCAGAGTTACAACCAACCTGAACGTCCTCCGCTGAGTCTGCTATGTACTAAGCTCTCTCTCTCCCTCTCTCTCTCTCTCTCTCTCTCTCTCTCTCTCTCTCTCTCTCTCTCTCTCTCTCTCTCTCTCTCTCTCTCTCTCTCTCTCTCTCTCTCTCTCTCTCTCTCTCTCTCTCTCTCTCTCTCTCTCTCTCTCTCTCTCTCTCTCTCTCTCTCTCTCTCTCTCTCTCTCTCTCTCTCTCTCTCTCTCTCTCTCTCTCTCTCTCTCTCTCTCTCTCTCTCTCTCTCTGACATTGAGCATTCTCTGCAGCTCGGGGATCAACGGATTTGTACATGTAGACAAGATGACTTCTTCGGAGGTGCCAGTAGAGGCTCCAGTGCAGGTTGTACTATGAGGAAACTAGTCCGGCACCCGCCACTTATCCCTGCCAACCACCTCATCAGCCACGTCAACAACAGCCGAATTCACAACATACCACGTACAATCCACGGATGAAGCACGGTCATTTGTATCAGCCAGACACGACTCAAGACTCCTCTCTCGCACTTTTTGTGTGCCAATTGGTCATGGTGGGGTCCACGAGTTGAGTGAACTAAAAAAAATGGAAAACCGATATACCGCAATATACCGCATAAATATTTGCCATGTCAATTACAATATCCTATTCAGGATAACCTTCTCTGACGAGCCTTTAGTCGTAGGCGAAACAGCTGTCAGAAGCAATGTTATCAGTAGCAAGACCTGAAGTACCCGTAACCACTTCGTTGCTTTGAATTTTGGGTGTGTGTAATGGCTACCGAGGGTAGCAACATGTCGGCTGAGAGCGTATGGAGAAGAGAAGAGAGACTGTAGCATTACTGGACCGTTAACAATTCTAAAATAAAATAAAAAATATATATAAAAAACACTCTGCCTCGGACTCCTCTTCACTCATAACCGGCAACTCCGAGTCTAGGTAGTGCAAATAGGTTATGTGCCATGCATCAAGCAAGGGGCGATAGGCACTTCTCACACAGAATGTACACACTACACTTCCTCGACATGTTGTGCCAAAGGAGATGAAGTTTGCAGGCCAAGCGATCGGAGCGGCACATCACCCAATTCAGAACTCGGACTCGGCGAAGCATCCTCTCGAAAAAGGCATTCACTCGATATGGTCAAAGAAAGCGTATTCATCACATTCTTCCGTTGTTTTAAATCCTGTTCTGCACTCCGCTTCAGGCTATTGTTTCGCAGAGCGACGAGCTCCGGGTTCCGAACCAGGGTGTAAGCCATATGCCAACGTTTGGCAGCTGAGAAGCATACAGAGAAACACATTGGAGCGCATGGTCAGGGTTGGTAAGTTACCAGTACAGGTACCATGCATCCCAGAGAGAAGTGTGTTATGTCGAGAGAGAGAGAGAGAGAGAGAGAGAGAGAGAGAGAGAGAGAGAGAGAGAGAGAGAGAGAGAGAGAGAGAGAGAGAGAGAGAGAGAGAGAGAGAGAGAGAGAGAGAGAGAGCGGAAATAATACGTTTTCTATGTTCAGACACTGAAGATGAATGGTGAATGCAGCGTTCTGATGATCACTAGGA